AAGGGCGAAGCAATATTAAATATTATATACACAATTTTTGAGTTTAGTCGCTTTATTTAATATAAATAATTTTTATTCTACAACATTTAACATTAAAATTCAACGCACAATTTTATATACATTTATAATTTATTTATAATTATTAAATATAAATATATAATTAAATATAAATATATAATTAAATATAAATATAATATTAAATATAAATAATATTTATAATAGTGATTTATGAAATCGATGAAAATGACAATGACTTATGAGAAGGCATTTATTATATGACTCCTTATATAATATTTTGTGTCCATTTATACTTAAATTAAATTGGCAATATCAATTTTAGTTTTAATTTGAAAAGTTATATAAGAAAGAATTAATTATTAAAACAGTGTTTTTAGAAAAAATTACTTAAATATAGGTTCCTGAGCTGATGGAAAAAGAATGAAAAAAAATTATGTTTTAAGCGAATTTCATTATATGTAATTAATCTTTTAATCTATTTATTATATGCGGTAATGTAATTATTGAAATGATTCATTATTACTAAAACTAAAGATAAAGTAACTATTTAAAAAATTACATAAAAAACTATTTGATAACATAAAAATAGTAAATACAAGTACTTATTACTTTAATTAATTCAGTATTTTTATAAATATTTGTTATAATGGACCGAAGAAAAATTAAATATTATTTTTACAAATTCTTAAATTTATTGAAATGATAAAGTAAAGAAAACATTCTCTTGGTATATTTTATACGATCATCATGCATTATATTACATAAATTAAATATTGTATTAATAAAAGGCATGATATTGATATTTAATTTTTTAAATAATTACTATTTGTGTTATAAATATTTATAGTTAATATAATGATTATTAAGATCTTCTAAAAATAAAATTGAACTGATAGACTATTACAATAAATGTATTAATCGAAGAAAGAAAAATAAAGTAAGAATAGAGTGTTGTTGCATGTACATCTTTAAAAATTGAAAAAGAGAATTTTTAAATTAAAAAGAAAAGATAAATATCTTAAAATATAAAATTTATAATAATATAAATAAATATGTCTTGTAAATAGTCGGATAAAGTTATCGTATAGTAGAAAAAAAGAGCTAAGTAAATTATGTTAAATGTATTAATCAATGTAATAATACTCAAAGATAAATTAACAGAAGCATAATTCCCAAGAAATCACTGAAAAATATAGGAACAAGATTATGGAAAGAAAAAGAAATGATTATAGCGAAAAGAAATATTTTAATCAATGAAAATAAAATCAAAGATAAAGTAAGAATAAAATTACGCTTTAAATGCTTGGAAATACGTAGAAAATTATATTATAGAAGAGAAAAGAATGGAACTAAATTAATGAATGAAGAATCAAGACTAATGAAGAGTAAAGATTACTTTAATTTAATCACTTAGAAATATATGAAAGAAATATTTTAAAAAGTATGGAAGGATAATGATGGTAAATACGATAATAAATTAAAGCGAGAATCAAGACTATTATAAGAGTAAAGATTACTTTAATTTAATCACTGAGAATTATATGAAAGAAATATTAAAAGAAGAACAAAACGGTGAAACCCAAATTTTTAATCAATTAAAAAAGGATAAAAAAATAACGTGAGTATAGTTTAGTTTTATATAATTTTAATAAAAATTCAAAGAAGAAAATAGTAGAAATAAGAAAATATATTGATTATAATGATAAATGTGTGAATTTAAAAAGAAAATGAAATAATTAAATAAATAATACAAAATTTAGAAATGAGAAAAAATTAACCATGATTAATTTTTTGTTGAATAGAAGAGTAATCATACATAAAATAAAACAACTATAGTTTTCTAAGGGATTTATCAAATATAAAGAATTAGATCAAATACAAAAAAAGAATAGCAAAGAGAGAGAGAGAGAGAGAGAGAGACGAAATCCAGAGAAAAGACAAGTGTATTAACAGAGAAATAGTTTTGAAGATCATGGCTTTCATTATTATGGGGATACCTTTAATGAAATAATGCCGTTTTCGGCCACCTCGAAAGTTTTTCCAGATTTTATTACCGGCTTCAGTTGAATCATTTGGAAGTTCTCGACCTGTACGTCAGATTTTTCTGGTCTACGCCATTTGCCACTGGAACGTGGACTACCTACTGGCTATGTATGTTTATTTCATTATAAAATTGTCAATTTTTTATCATACATTCTGATATATCATTTAAAATAATCAATTTTATAATCTTCTCGAATTGTGTCTTTGTTTTGAGAGTTTTATTCCTAATGTACATAAATCTATATTTTTTCCTTTTGATATATTTGTGTATATGTGCTTTTAATATATTAAGTTTTTTATTCTATAATTATTAAAATTAAATTTTATACATTACTATTACAATTAATTTTTCTTTTGAATATTAGAAACACTTAGTATAAGATTTCTTATTTGTAATATAACATATAAACCAAAATTTATTCGTTCTACAATATATATATATATATATATATATAGTAATTATTATATATATTATACACACAATATTTTTATTTATATTTCTTTCGGAATATAGAATTTAACTATATATGATTTACAAATTTCAACAAATTAATAGTTTCATTTGAACTTACCTTAAGATCTGACTTATCTATCGATGATTTCCTTTCGTCAGTCTTAATCGGTTTCAAACTTGATCTTCTGTTTTCTACTTCGTCTGGCTTCAACTATAAATATAAAATAACTAAAATTTGCTCTTTTTGTTAATTTTTTTAGTTGAAATAAGAATGCAAACCATTTTTATAATATTTCACTGTAGTTAATATACTTTACATTTTTTAATGAAGAATATTTATCATAAGAAATTAATAATAGAAAAGTGTAATTTGTGTAAAGAATAAAAAAATTAACTAGTATCTGTACCTTTGACTCTTCTGGTTTACCAAGTGTTTTAGATTTTGTAGATAGTGTTTCCTGTTAAAAATGCGTTTTAAATATTATATAAAATTCTAAATTCTAATTGAAAATTACAATTACTATCAATTTATAATTAAAAAAAAATTATTATAGTAAAAATATCAAAAACAAAAATATTTTACATGTAAAGAGGTCAAATTATTGGTAATATTAGTATTATCAATTTCATTTTTACAAAAAAAAAATTAAAAAAAAAAATTTAGAATAAAAATTTTACTCATTTGATAGTTTTATTATTGATCAATTGAAAAGAAAATTCTATAAATTATTTTATAAATACACTAATTGTTACAAAACTATTATTCGATAGTGTAAATAATTGGAAGTACAATTTGTACCTTTAATTGTTCTGGAATATTTTTTAATTTTGTAGTTGATGTTTCCTGAAATTATTTATAGAATGATTGTAATATTACTTAAAATGAAGGATATACATTCGTTAATTTCGTTTATGTGTATGATTATTATGATCTGTATGAAAAAAACTTTCTTTATAGTTAATAAGATGGCTGAAATAATTTGTTTTATTTTATTAGTAATATTAAAATTGCATAAATATAGGCGATAGAAAATAAAATATAAAATTATATTTAATTCAAAGTCTACATCAATTTTGCATGCCAATAATAAAAATAATGATTAAATTAGTTTGATTTAATTTAAAGTATTATAAAAAATGAAATTCTTATTTACTATAACGAAAATATTAATTCTATAGGTACTATGTATCAATATAATAAACTATTATATTGTTTATATAAATTAATCCTTATGTAAATTTAACAGAAATTGATAGATTAATTATTATTTAAAACGTGCAATGACAAAATAATTTCTGAATTAAGCATGTAAATTATTTTATTGTATAAAAAATTATGTTTGATAATTTATACTTTTACTTTCGTTTGTGGTTTTTCAGATATTTTAGATTTAGGTATTGGCGTATTATTAGAAAAGATCAGAATTTATATATGTGTGAATTAAATGGATTTTCAAATTATAAAACTAATTAGTGATTTAATTTGAATATGGATACAATTTCAAAAGTAGAATGTAATAGATAATAAAATTTGATAACTACCATTGTACTACTTAAAAAATAATTTTAAGTATTATTAATATTTATATTACTTTAAAATTTCTGATAAACTTACCGATTTTTTTATTGTTAGTAATAATATAGCTATAATTAGTTTAGTTTCATCTTTAGTGTATTCTAAATGCAAGTTGAAGAAATTTATTATAGTGTATTATATAAAATACTATTAAACAAAAAATTCTAAATGTATGGTCTTTTAAATGTAATATCTTTTATATAATTTTTATATAAAAATAAGCTATGTTAATATAATATCTTTTGAATTATATAGTTTAAATTTATTATATAATTCTATTTGTAGCATAGAACATCAATACATTTTTATGGATTATTGACAATGAAAATTAAATGATCTTGTAAAATAAATGTAAAAATGACAATTATTTATACCTGTAAATCTTCTTGTTTTTCGGATGTTTTATGTTTTAATGAAGGTGTATCCTATCGAAAGTATTTAGAATATAACAATTATAAAATTATATATATATGTTTCTCACATTTATAAAATTCTAATATACAAAATTCTAGTATAAGTTTAATCAAAGAGAAATATTAAAGTCTTAAATATTTTTTTTATTTTAATCTAATAGTAAACATTTCACGTTAAAATCAATATTCAGTAAAAATATTTTTTTTTATTTCTTAAAATCAACAGTACTAGTTTCAAAAATAATAAATGTTTTGTTTCAAATAATGTTCTTTCGACTTATCAATCGATTCATAAAATGTTCAAAATTACAATATTTTTAAATTTTAATTTTTCGTTTAATATAATAAATTTAATATTTTATTTTATTGAAAACAATCTTTAAAAAAATTTTTTTTTTAATGTTGCTGTATAATACTATATAATCTGTGAGTAAAATAGACATACGAAAATTTATAATTAATACCTTAGATGTTTCTGGTACTTGTTCAGTTTTCAGAGTTAGTGTATCCTGAAATTTTTATCGAGATATAGTTTTTATAACATTTGAGTTATGTATTCGTTAATCATGTATATAATAGATTTTTATACTATAAGCAGACAATGTATATATATATATATATATATATACGGAATTATATATATCGTTTTTTAAAGTATTAGTAAGTTTGTGTTATTAAGTATGGTATGTGGTATTTATAGCTTTAGCTTTTTAGTTTACCAGATGGTTAAATTTCTACAATGATTTTTCTATTCAAAAATATCAGCGTGTATTTATATTTTAACTAAAAATATTATATAAATTTCAAATTAACTAATAAATGTTTTTAGTTAAAAAATTTGCTAGAATTATAGGCTCCATAGTTATTTCATTAAATCTATTCATATGCACATTTGTGGATATATAATATGCACAGAAATTGTTTAAATAGAATGTGATATTTAACTTTTACAAATTTTTATATATTAAGTCATTTTAATGTTCAATAAAGTACTGGATTCGTTATATGCATATTTTTTTATCTCTACTCTTACAAACTTTAGACAAAAGAGATTTAACATCAATCATAGATAGATGAGTATGTTAAAGTTATGTTATGATCAGATAACTTTCAAATTTAAATATTTAAATATTTTATGTATATACTAAAAGTAACTTTTGATATTTAATATTTTTTAATCAATTCATTATGGTAGCATAATTATTAGATTATATAGTGAAATAAATTTATCTATCATGTACCTTTGATTTTTCTGCAATATTATCAGGTTTTGCAGTTGGTGTTTCCTAAAATTTTCATAAAATCATTTTAGGACATCATTTAAAATACGATATATATATATATATATATATATATATCATTTATATTGTTTATATGTTATGATTAACAATGAATGCATGAAAAGAGCAGTCCCTTTCTCAACTAATAAAACGCTTATAATTAATTATTTGATTCTATTAGAATTTTTAATTTATGTTAAAAAGGCCGATGAAAAATCTTAGTACAGAATAGAATTAAATCAAGATATATCTTTTTAGTTATACGATGGTAAAAGTTAAGATAGTAAATAAGTATATAGTTAAATCTGTTGGAAATTTTCATTTTTATATATATTTATAAATCTATATTTATAAATTCGAATATATTTTTCAATTTGATAAAATTGATTTACTGCCTTCACTTTCATTAATTACTTGTTTATTATGGTTAATATTATATGAACAGATTTGTATGACGTTATTCCTTGAATATGATAGATAAGAATAAACTGTATGAAATATAATAATTAAATATTGTAATAAAGTTAATATATAAGAAAAAATATTGTACTTATAAATGATTTACAATTTAAATGAATAAGCAATATAAGAAAACTTAGATGAATCATTATTATTGTTGAATACCTTTGATTCTACCGCCTTTCCTTGTATTTTTTGTTTAAATGTTGGTGTATCCTATTAAAGTACTTTGAATGTAAAATGTTTTAAAAATATATAATTCTATATTAAACTTTTAACAATTACAATATCGTTAAGAATTTATTATCATTAATTGATAAATTAAACAGTTTATTTTTAAATTTATATATTTGTAAGCAAATATTATAAAAAATATTTTCAATGAATAAGAAACAAATGTAATATTAATATACCTACAATTTCTTTTTTTCAAACATGTATCAAAATCTAACATTATAGGTAATTATAAGATTTTATAAAAAGATCAAATCAAATTATTTTAAAAGAAAAGTGAACATCCTGATTGGAAGAAAGAAATTTTCATACCCTTTAATTTAAGAACCCGTTTTCTTTAACAATTATTTTAATAGCACAAAAAATTAGTGTAACTAAAAGTATAATAAATAATCTTTAAACGGATAGTTTGTCATAATTTGTTAATATATGCAATAATTATATATAAACAATTTATACCTTCAATTTATCAGGGATTTGTTCAACCTTTAATACGTGAGTTTCCTGAAATTATTTTTAGAAAATTATAAGTTATTGATAGTGTATAATATTTATATTTTTAAATTATATTTATATGCAATGGTTGTTAAAGTTTTTATAAGGGCAATTCCTTCAATAAATTTAGTGCACCTTCAATTAATAGTAAAAATAATATTGTATTTTAAAAATAAATATTATAAAAAATTTAAACAAATTAAAATAGTTAATATTGAAATTAAAACAAATATAGACAGTTTATGCAAACAATAAAAATATGTACGAATTTTAAGGAAATAAAATCGTGATTACAGTATTGGCGTTATTTTACTGAAAATAAGCATGTATGAAAGCATATATTAATGATATAAGAATAATATTAATTTATTTAATAAATTAGTTAAATTTTGAAGAATGAAAATAAAATAAAGTAATGTTCGATAAGGAAGCCAAAGATAAAGGCTGCGTACACATGAGTACGCGAGAAAGAGAGACAAAGAGATAGAGAGATGAGGAACAGAGTTGTTTTGCTTAATGTTATATTGTATCTAACTTACATTTTATCCTAGTTTATTATTTATGCAAAGATTTTGAAAGTGAAAAAATTTGAGTGTATTTTGGTTATTTTAAATATAAATTTAAAACCTGAAATTTGAGATGTTGGAACTCTATAAAATATTGTTATTATTCATCAAATCCTAACGTAAAGAAAATAATTTTTATGCATATACATTTTACTACTAAAATACTAATTGTATTTATGTTTATACTTTGATTAATATTTATATCATAACTTCAGTCTCACTTTTTGATAAATTATTGATGCAGTCGATCATTCTTACTGAAGTAAAATCATTAAAAAGAGGAACTGATCTTTTTTCGTCAGATACGTAAAATATTGCATCATATGGGTATATTATTCTGATTAATTTTAATAGTTACTTTAAAGATGATATAAAAATCTAGTCAGAGCATAATCGAGGTAACTACATAAACATCTTTTTATCCATTGTGTATTTTAAGAAAGTATATTTACGTGCATGATTATATCCTTCATATTTTTATTATAACATCAATCTAATTTTTATTTATTCATGTTATGTAACAATTTGATTAATGAACTAATAGATTTTCTATCAATTTTTTATACATTATTTTATGTGGTCGATTTTCTATTGTTAAGCTGTTACATCTAAATTTTCATTTAACTATAATAAATTTAGTTTGTTTTTTATTCTCAACATAATTCGTATGGTAAATAATAATTAATATCTGGATATATATATAATCACTAACAATTTCTCAAATATGTCATAATAGATTTTATTACAGCTAGTTATAATGTCCATATAATTTAATATGTATTAAAATTCCAGAATTTTTTTTTATTGTAATTGTCTATGTTAATTTTTTTGTAAATATATTCTGATTGCTGAGTATTGAAATGAAGCAATTTTTAGGATGGATGTATGTCATTTTATGGGGATCTCATATTATTGTAAAATCCTCTAAATTTTAAACAATTTTATATTCTATATTATTATTTTTAACTATATCTTCTTGCAATAGATTTTTTGTTATTATTTTTATCAAAATATTTATAGCTTTTACATTACCTTCTTATAATATCATTGATATATTGAGAAGATGAATGTCAAAATATATTAGAACATTATTAAACTATATTAATTTAAATTTTATAATTATATTTCTTACTTAATTTATTGAATGATATAAATTTATTTCTACTAAACATTTTAAAATCAGAACACAATATTTATTTTTATAATGGATAAAAATATATTATTGAATTCAATACCTAAAAAATATCTTTTACAAATTGTATAATGATTTTATACATACAGTCTTTAACGAAGTATAATTCATAATTTTTACACTAACATCAATATATTCTATACTTATTCATTATTTTTAACTTAAATTATATTAAAATAATATTCTATGTAAGAAAATGTACTATTTAATATTATTTGATAATGATAACATATTTAAATTTTTTAATATATCTTTTGATGAAATGACGTTATCACTATCATATTCAAGTATAAGCGTATCACTACTAAGACTAACTAATGAATCAGTATCAACAGTATCAACTATACCACGAATAACATATTTCATTTGTTTTGTTAGTGTAATGAATAAAAATCTTTAAAGGCTTAGCATTATACTTAAATTATTTAATGAATTTGTTCTTTTGTTTACTTTTATCAGCCTTAATATCTTGAATAGCAATTTTTCTTTAAAAAATTTCTGTTTAAAAAAGTGAGATGCATGAATTCATAATAATTAGAACAATTGATGTTAGTGCTTTTTATCAAAATATATTAAATTAAAAATATACAAAAAAGAAATAATTTTATATAAATCAACTCGAAATATTTTTGCTTTAAAAAAAAATAACTTTTTTCTTCATTTAAGAATTAAGTAACATGTAAAGAATAGTTCGATAGCGATTAAAATTTTATTTTTTAAATGATTATAATTTACAAAAAGAAATTTAAAATAATTTTAAATTAATGTATAATGTAAAAATTTCAAGCTTTTGCCAATTGTATGCATTAAATATACCGGTAGGTGCTTATAAATTTCAATACCAAATTCAGCAACAGTAATTTATAACTATACCTATTACAAATTTATTTTAATTATTATTAAATCATCAGTATTGCTTTCATTTTTAGCTACAGTTGCATCGGATTTCATTTCTCATGTATATTTATAAATCTACTCTACAATTACAATTTAATATATGTATTACAATTTAATATATGTCAAAACACTAATTAGATTCTTTCTCTAATTTTTGTTAAGAATAGACTTACACTTTTCTTTAATTTTTAATTATTGTAGATCTCACCAATAATACATTTTGTTTAATTTCATTGATTCCTTACAATTAATCAATTTAATTTGAATATAGTATAAAGAGTATGTCAAATTATGGTCGATATTACAGAAAAAATAGAAAGTAAAAATTGATTTTTATGCTTAAAAGTGTTTTCATTAATTAATACAAAAATATTTTTAGTATATGCTTATTATTTTCGTATATTTACTGTTAGTAAATTATCACAAGCTTTTTTGTTTAAAATGTTCATTGAATTGTTAGACACATATAATCACTTTTCATAACACGTTTTATTTAATTATCAATAATCATTTAATGTTGATTTTAAATTGTTCAAATATTTAGCTTTATATATACATATTTAAAAATTTATTCCAACATAAAATTTAATTTTTTCATTTTTATCATCACTGGCATCAATAGTAAGCAATTCAAACTTCTAATTACAAATTTATCATTATGACAAATAATTATACGATAAGAGTTAATGTATTTACGATATATTAATAAATAGTTATTAAAATATTTACTGCAAAAAAGGAGAAATGAAAAATTTTCCATTCCAATTTCTATTTTTATTATAATTAATTTTATTGTAATTTAAAAATTCAATGTTATCCCAGTTTTATTCAAATATTAATTATAACAAGTTTAATATAAATATAACTTTGTTTATAAAATTCAACAAACTATAGTAAACATTAACTATTTGTTGGTAGAATTCATATAAATATTTTATAAAATTGTTTAATATTTTAAAAATAACATTAACCTAAATTAATTGGATACACTGTCACATGTTAGTAATTTATGTGCAATAAATATTTAAATACATGTTCCTAAAATTAATTGGTTTTAAAATATAGTTCTGAATTTAGATAGAATAATTGTAGGAAGTATATAGGAAGCCTAGAGTTTAAGTGTAGAATTAAGTGATGTAAAGTTGTATTCAGTATTCTTAGAGTAGTAAAAAATACAGAGTATATATACGTGTGCTTACATGGGCGCATGTAAGTACGTGCATATGTGTTAAATCATTAAAGTCATATTTAGTACAAGCGCACCCATACCATGGACAATCTGTAATACATTTATCAATTTCATCGATTTATTGATGAACTATTGGATATGAACCATACATTTTCGTTGATTATTTAGAATTCTTAATTATTAATTTTATACTATTTTCCATTCTCTCCATATTTTATTTGAATATCAATTAATTTATACTTCTATTCTTTATTTTTGTAGTTTTTCGTTAATTAATCAGTTATTTAATATTAATATTATTATTCAATAATTATAAAAGAAATCAATACTTAAACATATTGATATGTAATTGAGAATCAAGTTTATTTTATTTTAAACATTAAAAAAATGTATTAATATTAAAATTTGTAAATATATTAAAATTTATAAATAGTAAATGTACTTCATCATATACTTTAAAAAAATTTTGGCTAAAAAGGACATAATAGCATTTAAGACTTAATACTTATTTTACATAAATATTCTACGTTTTCTGAATCAACAAATTTGTTAATATTTTTTATTTTAATATTACTGTTGTTATGCTTTCTTTATAAGATAACAGATTTAGGATTATATTAATTATCGTTATTTTAACCCAACCCGGTATAATTTTTATAACGCTTTACTTTCTATTTTAATATTTTTAATTCTTATTTATTTTATAGTTATTAAATTCTTTTTACAAAATCTTCTATTAAAAATATGTTAAAACATTTTTTATATAAACTAGTTTTATGAAAAGTGAAAATTATATATTTTAATAACTTAATGTTACAGATTTATTATAAAAATTTCTCTTTTCTAAATACCTATATATATATATATATATATATATATATATCATGTCTCGATTTTTATTTATCTATGTCCTTATCTATCTGCAGAATCAATTATATTAATACAATTTTTATTAAGTGAATATTGAGTAGTGTATGATAAATATAATTTAACGTATACAGATTTGTGATTTTTATAAGGATGTAGCTATTAATATGAACTATTTATATTCGATAGATAGTTATTTAATACAAGTATTGTAAAAATGTTATGCTGAAAGTATTTTATTGGTTGTAACCAATACATTTAAGTTATTTACCAATTTCTAAATTTAATTATTGAGAAGTGCTCATAATAAAAACTTCATTTTAAAATCGTAGTAACAACTAAAAATGAGTTTTAAATGTACAGGTTATGATGATATTCAGTAATACTTTTGAAAAATCAAATTATACAGACAATATTAAATTTTGTTTATTTATTTGAAGTTTTATTTCTTTTGCAAATGTTATATTTGTCTAAAAATAATTACTTATCAATTTATTTTTAGATGACGATTAAATTGTGTTCAATCCAAATTTAGATGAATATGATTTATTAAAAGTAAAATTGAAATCATTCTATTATTTATAATACCTGTTCATTTGTATTTATATTCATAATTTATAGTCATAAAAATATTTGTATTTCAGCTTAATCCTTTAATATATTTTATTTTGGGTATGAACTTTATATATGATAATAGATTTAATACAATCTTAAAAGGAAACACCACAATACACACTTAAAATTTTTTATGGAACTAATGTTTAAATGATCTTAACCACCGTTTTCTTATTATTTTCATTAAATAATATTATAAATATTTACAAACATATGGCTGATCCTCCTGGAAGTAAAGTTATTATTATATTATATTATTATTATATTACTTGTAGTGAAATATTATAAAATTGCGTTTGTCCTTAGTTACATTAGAATATAGAACCAAATTTCTTTATGTTGATAATTGAAGTCAAAGAAAGGATAGTACTATTAGATTCTATAACTCATTTTATAATTAATTTATTAATGTTTATAACTAAAATATTTATCATAAAATAGAAGGTAATATTTTAAATAGTTGTATAAAAATGGGAATAGAAACATAAATTCAAAAAAAAATGTAGAATTAAATTGTATTTTGCTTAATATACTGCTGTATATTTAAAAAGAATTATCAATTTTTTATATTTATTACGAATATTATTACAATATACCACATTAAGCTTATATCAGATAATGTTTTCATCTGTTTTTATCTTACCCTATTGTAATGTTTTCTAGATTAAGAATACTTTAAAATATTGAATTATAGATCTTTTTAATTATAAATATTATTTAGGTATAAGTGATCACAAAATATTAGAAAAAGTGTTCTTATAAGGCATTATCATAAATTCTGATTATTCTTCATACATTCCATTCATGACAACTGAAAATAACTGCTCGAATTTAGTTATCATAAATGTAGAAATAGTTAGAAAAGCTAAAAATGAAATTAGTATTTACGTCCATATTTTCCATAGAAATTTACACATTATTAATCGATATAGATTACTATTTAATTTTGTAAATACTTCTTTAAAAGTATCAAAATAACTAAAATGTATCTTTAGCTATGTACATTCTTATGTTAAAAAACGGATTTTAAAATTTTTATTTACTTAGTGCATATTAGTACATTTAATGTAGTAAATGCTTCTTTACACTTAACAATGAAAGTGAATAAAATTATAGATTCTATTACAGATTGTTTTTTTACTATAGATACACAATAAAAATGATGCAACTGTAATGATTGCCATTGTGGAAATAAATACATTGGTATAATTAATACTAATTAGGTAGTAATTTATTCAATAACCAAGGAACCATGTGTGTGCACTTTTTCATACTCCTATGTATAGTCAGTAGAGATTTTTAAAACGTATAGATTTAAATTAAATTCTTTAGATAATTTATAGATAATTTATTCGAGTTTGAAGTAATAAGTATAACTATATCATTAGAAGACAATAGACTCAGTTATATGAGTTTAAGAAGCTAAAATTATTTTTTCATATAAGGATTATTGAAAAGTATAATTTGATGTTTGATTCGTTATGATGGTTTTATAATATTCCTATAATACAATCATTCTCAAATAATAATTTTTACTATTGAACTCTCAATTTAAAATGAAATCTAATTTTTTTTAATTATATTTTCTTATAAATATCTTTTGTACATTTATCTACAGAATTTCTAAAATTCCGATTAAAATATTGAATTATTAAACTCCAATATTTCATATTAAAGTATATTATATTTTCAAGTATTATAATGAATTTAAACAAATATGTTCCAACTACTATTAGTGAGATAATTTCAGTATTTTACTCAGTTACATCAGATTGAAATAATAAAGTTTTATTTGTTATTAAAGTATTTATATAGCTTGTTAATATTTTATTAATTTATTGTTATTATATAATGAAAGCTTATAGTTTGATGATAAAAGCGTTTATTAATTTTAATTAAATTAATTTTCAATTTCTTAGTTATGTAATAAGTCAATATAATGGTAGTATTAGAATATTAGATTTAATGACAAAATCTTAATTATTTTCAGCAATGTAATATTCCATAATAGATTATTAATTTTTGTAATAGATATAAGCATTTTATTCTTACTTTTTTGTCTATTTTTGTATCCAACGTTTTCTTAGTTTCTGATTCGTCCTAAAATTATTTTAAGCCATAAAAACTTTGAGCTTTTTTAATTTTACCTATAAAGTAATCATATATAATTTACCTCAACTTTTTTAATAATAGAATTTTTTCTAATTGTTTCGCTTTTATCATCGGAAATAGTTTTCTGAAATATTTTAAATATAATAAAATTTTTATTCATATTTTAAATATAATAACATTTTTATTCAAATTTAAAAATAAAATTTTTTTTATAATATTAATTTGATAATTTTTTAATTGATGGATGACGTTATTTATTCATTATCTTATATTTTTTAATAATTGAATTTCTTTAACAGAATATTTTTTTCTTAACACAGTTTTATCATTACAAAAGATGAATTTAAAATATATTTAACAGGTTTTAAACTTTAATGATTAATTTAGAAAACTCACAAATATTTAATACTTATTTTATTTTATACTTTTTTGTTAATAAAATAAATGGACCTATAATTTACCTCGTCTTTTTTAATAACGGAAGTTTTTTTGATCGAATCTTTTTTAGTGAGTTCATTTATAGGTGCAACTTCGGAAGCAATTTTCTGAAAATTAGTTGAGTTTTAGCAAACTAAAATGTTTGTATGAATTTATTTTACATTGTTATTGATCAATGCATTTTTGTATACCTGTGTATCTTTAAATTTTTCTGATGGATTTTCTTTTTCTTTTTTAATTGAACCTTGCTTACTTGTCTGTAAGTATAAAATCTAATCTTAAAACTTATTTTTCAAATATTGCTTTTTATATAAAAATTTGGATAAATAGTAAATAATGTTAATGATTAATTAATGCTTAATTATATTAATATTCGGGAAAATTTATGTTTCTATACCTTATTTGTGTTAAACGTTTCTTTCACCTGTTTTAATTTTTGTTGGGAAATTATTTCTTCCTATATGAAATAAATAATAACAATATTTATGAACAATAATTTTGAGTGTACAATAACATAAAAGTATTCTTGAAAACAGTATAAGGAAGCAAATATTTATTCGAATATTAGAAATACAAATATTCACTCACCTTCTGGCTTGATATTGATGATCGTCGACTTTCGATAGTACTCTCTTCTTCTGATGCCTGTGAAAAAAAAATTTAAAAAATTAATTGAAAAATTTATATTTATAAATATCAAAGAAACATCGATTAAACGTACCGATTGAATAGAAACTTTTCTTTGTGGCGTTTCAGTTCCATCCTCGCATATCTGCGAATAATAAAGTAATTAAATTTATAGTTTAGTCGAGTAAATCAATACAAAAATTTGTATTGCCTATAATAATAATATACCGTTTCTTCTGTTCTACTGCTAACAGAACTTCTTCTGCTTTCTGATTTCAATTCCTCGATCTTAAATTATATTTTAAATTAATAATTATTTTATATTGAAATAGTAAAAAATTACACTCCCACTTCATACTAACCCGATTGATCGATTGTTTACGACTAATCTTTTTCTCTGGAGTCATTTCTCGGGACTAAAATCATATTAAAAATAATGTATAAGGTATTAATAATTATAAATCCCGCTGATGTAGTATGAATCTATTTTTTGATAGTAAATGTATTTAAAAAAATTTTATATTAATTTTTTATTTAATTCACGGTGATAAATTAATATTATAATAAATGTAATAACAATATAACAATTAAAAAATACAATGGTATTATAATATAATATGATTAATAATTAATATGATATAATAATTATAATAACAGATATTAGAATTACCTCCGACCTCTTATCCTCTGGTTCCTTCCGTTTAATTGCCTTTTTCTAAATTAAATTGAAATATTTATTATTAAACTCAAAACACTTAATTCAAAACAAAATTAATGTAAATTTATTATTAACCTTTTCAATGGTACTGGTTTCCTCGGAATCCATGATGGTTTCCTTTTGATCCTTAAATTACATATAAAAGTTTTATAAAAAGAAAAGTATCGTGATAAAAATTACATGCTAATTTGAACATGCAACAATATTAAACAAATAAATGTTATATTAAAAACCAAATGTAAGAGGGCAGTAAATATTACACATATGCAACACTAATTAAGGCTATAGCTTAACATGCATAAACTTGCGTTTCAGCTTGGCTGATTAAAAATACGGGTTGCATCTACGAAGCAGAAAACCAATAGATTTTTTAAAAAATTGAATTCCTACAATTCAATGCAGAACGAATGAAGCAACGTTACTGTAATAAATCAATAGCGAAAACAACGTCACTAATCGATTAAAAAACTAACAAAACATCGATGTTTTGAAATTAAAGCGATAAAAGTATTGTACGTCAAACAAGCTAGTATCATCTAATCAAACACCAAGAAATAAGTTCGATTCTCAGTTTGAACTCGTTATCTATTTATTGACTTAAATTGTAGCCACAAATTCCCTTTTTGACTCACCTAAAACAAATTAAATTATTTATTTCGTTAGATAGTTGATATAATTTTTCCCTTCATATTTAAAAAAATACATATTTTATAAATTCTTCCCTGTTACTTAAAGGTATATGTTTTCATTTCCAAAATATATAAATATATAAATAAATATATATATTAATAAATAAAAATGTTTTTTACATAATAAATCAATATATATATATATATTATAAATAAAGCATAATTTATTACTATTATCAATGTAATATATTATAAATTATCTTAATATAAAAGTTTGAATAAATATAATTATTAAGATGTATTAAAATTTAATAAAAAAATTTAAAACTTTTATTTCTCTATATACACTTTTATAATCATAATATAAAAATACCATAGTGCATTTGATATTATTCGAAAATATTAATGTAAAATTAAATGTAAAAATCTAAAATACATTATTTACTTTAGTTGCTTAACAAAATTTAGAAAATATTTTTTACTCTTTTCTTAAAATATTACATATTTTTCTTTTCCAAGGACTTCATACAATTACTAGAATATATATAAATTACCATTTGTTAACATTAAAAACTGTTACAATTATTATTAATAGTTGTACAATTATTATTAATACTATGTAAATATTAATAAATTCAGTATAATTGTACAATCATATTAAAAAAATTAGATAAAAAAATATTTTTAATTGTAGCTAAAAATGTGCGTATTTTAAATTTAGTATTCGTAAATATTTTGTTTTGTGTTAATATCGTCTTTTCAGACAATGACTTGTAAGCGTAATTTATAATTCAATCTATTAAAACGAGGAATTAAAAAAAACTTTTTATTTATTATATTATTCATAAAAATTTGTAAATCGGAGTTGATTTTATTGTTTTTGAACAGTTTCATCAATAAAACAAATATTTACTTTAAAATTTCTTAATGCAATTGTTAAAGTTTATTTTTTAAGCATAAGTTTGTTTTAAGCAGTAAATCACAAGCTTTTACTAAATAGCCAACATTCAAATATATCCAGGCATTTAATACCTCGGATTTATTTTCTACTTTAGTCTTTCCTTCTTTAATTTGTTTATGTTCTTCGGTTTTTTGTTCAATGTTCTCTATTATCTTACTTCCCTTTTCTATCGTTTTTTTTTCTTCTTCTTTCTCATTTTCTATTTCCCGTACCTTTTTATTATTTTTCTTTTTTTCATTTTTATTCTTTACTGTTTCATCCTCTTCCTTCGTTTCTTCATCTACTTCCATCTTTTCCTCTTTTTTCTATAGAATATATTGCGTATAAATACTAACTTTATTATTTTATTTTTCGAGCCATGAGAAGAAATGCTTTAAACTTATGCTTTATATTCGAAAATAAACGATTCAATTAAAAAAATCTCTTAATATTAGAACTTCAAATATTAATATTTTAAAATTAATTAAAATACTGTAAATTATATATTATACTAGTTGAATTAGATAAATATTACATTAGTATAATGTGTCATATAAAGACTATTAACAGTGCAAATTACAAAATTATATTTATAATATAAATTATTCTACAAAAAATAATTGTAGTATACAAAGGAATGCACAATAAAATTTTTTCATTACCTCAACTATGAGTTCCGCCGCAGATTCATCTTTTCCGTGCTCTGTGCTAAAAACAATTTTGTATCGTCCCGCTGATTCTTGTTTAGCAGAACTAATAAGTAGCCTAGCTTCCTTACCATCAAAGCTAGTGCTATAAGTTTCGGAGTTCTTAATCACCGTTGAATCTCTGTAAAATCATGAGAATAGTTTTTTTTTAAATAAAATAACCTCTGACTTTCGACGTTATAAAACAAGCATTTTACTTACTTATACCATGTCACTTTGATCTTTTTATCTGATTTTTGGAGTATTGATACGAATTCTGCTGTCTTCCCTTCTTCTACAGTCTTAAATAACAATAATAAATGTTTATAAAAATAAAATTAATTGCTATGGCTTATTACATATTACATTAAATGAAGGTTTAACTTTAATTACAAAATGAAATTGTTAACAAATATAATATTAATCGGATGGATTCTATTAAAGACAAAAGTATGCTTATATTCATACATCTGCTAGACTGTAAAAGAAAATAAATAAAATGAAAAATTAAAATAAAAACTAAAAAAATCCACTATAGTAAGCGAGTAATACATATATTTTTAAATTTTATAATTGTGAAAGAAAATCTTCGACTTTTTACTCATAAATTGAATAAATACATTCGTACTCACAATAGATTTAAGCGCAGATACAATTTTTGGGGTATCCGGTTCTTCGGGAATTTCTTGAATCTCCACAATTTGAGATGTTGCTTCGCCTTTTTCATTACGTGCCACAAGTTTATATTTGCCTCTGTCAGCTTGTGAAATCTGCTCAATTTCTAGTTTTACAGCAAACTCGCCCTCCTTAATTTTCTCCACGTGCAGACGATGTCTATCATCTTCCGTAACAACTTCTGATTCTTTGAACCAAGTGCATTCTGGTTGAAATTTCGAAAGCACCGTACACTCGACAATTACAGTTTTCTTTTTCACAATCTTGATGACCTTTGGTTTTTCTTTTATCACAGGAATAACTTAAGGGTAGAAGAAAATAGAATTAATATTTGATGAAATAACACTAAATCTTAATTTTATAATATTATTCAAATTCTCAATAATAACGTTTTTATTAAATATTTTTTGTTAATAATAATGTAAATGAATATATTTTGTAACAGGAGCTTATTAGTTTTAACTTTTAATTTCTGCTTACTTAAATTGGTACAATTAAAATATTAAAATATTTCACTAAATATATAATAAATAAAAATTTTTAAAAAGTCAAATTTAAAAAATAATTTACAATTATAAATACATCAAGAATTTTTTCATAATCACTCCAAAATTATCAAATAATCAACAGAGAATAAAATCAATAAATTTCTTTTCTACTTTTATAACACTTACTTTCGACATTTAATGTAAGATTTGCATTTAGCTCGCCCAATGAATTTTGAATATTGCATTTGTATAATCCCGAATCATCTGCACCAGGATCATTAAGAATCAGCTTGATATAATATATATCAGCTTCCTCTTCGACGATACTGAGTGAAATTTTCGATGATTCTTTAACGACTGTTCCAGCATGAGTCCAAACTATATTCGGTTTTGGTTTTGCTTTAACCTTGCAGTCCATGACAACGATTTTTCCTTTATCGTGAGACTGAATACGCGGTTTTTCGACAAAAGTTGGACCATCTCCATCTACTTCCGGCTCGGCTTCAATGTTAAGATTGAGATTTGCATTACTTTCGCCAAATTCATTTCTCACGTGGCAACGATAAGCACCACCATCTGGACCAGAAGGGTTCTAAAAAGTAAAATTATTAAGAAACTATTTAATATTTAATATTATAATTTAATAAAGAAAACAGAATATTTTCAAAAATATATAATAGTGATTTTTGATAAAAATGAAAAAAAATGAAATTTATTACACGTATATATAAAATACAATTTAATTATACCTTAAGCTCGAGCGTAAGCTCATAAATATCTTCATCAATATTTTGACAATCAAGACTAATTTTTGCTGATTTTTCGACGATGTTTGTACTTCGAAACCATATGACGTTCGGTTGAGGCTTAGCTCTGCACTTACACTTCATTGTTATAAGAGTGCCAGTTTCATTGGGTATGATGCGTGGTTTTTCGATAAATGATGGAGCGAAACCTGCTGGATCCTCTGCACCTTAAAAAATTTCCATTAATCTTTTCTGCTAATTTATTATTACGACTCATTAAGCGCATTGGTATGCTTTTTCTAAAATATATGCAAATCAATATAAATATAAAAAAAATATAATAATGCAAACTGTGGTGGAATGAATTAAATGGATAAATCGTGCGTTGATATAGAATGAAAACGAAATGAAGGTAAAGCATATTTTCTAGGGATACAAAAATGATTTATGAAAATGGCATGATAATATCGGCACCTTATTCATGAAAACAAAATACTGTCTACTAATTTAATAATTTTATACATAAAAATAAGCGACAGCTTTTTACAGTTCATGCAATTAATTTATCATACACGCACTGATTTCTAAAATTAGATACCTACGGCACAGGAAAACAAAAGAGTATTATGATTCAATTATGCAAGTTGCAGATCATGCGCATCCATATCAATGCATGCATACCATACAATTCAGAGTACATATTGAATCTTAAAAAATAGAAATAAAAATATAGAGACTGGCACGCGAGTGGTTGTTAGACTAACTTGCCTTGGAAATTCAAAGAGATATTGGCATTACTCTCGCCATAGTTGTTAAATGCATTGCAACAGTAGTTACCGCCATCTCCTTTAGTTGGATTTGATATTTCGAGAGTTAATAGATATGTGTCTTTTCCGGTCGATTTTCGAGACATTTTTATACGCTTAGTATCCGTAATAGGTTTCATTCCCTGGTACCAAGTGATTTCAGGCACTGGATGGGCCTCCAGTATACATTCCATTATTAAAACGTCGCCCTCTTGACGTATTGTTGGCTTCTTCGGAAAACGCGGTGGCTTGCCATCGGGAATTCTACGCGTCACAAATATCTCTAATTATTTAACACATTCATTTAACAATCCTTGTTGCGGATAAAATTCTATTGATATCCTGATAATGTCTTTTATTTATTAAGATATACTATGAAAAGTTCGTAATATATTAAAAATAATCAACACTTATCTGTAGGTCCATATTATTTGAAAACTAATAATTGTTTAGAAGTAAAAATACGAAATGCAATAACTGTTTAGTATAAAGTATAAATTTTGAAATCTCTTTTCAGATTTTTATACAAATCAAGATAAATAATTGAATTATGAGATTATAATTAATCTACCAAGAATTGACTTTTACTTATACTAATAATAATTAAAATGTTATAAACCAGAGAAATTTAAATATAATTTATAAAGTTATAGACCTATGAGATTTAAATACTTTTAATATTATTTCGAGATACTTGTATTTGTTTTTGAAAAAAAGATTGAAAATGAATGTGCAAATCAAATATATAAAATGTGAATCATCTATTGAAAGATAGACTCAAAAATAGAAGAATAAATAGTCAAGAAGAATATACATTGAGAGATCTGTCGAGAGAAAGAAGTGTGCATGCGAATTGAAAAGAGGATCAGATCGTACTTAAGCTTATCGCCACCCTCGAAGTTCAGGTTGATAGTGGACACACCCTGGCCGTGTTTATTTTTCGCAATGGCTTTGTATTCACCGCTGTCGATTTTTGCAACATTGTTAATTTGTAGTCTAGCCAAATGATAAAGCTTCTGGTCGAGCTCCATGAACATTTCATATTTCCCGCCTTCACTGAGTTCATCTGATCCATGATACCTGAGATTCATCATAATACATTTGTTTTTTGTTTTTCTTTGATTTATATTTTTTGTTTCTCAATAGTCTCCGGCAGCGCCCATATTGCATGCACCAAATATCTCTAAGATCGATTTTAGATAAATATTCTTTGTTGAAATGTAAATCCACTGTTTGATATTACTAGCTATTTCTTTCATGCATTTTCTACATTTCATCACTATTCTTTTAAAGCATTCGTTTCAAAATAACAATAAAAAGTAGAGATGTTTTAACTCGCGAAATTTTATTATACTTATTAAATAATTAATGTAAAAAATAAGTATAGTCTACAATGAATTCAAGCGTTCGAGAGGGGGTGTAAATTAAACATTCAAATGTATATTCATAAATTGAGTTGGAATTCGTATATTTATTGTGGTTTCTGAAAGATGTGTCAAGGATATAGAAGAAAATAAATATAAAAGAACCGTAGAGGTATAGTGGAGAGTTCCATGCTTCAGTTTTTGAAATGGTTTACGAAGGTAAAATCTTACCACTTGACACTAGGTTTGGGATCACCGGCTAACCGGCATTCGAAGGTTATAGTGTTTCCATCGTCTGACTGCCTGATGACTGGTCGTTCGGTAAATGTCGGTTTGACACCATCATCCGGTACTGGGGCCTCGTCGCCTGAATTTAAAAACAAACATCCAACCACTTTTTCGCGAAGGTTCCACTGAACTTAAAACACGATTTTGATTACGAAGGGCATTGTCGCAAAGAAAAGATTCGTGTAAAACGATGACGAAGAAAAGTGTCGATTTCTCAAAGAATGCCTTATTAAATATAGTACGTACGAGATCCCTAACATCATTCACACTTTTTATATTATACATTCAGTATTATTTACATTTTCCTCTATGTTTTTAATAAATGCTGTTTGCTAAAAACAAAACTATTAGTTTTCTTGTTTATGTACGTACCAAATTGTGCCAAGGTAATTCCGTCACGAATTGTTCTAAATTAGATAGCTCATGTGCGATAGAAAATTAATGAAATTAATTAAGTTTGTGAAATTTTGTTACTATTTATTTTAATGATAAAAAAATTTCACACTTCTGAACCATTAGAATTTTCAAACATTATTTCAATTTAAAAGTTTTGTGCGTTAACTACATTCTAAGCAAAATTCCAAACAATAATTATATATAAAATATTTTAATTTTCGGGAAATTAGACGAATCTATTGCATTATAATGGTATCAACTTTTGTTAAAATCATTGGTACAAACGTATGATTATAGTCTCACTGTTAACGTTCTTATTTACTCATAAAATTAAAAATAAACTAAAACAATTACTTTACGCGTATTAATACGTTAATTGTTAAATCGCTCAAATCTCACAAAAAAATCTATTTTGGCGTTGTACACATGAACTGCGGTTACGTAGTAATAGCTATTAAGTATTGCTCAATCTTTTGCTACGTGTAATTTTCGCCCTACAAATGAATCTTACATTGGTAAATTTAATACAGTTGGAGCAACGCTAAAAAAATCGTTGAGAAGTTATTGCTAAAGCTATGGGAGAGTAAAAAAAATGGATTGTTATCATTATTGCATCGTTTAGTACTACAGTTAATGAGTGCATGATGTAGCAATATCAGAGCCGCAACGACTTACTGAATTAATTAAATTATTTAACACTAGGTAATCTCCGCTTTCTTTAGCTATAATACAGCTGATTTTTCTCCCTGTATTTACTACTGATTAAACGATTGAAAATTTTATTTGCCTTTCAAAATAATTTACTTTCATATATTAATAGAAATACTTTTACAGTATATTAACTTTTTCTGAATCATTATGGAGACAATGCGATCTGTCTTCCGCAATCACGTACTTTAAGAATTCTATTTTTCTAATGTAATGTATAAATTTTAATAGTATTTCATTAATATTTTATAACTTGATATTTGCATTAAATAAATACATTTTTGAACTTTGAATATTATTATCCACTATTATTTTTAACCGATTTTATATTTCAATCAATATATTAATGAAACTTAATTTTTAAAAATCGTGTGAGTATAAACTGACAAATAGAATAAAAATAATGACAATAAAAATATAAAAAACTTCTAAGTCCTCTTACTAGAAATTATAAAGATGTATACTTATGTATAAGTTAAATAGCTGTAAAAATGATAAAGGCGAAAATTAAAAATTGGAAAAATGTTACATTCTTTAAAAAATTTTATGCAATTTAAAATAACATTTTTTAACTATATACCTGGCTATAATACGTGATGGCGATTATCCTAGTATAGTAAAATGTAAATGAAATGAAATTTATAAGAGTTAGATGTATATGCATATTATTGATATGATTTTATGTGCTTGACGACTTTGAATAAGCTATAGTATAATTGCATATAGTTACTTACTGTCAAAATTAAGAGAGATTGTAGCATTTGATTCACCGAGCTCATTTTTTGCTGTTACTTTGTATTTTCCAGCATCTTCAACAGTTACGTTTTTTATTTCCAAACTTGCAAAGTAGGAATGTCCATCTTTATCAACAGTAAGCTGAAAATAACAATTTGTATTTTTTCATTGAGAAATTTTGCACATATTTATAATTAAAATTAACAGGATATAAAAACCTTATGTCTTGGAGAATCCATTACTAAATCGCCATCATGAAACCACGACACTTTCGGAGTTGGATCAGCAGTTATCCGACATTCGAAAACAAGTTGTTTTCCATCATCCTCTTGTCTGATTGCGGGCTTTTTTGCAAAAGTCGGTGCGATCCCGTCGATTTGTCTATTAAACAAAAAAATTTTTGCGAAACCTTTCTGAATTTGAGTGTAAACGTATTATTTTATAGTATAAATCCTTGAATAATAAAAGAAATCATACATGCACACTCAGAAACAACTTAGCACATTGGAACTGTATCTTACTATTTTTGCATTTATTGTACAATTATACATTAAATACTATTAATTATATCAAAGTAATCTTATTGCGAAGCAATTTATAATAAAATGATTCAATCCTTCAAGTTCACAATTAAGAATAATATTTTATTAATGATAAAAAAATTCTGCCAAGTTTTCATTATAAAAAGATTACGTGACTTGAAAATTTTAGTTTTATTTTAGCAACCTGTTGAAATAATAATATTTTATAAGAGTGTTGAAATAAGAAGTCTATTATTTTTAATTAAAACAATATTTTATAAATTTTAATTTTAACTTCTTAATGGTTGTATATAATATATCAATCCTTGTAAATATTTTTGAAAATATATTTCACAAACGAAATTAAAATAGTTTTTCAATGCTACTTTTTTCCTTTTTGTTTATTTCTGACGAATATAAGCTCTAAAACATTACCTAATTTATATAAGATAATGTAATGAATAAAGAAATTGTTAATATATATGAAATTTAAATCATGTTTACGAAGTTTTCGCAGTCGGTGCATTACCTTCGATTTCAATATCACACATATAAATTTGTGAATATAATATAATTTAACTATTGAAATTTGTACAATTTTTACTAATAGCCACACTCACCGTCTATACACCGGCTCAGCCGCTAAAATCATAAATACAAAAGCATTACATGCTGCATAGCGAGCGATCACAAAATTCAGAAAAATATTAAAAAATTCATTGATGAAAGTTTAATATTTCGAATATTTTAGTACAATGAAAATTTGACTGCCTGATCCCAAATATATGAAATTATAATTATTGTATAGGATAATAAATATATGTTTCAGTATTACATACTATTCAAAAGTATAATTGACTGGAAAGAAAACAAATTCTTAAAGTTTAAATTACAATAATTTGTAATATAAAAAATTTAACAAAATCTTAATGTCAAGCAAATTTTCATGATATTAACATTATTTATTTTATATTTTATTAGGGAACTACTTTATAAGTATAACGATAAAATATAAAATTAATAACAACTCCAAATATTTTAATTTTTCATAAATAAAGTAAGTTATAAAAAAAGTAAAATTATAATTCGAAGTTTATTTTTATTTATTTTTATGTGGTATTCACAATTTAAATTATGAATAAGAACTAATCAAGAAATTTCTAATATATAATTTTATATAAAAAGGAATCTCTCGTTAAAGTTTAAGAAGATAATAAATAAAAATTAAAAATCGGCTTCTTTGTTAAAAAATCTAATATTTATATTACACATTAAAAAAATAATTATAAATTTTTATATACATTTGTAATACGTAATTTAGTATTAAAAATAAGTTTAAATTTACTTGGTTTTTAATTTACCTTCATTAATAAATTAAAGTAATAAGTTAATGTTAAATTATTATTGTATATGCCCTTAATATATAATAAACTATTTTTAATATATCCAATTGCATTTCTTACAAAGCAGTTTTGTATAAGGCAGTAGGCGTATGCAATACAAAGCAAAAGACAAAAAAACTCTTTCCAGACTATACCGCAATACCACTTACTTTTCTCTAGGTTCATCCACAGCTGGAAAACATAACCGATGTTAATATGGATTGTTTATATATGAATAAATACCTATTGCGTTAAATACAATATTATGTATGGAGTTATAAAAATTTGTTGAGGCTATGTTATATATGGAGGTAGAGTTATACATTATTCTCCTGGTACATGAAAAGCAAAATTTGGTCTAATGTTTAACAATCAATAACACTATCATTAATATTAATATTACCAATCATTAACAATTGGAAACCGCGATTACACTTGTACGATATTCTTAAATGAGTATAAGAGCTTGCCTAGAAGTTGATTGCTATAATTGATTTTCATGTACCAAATAATATAGCAAGTATAGGTAGATAATTTGAGAAAGAAAAATAGCTCTTAGTAATTAGAATTTTAAATACTCGGACTCACGGCTAAAATTAAGATTAATAGAAGCTGCAACTTCGCCCATCTTGTTCTTGGCTTTAACCTTGTAAAGGCCAGCATCTGTCTCAATAACGTCATCAAGCTCGAGTACTACAAGGAAGCTATTGGTATCAATGCTCTGTATCTTGAAACTCGTTCTGTCATCTTCAGCAAGCTGGATCTCGCCACGGAACCAAGCGATCTCCGGCTTAGGGGCACTAACTAATTGACACTCAAATATGAGTTTATTGCCATCGTCTTCCTGTCTCAACTGAGGCTTTTGGGTGAAGCTCGGGGCAAAGTCATCTGCGACCCCCATGCTTGAGACCGGCCTATATGTTGTCCTACGTCGGGACGCGAGGGTTGCCGACGGGGGGTGAATTCACCCCCACCCCTCTCTCTTACTGCCGTCGAACTCGCGATATTCGCGTCAACGTATAAGCCTTCGCCTTCGTTGCACTTATTCCCACGTTGCGTTATTTTCTGAACTCACAAAGCGTCTTCACCAACATCAACTCTGGCCTGCAAAATCAAGAGAAGCTTCAACTACTTGGAACTCGCTTGTTCGCCACTTTATTATCAAGCCGCCGCTCTTGTTCATTGCACCAGACAATACGCCAAGAACAATCGAAATTTGAAATCTTTATTGTTATTACACTTTCTTTCATATATATCAAAATGGCAGTTCATTGCCATTATACTATTTGTCATCATCCATTTTTAAATACTTTCTTCGCTCAATCACATTCAAGATAGATAGTATACAAAGTTCTTAATGAGATTTATAGGCGATCACTTAGCGCTCTGTATTTAATTATAAAGTATAGTTTACGAATTTTTCTAAGGATAAATCAAGTATTACTCTAGTAATTAAAGCAATAATCTAAACCAACGTAAAAAATACTTCAACTCAATTGAGTGACGTGTGGAGGAGGGAAGAATGATCATTATCTTAAACTATCACTTATTAACAACACAATAATTTTTTACCACAACATTTAATTGCAACAACAGATAGGTATAATTAAGAAATTATTGAAAACATTGTCCTGGAAAATAATTCGCCTCATGCGAGTAAGGAAACGAGCCAAATATTACACAATAAAACTATCAAATGTCTTGCATTACGCCTATTTGATATAATGCCAACATAAACTATTTACCGCCACGAATATTTAGAAAAAAAGGCTGTGCTGTCTTAAAAGCCAAACCCAATTGATTATTGGGCAATTATTGATTGATTATTGGTGATTAAATAATACTTTCAAAAACTAAAAGCGTTAATTCTCAGAAGTTTATTAGGCAATATCTTCATTCATGGTATTGAAATTCAAAATTTTCATTAACCAGAATATCTGTAAATGACACTCTTTAATCAAACTGTATTTTTATATCAAATTAAAAAACTTTCAAATTATTTTAATGTTGCAGTAGACATCACATAAATACATTTAAAAATCTTTTAATTTATTTATCAATACTCATTTATATTTTCTAAATGTCTACAAACTCAAATTTTAGTTCAATATTTATAAAATCATTTTCAATGAATTGTATTAACATATTCGTTCACAATAATAACAAATTTCATTAAGTTAAATTGTAAATTGTTACATTATATTGAATTAAGTAGAATTTAATTAAAAATAATTTTTAATGAAAAAATAGTCTTCCACGTCTGGGGTAAGTTTAAAAAATTAAGAAATTTGAATCATTTTTATACAAAAATATTACTATTTTTTTAAAGTTCTATTAATTATTAATTTAGCATATCTTAAAATTTTAATTTCAAATAAATTAATTTTCTAGTTTCTATAAATATTCTATATATTGGTTTTTATATTAATTTAAATATTTAATATATTATTAAATTATAACTGAATTATACTACATATATAAATATTATACATTGCAATATATCGTAGTTTTAAGAAATGCAATTATATGTAACTTCATATTTTACTTTTTTAATTTCACATAACTGTGATACTAATTTGTGTATTGAGACTGACTATCGAATTATATTTCATAATATTTATAATTTTAATTTACCTATAACAACTATAAATTTGAATAAAACACATATCTGCCAAATATTTAAACGAAACAAACCAAAAATATGATAATGATAACAACAGTATAATTGTTTATAAATAATATATTAATTTTATAACCTCATTGTCAAGAGAATATATTTTTATATTTATTATAAATTTTTCTATAAATATAAATTTTTTTCAATACACTTTATTTTCAATATTTTCAATATTTTCAATTAATTTTAAATTAATGTATTATTATATTACAAATATCGATCAGTTATAAGAAATGTGTATTATTGAAATGTGTATTATTAAAAGATTAATTGTATATAAAATATGAATATATCCTGTTTTTCTGCACTAAAAAACGAATAATTTTATTTCATAGGATGTATATAAATAAATATAAATTTTATCATTGTAAAAATACATTTTATAAATATAAAAATGGATATCTTAAGATCATATATGAACATAATATTTCTAATAATTAATTTAGAAAATTAATCAAAAGATTTATTATAAAATAGTATTATAAAACTGATTGTTAGTTGATTACAATATACTTTTAAAGCAAACTATTTTAACTGAAAAATTTTAATAAAAAACTATAAACAATTATTAATTATTTTAATAAATATAAGCAATGATTGAAATTATTAAAATATATTATACAAAAAATACATAACATTTAATAATAATTATGAACACTTATAAATAAATACATACTAAAATTTAAATAAAGTAATATATTCGTATGATTGTATTTATTGGCATTGTTTTTGTATTCCATTCTTAACATATACAATTTTGTACAATTCTTAGTAAATTCTTAGAAAATCGTAAAGTGATAATTTAATCATTTTTGGAACATTTTAAAGTAAATGTGAGTAATTTTCTCATATCAAATTTTGTATTAAGTACAAAAAAATGATAACAAATAAAACATTATCTTAAACAATAATTCGATGAGAATCCAAAGTAAATTATTTTGTTCTTATTTAGCTATATTATTAAAAATAATATATAAATATAAAAAATATAAAAATAATTTTAAAAAATCAAAATAAAAACATTTAACTAAAAACATGTTAAATACGTGTCAGAGAAAATTTAATTATTTTCAAAAACAAAAAGTACATTAAGAACAAATTTAAGTAATTCCATCGATTAAAGTTTAAGCTTTTTGAAACGATTTTCAAATTTCTACAAAAATATTATAATAAATATTAATAAATTTGTCACAGTACAGAAGCTATTTTCATTAATATTGCGACAAAGTATTACTTATCTTTTGTCAACATTAACAAATATTTTGTAACAAAAACTTAACATCATATCATTTTATATATCATATCGGACTCTTATTTTTATTAATAAACTTGCTTATCGTTAATTATCGTTAATAAAATATTATTCAGCACTGATAGTATCTTCTGTATTTTGTATTAAACAAAAATTAACTTCACAACAAATTTTTTTAATGATGCTTTTATTTTAAGAATAATAATTAAAGTTTACATGATATTTTTTTAAATATGATTCTGCAAATTCTTTAAATAATTAATTTTATAGTAATATGCTTTGAATTACTTTTCACATAATATTACAGTAGTGTATATGATTTTACTATGTTATATAAATATCTTTTAACAATTGACTTAATTTTTTTAATAAAGTAATAGAAAGTAAGCTTATTTACAATTTTCAGAATTGAATACAAAACTTTATTAAAAGGTACGCAAAGTTTGTCACCGTGCCAAATACAATGTAAAAAACGAATTACGCAATTTAAAAGTTTATTATCATTCTTTGTTGTATAAAATATATTTTGTAAAATAGTTTTATTTTTTCTTATCAGATTAAAATAAAAAAACTCATAGAAATATTTAAGTGATAAATGAAATGGCACTAGAAAATTGTGAGTATTTACATATTGATCGACTAAAAATATAGCTTTTCCATTTTTTTATATAGGCTAAAATTTGAATAAAACAATTTTGCATTTTCGAATAATACCTTAAATGAGCAGTCATTTTTAAACAATTTTTTTTTAAACACTTTAATAAATTAATATTAATATTAAATAAAAGAAATTAATAATTGTGTTATTTATAATTAATTTAATTGATAATATACAATAAATGGACAGTATATTTAACAAATATTAAATAAATATGAATTTAAAACATCTATTTAAACAAGTTCCCTTTTAATAAAATTTAATGGAAAAAACTAATATTTGACTGAACAAAAATAAAATTTTAAAGTTTTTTATATTACTTTAAACTTAAAAATAAAAGATATAAATTTATTTATAATATTAAAAAAAATTAACAATAATAAATAAGTATAAATCTATGATCTATTTTTAAATAATAATTAAAAATCTAACACTGAACTAAAACAAATTGAATTTATAATTCGATAAATGTATGATTCTTTAAATCTTCAGCTTTATTAAATTTAGTTTCAATGAACAATTTCTAAGTACTAGAATTATAACAATGAATAGAAATATCGGAATCGAATATGTACCCAATCAATACACGCACGTATACACATACGTCAACACCTACACACATATAAGTTTCAATAAAAACATAATAAAAGCTGTATATTTTAAAATATACCTGTAATAATTAATGTGCAATATGACTGAATATGTTTTAAGTATAATTTTAGATACTGCAATTGGATAAATGTTTTGATTAATATTAAATTTTAAAATCAATATTATTGTATTAATGATATGAAATTAATAGACATATAATTTTTGAATGACAGTTTTTATATTTCATTTTCTAAATCGTAAAAATTCACATGGATAAAATAAGGATATTATTCTGTATCTCTTTGAATCTATTTAATTTTTACATTTTCAGCAATGACTTTGTTTATATAAATTCAAATTTATACCTCCAATATTTGCTTTTGTACGAAAAAACTCTTGATTTATATTTATGAAATTTGACACTATTAGTCATAATGAATAATAAGCATATAAGGCTATCTAATAAATAATAGGTTCGATAAAACAAAAATAACTAGTGTGTACATTTAAAGTATTTCTTTTTGCTTGTTTTCGTTTCTGAAAAATTAATATTCTGACATTAACTTTAGAATCTATTAAATTTTAAATCTGAGTTCTTTCCAATATTCTTGGAACATATTGCATACCAATGTAAATAATAGTTTGGAAGATTGGATATTACGATGGAACTACAAGCCATACGATATTGTCATAAAAAATTACAGAATGAAGAATTATTGCACAGCAGGTTAATAGCATGCATTTTGCATAAGTACTGCTTAATCTCATTTTTTTTTCTTTTCTATTTTACTTTGTAGTAGTCTCGCGTAGCATCGATATTATACGTCGCTTATTATAGTACAAAATCACTTGTGCTGTTTCTGCCGACATTTATTTTTATCCATGCTATTCTTGTCACGAATGCGGCTGGCGCCAAAACTATAAGAATTTCGAGACTAGAAAAAGAATAAGTAATAGGAAATTAAAAAAAAAAGAAAGAAGCACAAATTTACACTATACGTTATATGGTAAGAGTATATTGAAAAAAGGAATTATAGAAAAAATAATATTAATACTAGGTTTACATCAACGATTCATTTACTTTTGGCAAACATTTAATTTAAAAAGAAAACATCGCCGACTCAGACTGAAACTATTATCCAATATTATTAAATCATATAAAATAATATTTGTTAAGAAGTATTAATACTAAACAATATTATGCTTAAACATGCTGATATACAAAAAAAAAAAATAAAAAAAATAGTAAAAAAAATAATTTAAATAAATGTACATAATATTATAAAAGAACGAAAATATATTACAATTTTTATCCATATTTTGTTTCAAATACAAATAAATTATTCAATAAGACAATAATGGAAATGCTAGCCTATTCTAAGTACTTAGATTACTTTATATTGAAGAACAAAATCGTATTGTATTTATAAATGAAAACAATTTTTGCATAAACAATATATTTATAATGAGCTATCTAACATTATTTTAACAAATATTATATTTAAATAAACATGATAAATCACAAAAAATATGGTCATGTGAACTCAATTTCTAAAATAGTTACTTAATATTGTTTATAACTAAGAATCATGATTACGAAATGAGACTTATTTACCACTCCTAGCATTAATACCACTCAAGCATTAATCTTTCAAAGTAAAGTTTTTGCATTCTAAGACTTTTATTACAATTTTATTTTCTTACGGAAGTCATTTAAAAAGAAAATTTAAAAAAACATTAGAGAAGTGGTCCTTTCGTATGTAATAAGTCCACAATATTGAACATTTGAACTCTATCATCAAATATTAAAAAAACGTAAGCACACAGAACTTACGTATACGATTCTGATGGTGAAACCCGTACGAAAGTTTCAAGTCTCACTCTCACCTTCCCTTCCCCCCTCTCTCACTCACTCACTCACACCTTCTCTTCCTCTCTTTTTCATATATATTTTTAAATGAGCAGACACTCTTGTACACGAAAAAATGTGAGAAAAGACCGCGTCGCAATTTTCGGCAATAAGCCCACGCATCAATGATAGATGATACGATCGAAAGAAGGAGAAGGAGAAAAAAAGAGTATGCTTTAAGTAGAGAAGGGGATGAGAAACATAAGGGGGCGACACACGAAGAGTAAAAGCTCTCTTCTCCTCGTGTTACATTCTCTAAAAATAAATGTACAAGGAGCCCAGTTACCTACATCGCCCCTTCTACAAATCTCCATCTCTTAATTCGCACGCCTCAACTCTGGTGCATTTTTCTTTTTTTCATTTGGTTCAAAGAGTACAGAAATTACTTAAACAAGTGAACATTAATCAAAATTCGAATATAAGAAAATACTGTCTGATACGCAACGCGGTATAAATGCTGTCCAAGAGGAGCAACGCACTAAAAAATTGATTGGGTTAATAATAAGCTCACTTATAAATATGTTAATACATCTCTGCATATACATTACATTTACATATATATAAATATATTATTAATCATAGTTAATCCATTAAGTTGTATCGTGATATACATAATCTCTTAAACCCAAACTACCTAGGTCGATATATTAAAAATAACCACAGAAATGAGAATGATATTAATTTTGTCCTAATCACGCTCTCACATCTCCTTTTTACTTTTGAATAAAGTCTCTTATTCTCTCACTCCCTCTTTTCCTTTTATCCACCCTTCCACCCTCTCTCTTTCTATCTCACGTGCGCTATACATGCGTATACATAGACTTACTTGATATGTCGAGAAAATCTTTTCAAATAATGCGATTCTCTTCTTTAGCAAATATCCACGTGTTTTCCTTTTCGTGATTTTTCGCAAACACACGTCGTTTAAAAAATACTCGTTTAAATAAAAATAAGAGAAATTCGTAAATTCGATTCGTTGTCTATTAAGTGTTCGTTGTTAGTTGCGTCCTTACGTCCTTGTCACTATTAGCACTTTTTATTTCACTTTCAAATAATTTTCAAATTATTTCCAGCTCTTGTTACCACTTTGTTTTACTCTACTGCTTTCGCACCTTTTTCTTGCGTATTCTCCTTTTTTCACACTTTTGTCGGCTATCCCTGTTGCCGGGGCCCCGCGCGTCAACTAACCAGGCTAAATATCTGTCTCAATCTCAAAAACTGTACCACCACAAGCTACCACCTCCATTTCCTCCTACCATTACTGTTACCGATCATTTCACTCCCTCTTTCTATATCTCTTCCTCTCTCTCTCTCTCCTTCTATCCCCCACCCCACACTGCCACCCCCTCTTTCTAACCTTCCATGTACCCTCGCCCACTATCTTTCTTATTCTGTTTCTTTAATCAAGTTCTCTGTTTCTTCATTTAATTTCTTCTCGTACTCTTTTATCTAATATTCTCTCCCTCCATTTCTCTCTCTCTCTCTCTCTCTCTCTCGCTCTCTGTCTTGATAATTCTATCATTTCTCAAAGTCTATAATTCAATAAAAATGACAATAAGGAATAAGCGCTTTAAATAGTCGGTTATTATTGCATATCATTTGTTATTTTTTGAATATTAATTTACTCTGCTTTTGTTCTTAAAAAAATAATAAATATGTGAAATATTTAAAGTATTAGTAACGATACTTTATATACCGTCAGACTGATTAAAATTGAATTATAATTATAAAAGTTATCATAAATGTACCAATTAGAGCATTCTTACACATGTAAATATCATCTACCATGGAATATATCATAATTTGGCGAAACATAATTAATATAAATCATTCAATTGAAATTACTAAAAGCAGCAGTTTATACTACAGAATGAATTATAAAAAATTTCAAATATGTTGATGTTAAGGTTGTTATGCTGATGTACAATAAAATTGGGAAATTAATAATTTTATTGATTTAATTGTCTTATAATTGTGCTCTATTCACGCATAAAATTACGTGAAAAATAAAATTATTTTGGAAGATAAGAAAAGCATATGCATGGGACATTAATAAACATAGTGGGATGTTAATAGATAATTGAATGAGCCAAGCTTTTAAAATAGTTAAGCTGATCATTGGGAAAGTATCATGTATTTAAGGAATAAAAAATTATAATTGATAGTCATAATAAACAGGCACATTCAATTAATGAATCAATGATTAATTCCTCCTAATTAACGACTTCGATATGAATCTTAATGCAAAGCTCAAGCAGCGTTCGTTGCAAGGTTAATTATAAAAAAAGCAGATTAGGATCATTCTCAAACAAAACACAATTATATCATATAGCGATTTTCGTAAGCATATGATTATCTTTTTACTCTTTCAAGAATGTATATTTTTTAAAACAAAGCTCCCTCACTTATACACTTGCTATTCCGTGCAAGCTAACAGAATTATGGCAAAATCAAGAAGCGACAACAAGAACCGGCATTCCGGCCTAAAATGGGGTCGATCAATTAAATCATCGGCGAAGAATAATAATGGAATGCAAACATCGACCGATGATCATCATTGCTCATACTAAAGGAGTTTCGAGCTTTTGCCAGTACGAACTTGGATTTGGTCAGCCGAACGATTTCTAAATATATCCAACCCTCGTCATTCTGATCTATCTTTACCTGGTGAAGGAATTCATATATCTCTGCGAGCGTAAAACCATAGTCATTATGTGATAAATGCAATAAAAATGATGATTTCGTCACAGAATTCGTCGTTCACAAAAATTGACATGTCTCTTGCCATTTGCCGCTCTCTTGACTCTCAGCATTCTATGATCAATTTAAACTTTGTAAATTAATACCTCAAGTTTAAATGTCTTCATTTAACTGACTTACTAACAATATCTAAGACTTTAAAAATGGGGACGTATAATAAATTATTATTATTACCGTTGCTAATATAGTTATTGTAGTAAAAATATAAAGTTATTTAATATAATATATATTTTACCAGTTTATAAATATTTGCAGAATTAAATTTTAATAATCTATTAAATTTGAGAACTATACATTAAGAATATGAAATTCTAAAAGCAAGACTCTTATGAATTAAGTTATAAACACTCAGCAAGGGTGATAGAAATACAATTATTCATTTGCTTATCTATATTTTTAACTCACAAGTATAATGTTTATTTTATTTTCAACAAAATCACATTTCTCTTTTAGGTACTTATATAAAACTTGGGTAATTATAAAAAACTTGCATTTACAGAATATTGTAACCTAATATATTAATTTGTTATGTATATATTTATAAATAGTTAATTCTTACTAGAGCAAATGAAATAAAATATTATATATTTTATAATATCAGATTAAAACTTGTTAAATAAAGTTTGATTCATAATCAATTAGATACATAACATTACTTTAATTTTTTCAATCAAATTATTAATTAACAAAAATTGATTTCCATGACTAATTTCTTATTTTTTAATTTTATTTAATTCATAAAAAATATACTTTTATAATTTATAAATTTTTATATTTATAAGTTATTTCATTAGTTTCTACAAAAATAATTTAATATCTGTTACTGTATATCATAATAAAATTTGAAGTAAAAATAATTTCACGTTTTTTTAAATTAACAATAGCATTCTTCAAGCTATATAAAACAATATATTTAAGAAATTTTTTTAATGTTTTTCTGATTATTACAATTAGTAATACAAACTTTAATTAAATATTTTATTAATATTACTCAAATTGCATAGTGAAGTTCAGAATAATGTTAAATAAACTGAGAAATATAATATATTATGTAGTTTTAATTGTAAAAGGATTAATCGCTAAAACAATTTAAATGTTATTATAATGACAATATTTACGATATATAGCAGCAAACAAATACAGTAAACCAGAATGTATATCGCAAAGCTATTATCAATTAAAACGTTTTTTTATATAACGAACATGAATCTAAATAAATCCTACTAAATTATAATCCTACATAGATTTATAGTCCTAGGTAGATTAATAATTTTATTTTTAAAGTCATTTAAGTTATAGTAACGTTGCTCATATGTTGTTCTGCATATGCAGTTATAATCCATACCACAAGTAAACATCATTAATCAACATAAAATTAAGTTACAGGTAATTTTTTGTATAATAGAACACGAATAAGTTGTCATTTACCCAATTATGATCAATATGATTTTCGTAAGAAACTTGTAGCGTTTGAGTATCTTGATGTATTACCACGTGTTCTCATGTGTTGCCTCATCTATCAGGCTGAAGCTCCACATATAAAGTGCAATGCATTGCGAAGCCTTTCGGCATCATATAGCGTACAATTTGCCTTGGATTAAAAAAAAAGTATTAGCTTCATGGTCAATCTATAATAATAGCCAAAGGCTGAATAACACCCCCCCCCCAATATATATATATCTACAATTTTCTTCCCTTAAGTTAAGCCAGCTCTAAGCCTCATAATAAAGTTAGAGAGAGGTTCTCTAAAGACGTCAAAAGAACTCAAATTTACTACAATATACATATGGTAGTTTCATTATTAGTCTGGAAGAATCAGATTCGAAACCATTGGCATTCGATTTACCGGCAAGATGCAAAAGCTTTGGCGTTTCCTCGAGTTAAGTGAATATCGTGCTCTCGCATTCCCGCTTTTGATATTTTTAGACGACGGCATTTTTAGTCGTCCGCATAAATCCCTCATAACTCGAGTATAGCCACGACTTTTCGAGTTTTTGCGTCTCTTTGCTTGTTAGATCACTTAACCTTTGACCCTTTGATAGACAGCGATTTTTTATTACAGTAAACGTGCCTAGCGAGATATCTTCAACAAATTTGCAAGTGCTATACTTACCAATTTTTTAATGCAATCAGATAAATTTTTTATCTATATTGTCATAGAAAAACACTTTGAACTGTCTATTAAGATGATACTTATAGGATGTTACATACTTTAAGAGTTTCCAATAAATATTTTGTATCGAATGTTGAGTTTTGTCATATACTTAATATTAAATTTTTATCTTTCATTACTTCTGAAATTTATAATACTTTATGAATCGGACAAATATTTTATATTATATTATGTTCTTAATACTTTCTTCTATACAGGTATTTTATTTAATTGATATGTATATATATTTTTCTTGTTCGTTTTTATGTAATTATTAATATAGAAAATTTATAGGAAAAATTAAAATATACAGTATCTATGGAATTCACAGGTTTTTAATTATAAGTATTGATTGTAGAAATCAAATTAATAAATCATAATTTACAATTATCTAATCATGTGCAATCTATAGATAACTATAATATAAATTGTATATTTAAGGTGTTAAGGGCATTTAATTAAGCGATATGATTAATAACAGTAGAGACACTTTTTGATGCATAAAAAAGAAAAGAATTGATTAGAACTCAACTGCCAAACTACATTTACATATGAAATTTTACTTTGCTTGTAACACGCGCTTATAGTGGGCGACGCCAGCTACAGTCGTCTTCTCGAATATATGGAACACTTGGTCTAAAATTAATCCTTGGGTCGGTCTGGAAATAGATATTATGAATGCGAGGACAGGATAAGATGTCGGTCTATTATACTGGTTTCTGAAAAACAATATTGTTCTCATTTTTTATTTCGTTTCATTGGTTCGGTGATTTTCATATTATCTTCTATTTTTTTTCTTTTTTTTTCCTCGCGAACTCTACCGAGGAAATAAAGACGATCTTAAAAGTATGTAATTTAAAAATATTATTGATATCGTCTTTTAACTTTCAAATATATTTTTATGTGAACATAATGGTCAACAAAATTTTAATGATAATTTTATGGTCGTTCAAGTTCATTTTAAAAGCAGTTTTCTTTCTTTTTGTAAGGCTTATCGCCTGAGTGTACTGTAGGATAAGATAGTCATTAAATAAATATTTTAACATGATCTAAATATCTTTTATTGATTTATTAAAAAAAAACACGTAATGTCATATTATAATTACTCATTAAATAAGCTAAAATATTGAAATTACCTTTTCATACTTTTAAACTTTATATTTTTTATTTGATTTAGTAAGATAATTTTTTTATTTTATCGGAATTAACTTTTATTAAATTATTTTTATGTTGTAATAATAGCTAAATTAGCTTAACAAGATTGTAAGTTAGATATTATGACTTTCAGCAATGATCCCATTTTATTTTTAAATTTATTTACAGCTACACATTTTTAATATGCTTTTATAAATTTGTAAATACATTTTTAGATAATTAATAATGATTTCAAATATTATTGAATGAAGTACTATTATAATATGAATTTTATATTCAATAAATAAATATGCCAATTTAGTTTGTTTATTTATATACAATTTAAAAAAAAATTCATCTGACTGATTATAATGAAAATACCGAATAAATGAAAACTTTTAGTAATTAATTTATATTTCAAAATCAAAAAATGTATATTCAAAATTTGTCTAAATTTACATATTCGGCACAATTATCAATACAGGTATTCATAAATATTAATTTATAAAATCTTAATGGTAGTCATAATAATATATTTTTTTAATTACTCCACAATATTTACAATATATATGTATAAATTTTAATATTTAAAATTATATTTTATCAATTTCATTATTATTCGATTCAAAAGAAAGTAGTAATTTTTAAATTTAATATTAACCTCAAAATAATATTATCAACAAACGTATATTCAATGGCTATTACAATATAATGAAACAAGAAGAATTGAAAAATTGATGTAAGTTTGCTATTATTAACTATTATTGGACCTACCTATCCATTGGATACATATTTTATTTAAATAAAAACAAAACAAACAGATTATTATTTCGAATGTTTTATAATTTCTTTTATAATGTAATTATTTTTAGTTTCAAGCTATAAACTAATAATTTGAAAAATTGTAAATATTAATAATATGATTCAAAGAAATTATGATATATCGGAGTAATTTATTAATTTATATTTTTACATTATTAGATTTTATTTAAAATAAACTATTTTGTTTCAAGTCTAACATAAGCAAGGTGCATCCTTCAATCACAATCATTCTCATAAGCATTGAAGTATTACATTAAAAGTATTTCCCATCTATGCACTATATATATATAGTAATTTAATAATTTATATAAAAATGAAAACGTATAATTTGTATTGTCATGTATAAATTAATAATTCATAATGAAATTAATAAGTATAAAATTCAAATTAAAATGCTTTTAAACTGCCAAAGCAAATCTAAGATTGTCAAATCTAAACTGATAATAATGGTAAATTTAATTCTAATTTATTTATTGGGTACCCAATCTATATTTTTCGTTACATTTTGAATAGATAAAATTCAAGACTTCATCTTGAAAGGTATTAGCTTTACACGATATATTTTGAAAGCCCCATTGTATGCAATAAACGTGGACAAACGAGAGGAGAAGTTATTCGAGCCACCCTGCCATGACTAAATTGCATCGCTTTCGTTATATGACTTAATAATTTTAAAAAACGAAAGATTTTTTTAATCACTTAGATTAAATGATAGAGACAAATATCTTAGAGAGAAGATAAATTATTTTCTAAATCTCAAAATACAGAAAACACGTCAGTAAAAAACTAGTGGTGGGACAGTAACAACAAAATCAGGAGCAAGGTAAGTATAGAGAGAGAGAGAGAGAGAGACGAAAAAAGCCGAATGTGAATGAAAAATTGTATATGAAATATATATATATATATATATTCCACCTACAATTTATATATATGGAGAGAGAGAGAGAGAGAGAGAGAGAGAGAGAGAAGTCACGAGAAGAGTGTTACTAAGCCAACGTAATTTGAGAGCCGTTGAGACCCCTAGCCATATATGTCCACCGGTCATCTTCGCTCTCACTTCCACGCAGCGCTGTATCAATACGTCAGTCTCCGTGAACGAGCCGTGACACGGCATTGCTAACCACCCACTTACCCGTTGCGACCCCTCTGAACTTGCCGATCTCGTGGCTGCAACCGTGGCCTAAAAAACTACCGCTTTAAACTGCACCTGTTACTCTTGACTTTCGAATGTCTCAGCCCCCTCATTAATATCATTTGGTTCATTGATAAAATCGCCTCTGAATACAATCCCCATGGATTTTATAATTTACCCGTAAAACATTTTCAAATGTGACCTTCTATTGCTTTATTATTAGTTACCATTTCCACTCTTATCATATTCCTTTTTCTTATTCTATTATCGTTCTTTAATTGTATGTACAAATTTTCCAATACCACCATCTTTTTACCGACAAAATGGATAAATGTAAGCATATAAAATCTTAATTCATACGAAATGGAGGGCGCCACGATTTGAGTATTGAAGTCGAGACAATTTCCTTCCTTATCGATCGAGTTGATGCACAACAGGTGTGTATTGCTTACATTCATTATGCAGCTGTCTGTGACTGCAATCTTCCTTACGTTCTATGGAACTTTGTACTACCTTTTTGAATGAGAAATAGTTTTGCAATTACTCAATACAATTACGTGCCAAAAATAGTAAAAACGAAAAAGTGGATAGACTGATAGTTTCGTTGCAAGACCAATTTAATTAATATAATATATTTATCAGTTGAAAATAAAATAATTGAGTATAAATTACATCAATTTTACTCTTGACATCATTTATAACTCTCTATTAAAATTTTTTTTCTTGATTCAAGGCGTGACTAATATTTCGATAATAATTTTTTAAAAACTGCAGTAAAAATAAATTTAATAGAATAAACATTCTTTTTAAATAAGGAAATAATATCATTGGTTAACGACATTATTATAGTATCTATCATATAAGGTTTATTGAAAAATGGAATATTCATATTATCTTTACATAATTTTTCTTTTTTGTTTCTTACTTAGACTCGTACTAACTGTGCATATTTACGTTCTTTTGTTATATTTTATTTTATTTCTTTTTTATCTATAAGTTAAAATATTGGAATGGACGAGGCAATCAGAATTCATAAGATTTAAAACTTAGCATGCAGAAAAGATAGGACACATTAAACGTGTAGCCTATTATTTACAGACAAAGTATATAACAACAATAATACAGTAACAATAAAAGTAACAATAGAATGATACTTAACAAAAACTACATGATACAGATTCGTTTACCGTATAATTTTAGTATACGATAACTTTTTAATTTTATTATCTTAGTAATAATACCACGTTGTTTCCCTTATTACGGGTAATTATGAATTTTGAGAAAACAATATTTACGAGTATTCAGATATTTTCTTAAAGTTGAGCACATCTTTAGCAATTCCGTATGTACAAATATTTTACTAATACCAGGAATATTATTGTGTAATTCAGTTAAATATTAAGGTAATTCTGGCATAACCGCAAGATATACAATACTACATATAATATTTTACATACATTTTAAAAGTCAGCGTTTCATGTTATTCAAAATTTATGAATTGTGTTTTTTATGCATTATCATAATTTTATTGGTGATTTCCGTTGAATTCGTAAAGAATGTTTTGGGCTTCCAAACTAGCTTATGATAATTTGTTGATGCACATAACGAAGCACTGATCACTGAACACAATGAAAGCTCTATCTGTGCTTTTTATTTTCTTCATTTTTTACAAAAATATATAAGCCAATTCTTATTAAATGATTGAATTTGTACAAAGCCGTACGTTATAGTTCATAAACTAAACTCTAGCCTAAAAATATTTAATTCTCATTAAAATGCAGGTATATGACATCTTGTGTTTGCTCTACTAATGCTGTAATGAAAGGGCATCATAATATAAACAGTTGAAGGTAATTGATGAAACGAGACCAAAACGAAATGAAAAGTTGTAAACACTATCATCATTGCTTTATAAGCGTACTCTCGACATTTTATAAATCAACCTTTAACCGCGCGCATGCATGTCCAGTCAAATCAGAATTAAGGCAGTAATAGACAAAGAATCTGCACGTGCACCTTCGATTGCATAAAGCGATGCTTTATTATGGTACGATATTCGTATTTTCTGATTCCTGATTTGCTTTCCATAATGTCTCGCACCGAGGTAGTTTCATATCCTAGCATACATAACGAAGACAGAAAACACATTAAGCTATAAATAATGGCTTAATCCCCATACCTCTGTTGAGACAAATTGTTCAACGTATATTCCGATTGACAGATAACTTTTTGTCTTTTTATTTTACTCTTACTTTTGTTCTGTTAAATAAATCTACGTACATTTAACAATGCGATATGGTAGAACGCATAGATGTAAATGAAAGGGCTGACGAGGTTAATGGAGTATACACAGAGTTCGAAACGCTAGAGTTTTTGGACGATGTCGAACTTATCCTTGAAGCCAAGTGATTCCTTCTTTGGGTCATACTTTTTGCGCATAGCGAGCTTGGCCCTGAGCTCCTTGGCGCTCATTGCGAGATTAAGAGAACTGCCATTCGGTTGCTCCTTGCCACTCGCCGTCGATTTCTCACTGGTATTGTCATCGTCCTCGTGACGGGTAATGCCCGAACCATTGCCGTTTTCATGGTGCAGGAAGGTTTCTCCAGCTGAGCCAATCGAGTGCGTATCGTTCGTAACCTGAAAACAACACACCAATAATTTTTTTACGCTTTACCGCGTTATGTAAGCTGACACAATTTCTGCGCAGTTGTCTATCAAGGAAATATATACAATTCAGTTTCCTGCTAAATTATCTCCGTTTCCTCTAAAATTCTTCCTAATTAAATGAACATTATTATTCGATCTGTCGACATTGGCTTTAAGAATTTCAGTATTAAAGAATATGTAATACGTCTTTGCCTTAGAACTTACATAAGGCGAAGACCTCGAATCAATTTATTCACTTATCAACTTTCCTCATCTAAGTTAATGTTTTTACTCTAAATTAAAATAAAGCAAGAGTTGTCTAACGTGCTATAGTAGAAAGCGTGTAAGAGGTCAAAATAAATTACTTTGACAGTGTTAGCCCTCTACATTATAAAATTGCACATATTAGTTCATGTAAATTTGCGGAATGCAATCACTATTGAAGTTTCATTATTTATATACAAAAATAAATGTAACTTATTTTAATATGACTTAATTTTATGATCTTGTGTCATATTAACGAATGATATAATTTTTAAATCTTGTATAATCAACGTAAAAATTCATTTTTTCTTAGTTTCAAATTATTATATATATATATATATATATATATATATATATATATAATTTTAATATTAAATAACAATATTTTTATTGCACACTTACGAACAAATTTAATATAAATAATTATATTGGTGATTTAAATAAATACCTATAAATACCTTTGAAATTACTATTTACAATTTTGTTTGAATCAATATCTTCATTAAATACATAATTTATCAATTATATTAACTCGAGTAGAGTTTTAAAAATGATATTTACAAGAGAAATATGATTCACTATTAAACTAATATTTAAAAATTTACTGGTAAAGCTATTAAAAAATGTAAGCAATGAAAGTGCAAAATAAATTTTAAATTCAGAGATAATATATAATGAATGGATAAAGCTTATTTAATAGAGAAAATATTTTCGTAATGTTATCAGTTAAAAAAATTATTGAGCCATTAAAACATAAATTATTTCAAATAAATGCTAGACTTTTATTTAGTAATGGTAGACTTTTAAATGTAATATTTTAATAAATAAATATTAAAAATCTTTTATTTATTCAATCAGCCTAAAATATCAGGGTATTATTTGATATTTCCGTACAAAGTGCATACAAATAATTTTCTTCGCGGTTTATATGTACATTACATCGCCAACAGTGAATTTGCTTTAATTAAATTAAAATTTTCGATCGTATCTAGAATGATTAAATTAATTTAATAAATTCTGATACAAAATTTAATTTGTCAAACCAATAATATACGTCAGTTTTTAAATCATCAATGGCTTAGTAAGGAATTACAAACAAAATTGTTATTTATACAATAAAGTTAATTAAATTTTTTACTTACGTATTTCAATATATTTATGAACTATTAAGAGTATATTTCTTTTACTACATTCATATTAATTATGAAATTATAAAGTTTAATATCATAATGAATTCCTAGGTTTTATATAAAAATAATAAATAAAAACGAAATGAGAAAGATTGTAAATATATTTAAAAAATGTTAAACGTATCGTTAACATTTCTTCGTGATTTAAAATGAATTCTCTAGTAATCAGTGTCATTTAATATATTTGATATAATTGCGTACATTTTAATAACTTTATTAAAGAAATTGTAACTAGTATTTTTACTGCCATCTGGTAAAATCTATGTTAATCAAATGATATCGATGGTTAACATTTATAGTTTGATAATAAGCAATAGAAGTAAATATCATAAATTATAATAACCCCAAATAGAATTTGATAGAAATAAACTCCTATCTTACAACAATAATTCCATCATCGCATATAACAAAGAAAAAAAAGTAGGAAAATTAAAAAAAATTAAAATTCGTCCACTGACGTTAAAAAGCTGATTAAGGAAGAGTATAAAACGTGAGAAAATTCAAAAGTCTGGAATGAAATATTTAAAAGTTATTGAAATTAAATATATTTTTTGCCATTTCATATAAATATTCAATAAGTTAGTTTTTCTAACAATTCCATTTTTATTTACATATGCTACACTTTCACACACTTTCTTTTTTTATATTTCTCGAGGAATTTTCACTACAGACATTATCAATATATGGAACAGATGGTAATTACCACCAAATTTGATTGATAAGGTATCAAACATCATGTTACTTATGATAAGACTTACTTTCAATCGTTATCACGTAAATGTTCAATAGTTATAAAAGATAAAATGAAAATTGTCTACCAACAATTTATAGGCTGATTCATAGGAAAATATAGGGGAGAAAAGTAACGAGTAAATGAGTGATGTGCACGCGCGCGTATATACGCAAAAAACCGGAAGGGTCAGTTCGGCAAGGTTGCGACTATCAGTGGAGCTACAGTTCCGAATGAGATATGATTTGCGGAAAATACTGCAAATATTGGTGATGCATGGCAACTCGTGACCGGACGCACGTTATTATCGAGTGCGCGCCTGCGCTTGTTTTCCTATCGAATTTTCGCGTACGTGCAGGTATTTGCGCAGGTGCGCGCGCGCGTGCTTGTAAGAGTGGCCACTTTATTATAGATGATCGGTAGCCTGGCGCCACGTCAAGGAAGCGCGAGTTGCATTATCTACCATGTTACACAAGCAATCGGGAAAAATCGGTGCCGAAATGAACGCAATAAACTATTTATTCAATAAGTTTTGCTATTTTAAGGGGCCGCAAAACTATGCCAATAGTTTCCAGGGCGATGGCTGGCAGTTTTTTATCGCGTCACTGAAAATACATAACATATGGTCGTGGAAAACCGATCGATCGATCGATTTATCGATCACGCGGCTCAAGGCTAATGGCCGACATCACAGTCGGCGCTCGGTGGACAATACGTTTATAATGGCCGATCAGTGGACGCACAGCATGTCAAGGGTTGCAGAGTGTGTATGATTACTTACGAACATTGGAATTAAGTATTGAGACGTGGAAGGGTAAGGATGAAAAAAGCACTTACCTGGTATTCAACGTCGTTGGGCCTGCGACCCAGATCTTCCTCCTCTTCCTCATCTTCGTGCTCCGCAAGATTGCGCTCCGGCGTTTTGAGAATCCGGACGCCCGGCATTGTACCCTTGATCGGTACGTTGTTAGCCTTGAAGTAGTCGTCCGCCCTCTGATCGACAACCAACAGCTTTGTTTCTGTGGGAAAGGCTTTAATGCGCTCGACCACTTGTTTATGAGTCTCACTGGCGATGTTGATCTCGTTAACCTCGACGATGCGATCGCCCTGGCGGAGGCCCGATGCCTCGCTCGGCGAGCCCTCATCCACCTTACCGATAAACTGGCCACTTTTGCCCTTCTCCGCGTGGAGATTGAAGCCATAGCCGTCAAAATTGTCCCATTTGACGATGTGGCAGAGCCGCGCGTAAGGCGCGCCGTGATCCGGTGTCATCCTATATCTGCACGTGCTCTTTTAGAATTGTCGTGCCAGTCACACCTCTCGCTCAGCTGCTAGGTCCAACTCGACAAGCGAGTATGATCGCAAAAAACGAACCACCTGAGCAGCTATCGTCAAAGCGCAATCACCGCTATCCGGGGAGTACGGACTGCGGATGAACTCGCGGAGAGTAAAACGCACCGCCGACACCTAAGATTGTCGTCCCCCACCGTCACCGTCGTTGTCCTCGCCGCCGCCACCGCCACCACAGTTTTGCTACTCTTGTCTCCGCCCAGCTGAACGTCCGCCGTCTCCGCCCAGCGGAACGTCCTACCAAGGAAGGCCGAGATTATCGAGAGCCACGCTCGTGAATCGCACACGTCGAGGCTACTCGATCGCCATACGCAACTCGCGCTTCATTCCTCCTCGAGCGGCTCTCAATCTATGTATGAGCAAGCGAGATAGCCATAAAAATCTTACTCGTTAATCATCTCGATCGCGAAATACAACGCTTTCACGACGGTAATCATCCCTTTGCTTTAAATTCGATGAAGAACAATTGAGGCTAAAACAAGACATGTGAGACGAAAGAAAAAAAGCTATCGGCTAACATTTCAAAGCTGCTTGTTATCCAAATTCGGGAAAGATGCTGGCAGTTCTTCCCTTGGATGTTGCTTGACTGCCAAGCAGCGAGTTAGAAAGGTAACGGATGGATGCCCGAGGCACTTTGAATTTGCGATACGCAGCTGGTCGATGGAGATGCGCAGCTACGATGCGCACAAACTCGACAGTGCTGTGGTGCGCGCGCGCATTAATGCAATTTCAGAAGCGACGGGTGCGCTCTCGCGGGCAGACGTTGAGTGGAAGGAAGTGGAGGTGGTTAAAAACAAGAACAAAGTCGAAGGTATAATTGTGCTGCGAGAGCATCCTAAGGAGACCTGGAGCCACAAGCATGTGGAGCCCGACGCACGTCCAAGTGATCGGTATGTGTTGCGACCGTACGCCCACACATTTTTCAAGCCTCGTCTCCGTCGATTCACCACACTCTGTTAATGTTTGTTTTTAACGACACTTTGGAGAGTTCGTTCCGAACTCGGAAGTTCTGAATACTCGGTATACAAGTACCGTAACGCGGTCGCGCACTGTCACTGTATCTCAGGTATCGTTGGTACGCCCCTCTCTAATTTCTTCATTTCGAGCTTGGTTGCCGAGAACTACCTATTTGCATAACTTTTTGCGATCATATTGTTACAACTTGTGTGCGCCCTCTCTTTATTGCCATTCAATATCTTTTCTTGTTTGCAGTTCAACGTGCCAAGGGTCTCATTACCAAGGGAAAGAACAGTGAGTATTCAACTAGCCTTGTTTTGCACTTTTCTAGGGCTTTTATCAATACAACCGCTATCTAGTAGTGAGCATACTTCTTTTCATACATACAGGTCAATGTACAAACAAAATGCCGTCTTCTTTATTTTGAATGATAGGTCAATAACAATTGCACGTGACTTTCTTGACATTCTTATAGTACGCTCAGTATACAGACTATACAGTCAATGCATATGGGTAATAAAGTCCGAGAATTTTCAATCATTATTTCTTCGAAACGCAACGCAAATGAAAATTTTTTCTCATACTTATATTTATAGCATTTACATTTTATCGCCAATGACTCAGAAATGTAATGCCTGCCTATTTATAATAAACCTCAATCAGAATCAAAGCCGAAAGCTAATCAGATTTTTGCACATAAAGTATTTTTGACGATACTTTATTTAAGATAATACAGTTATTCTAATTATCGATAAGCTTCAAACTTCAGGCATTATTTAACTTATAGATTTAATTAACGTGATTATTCGTTCATTCAAAGAATGTGAATTGTATAATTCAAAAATTTCAAATATTTTAATTAACAGTATTAAGATTTGCTACGTCGAGCTGTAATATTTTGACCGCATTTGAAAATACGATATATGAGCAATCCATCCATAGATATGAAAGTATACCTGTTAGAAATAACGGGATATACGAGCTGAAGTGGCGGGAAATTTTGTATATTCATAATTTTTCTCTCTTTCATTTTTTTTTTTGAACTATAAATATATGGTTGTATAATTATTCTCTATGTTACATAAAGAATTAAAAAATGTATGCGCAAGATTGTTTATGCTTTAATAATATACGTAATTAGTTGTAAATACAAATACTTAAATTAAAAGACATTAATTTTTGTCATATGAATGATAAAGATCAATTAGCTTTTAATTTACATATTTATATTTACGTATTATACAACCAAGTGAGCAAGTAAAAGCGAAGTAAAAACGCTCAAAAACAAAACAAAATAGAAGTGTAAATTGCCTTGTAACGGTAATAAAAGTAACCTTAATATTTAATAGGAACGAACGACTGTTTCGTAACAATCGCACTGGGAAAGGAAAAATATCAGACATCCGTAAAAGAGAAGGCGAGCGAAAATGTCGAGTGGCACGAGGAATGCGAGCTACAGATACCGCAGCAGGGCAATACCGCAGAAATTATTCTCACAACCCTCCATAGGAACTTCATCGGAGTTGATGAATTTCTCGGCACCGTTCGCATACCGCTCTCCAGTTTCGATATCTACGAAATGCCGAGAAACAGATGGTAAGATATCCGTTTGGGCTACTTATTGTAACTGGTAATATTTGATGAGAAAACCAACATATTCGTTGTAACTCTATTCAATTGCTTTATAAGAATTTTGAAAATAAAGTTACTGTAATAACACCATACTCATTAATATACTAAGCTTCCTAATTTTTATTTAATTTGTCGTGTAATATAAATTTTCATTGAATGTAATTTTCCATTAAATAACGATATGTTGAATTGATATGATTTAAACTAGTCCATTATTATAATGTATATGCTTAAAAATTTCGTACATATTTTTCATTGGATTTTTTCTTTCAAAATCGTTAGTTGACCTATACAACAAATTTGAATAAACTTTTATTTTATTAAAAACTTATTATTATAATTAAATATTTTTAACTACAATTTAAATAAGACGATAAAATATTATTTTTAAATGAATAGAATAATCCTTATTAATTATATGCAAAGCATAGTAAGAATAAATTTAAACACCATATAATAAAAGATGATTATTTTTTAAAGTTATATTATAAAAAAAAATTTACAAAGATTTTTTCTATGCATTAATATATTACGCATTATTTTTATTATTTATTATTGTTATCATATATTTTTGCAGTGAATTGCTTACAAATATGAAATATAAATTTTTTCTACAATCTTAATGTTCATTATTGATGAGATATCATCCAGTATCTTAAATATGAATTCAATAGTATAAATACTTATTAGTCAGCGAAAGAAAATAAAATTTTGAGGCAAAAAATAAGATGAAACAATAAGTGAAGTCGAAGTTCTGTGGTCGTTATTTTCATAGGTACGAGCTGAGCGGTAAACCTGGCAAAGAGAACACAAAAGAAAGAGGCAAACTTGAGGTGCGAATTTGTTTTATCGTGCGCGCAGGTAGTCTGACTGATTTGACAAAAAAGGAGCGACATAAGAGTTCATTGGGTCAGCTATCATCAGTAGCTCAATCCTTTGGAGGTAGTCTTCTGAGCATCGCTAGCTTAGAGAAGCGCAAAGGTCTGAAAAAGCTTGCTAAATCTATCGGTGGCAAAGTACGTGGCAAGAGTCAAAATAAAAATAAACTTGATGATATATGTGATGAAGAGGAAATCAGGGTAGGGGAGAGGCCTCGAACCGCCGGCCAGGAACACGGAGATGCAGACCCCGGCGTTATCAGTGACGAGGATGACGACTTCACGGTGAGACATAGAAAGTATCTTTGGACCCGAAAGGATTAATATTTGCACGTGTTTGCTACAACTAATAATAACTAATAATATATTCATTGATAAATTAATATTATAATAGTCGAATCTCTGAGAATCATATGGGAATATGTCCTCATAGTTCTTTCTATAGTGAGAGTTTTTTATTTATAACAAAAATGATTAAGATGTATAAAAAATACAACGGCTCACAAATATATCTAATACATATTAATTTATCTACTTGTCCATTCTTAGTTTGATGACCTCTCGCACAAAAGCTCAACATCGTCTCTAAACTCATCGGCAACACCAAACAACACCTGGAAGAACAACGAAGTTCTAACGCGAGACAATCGTAATAACACATCACGTCCTGGAACCCTGGGTATATATATTGGTTCGGATAATAGACAGTCTGAAACGCAAACGGTCGTCTTCGGAAGTACGCCGCCGTCCAAGCCACCACGCTTCGTCCTCGGCTCCAACGGTTCTGGTAGCTTTGCTATCAAATCGGAAAACCAGCAGCAACAAGGAAATATAGCCGAAGACGAATGGGGACAAAAGCTCTACGGGTTTCAAACTGGTAGCGCTCTTAAAAGGTTAAAACTTTTTTTGAACTTCTTTTAATTTAAAAAAAAAAATTTTTTAATTAGAAATTTTCTAGTGTAAAATAATTTTTATTGCAAATAGTAAATATTCCAAGTCTTTATCAACTATTATTATAAAGAGGGCTTTATAAAAATATTCCAAATATAAATATGATGGTTGATGGAAAATATTTTAATGCATATAAAAAATAATTAGAATATGTTAAATGGCTCATATTTCATTCTATGCGTATATTTATTAATATATATGTATGTATTTATTAAGTAATATAAATTGGGTCAAGAAAAAAGCAGAAGTTGAAATGGTAATCAAGCATGATAAACCAGCTTTTCTTCAAAAATCGATAATAAATGTGAGTTGATCAGAGAGAGAGAGATTGGTTGAAAAGTTAACCATAATTTCAGCTCAATATCTTCTTCTAGTTTCAATGGTATAATTTAAAACGCTGCTGTGATAATGTGTACAGGTGGGAGAACAAACAAACGAGCCCGAAAATTGTAATCGAGGGGCCGCACGAAAATACAGATACAACGGTATCGGAACGCAGCACGTCTCCACGATCTTCGCCTATCACGAGATTGAGCAACGAAATCAGTGATTCATTACGAATCCAACAAATGCGTAAAGACAAGGACAAACACAAATTCATTAAGGAGGCTGAGCGCAAGGAACGCGCTAAAGAAAAAGGCATCGGTAAGCCATCTTCCGAGAGGATCATTATCGGAGGTGAGGAGTCAGCTAGCCAAGCTATACAACCTGGACGATTTCCCCGAGAAATTTCCGACCAGTTCGACGGTAAATCACGAGAGGTAAGTAATAAAAAATTCTAATCTTGTATATAATTGCGTATCTATGCTTATTATTTGTAGCATAAAATTTATAAGTAATGATAAAAACAACATTATTAACATAATACAAGACTTTACAAATGATAGTGTAAAATAATAACATAATTAATACATAAAATAAAAAAAAACAAAAATTTTAGCAAATATTAAAAGTTATAAATATGAACATGTGTTATCAAGTGTAACATGTTTAAATTTTTACATCTCTTCATTATCAATAATACACTTTTGATAAATAAATGAAATGCTGTTAAAGCATTTTTAATTAAGGTATTTGAAAAATGATAATATAGTGCTCATGTAGCAGTGTATTTTTATGGCAAATTTTGTTGCATTAATACCATTTTATGAACTAATCAATATCTTATTAATTAAATAATTTAATTTACATAATATTTTCACAACCTTATTTCACCTTATTGTATATGCTTTGGGTATTCCTTTTTATAAAAGATGCATTAACTACAACTTGTTTATAAAATAATATTGTTTATAAAATAATAAATTCAATTTTCTAAAATTATGATTGATATGTTAATTTAATTTTATTTATTATTTATTTATTTTATATATTATTATTTTTTTATAAATATAACAGTTCTTGTATTACCATTCAAATTTATAATTTTTAATATACGTTATTAAAAATATTATTTTATTATCAGTATTATATATATTTTTACTAGAGGAGTTTTTATTTACTTTTATATAATTATATGAAACAAGGAATTGTAATATTTGTATCTTGTTTCTCTACATTTCAATATAACCTCGTAATTTATAATATGTTTTTTTAGCTTTACTTTTGACCGTCTATTACTTTTAATACGCCTAAGAATACTATATTCCTTTAAATAAATATATTTTGTATCCTACGTAGTTATAATTTTTTCAAATTAATTTTTTATATTTTTATTTATTCTCAACCTTATGCAATAAATAAGATTATTTTCACAGGTGCATTCTTTAATTATATATTAATTTCTAATGTAATTGCCTTAGGTTAAACAACTATACATTAATAGTACATAATTACAAATTATTTGCTATCAATAAAAACAGGTTTTTAAATGTTAAATATTTACATGTATATATATACATATAATGCGTACTACTACTAATAGAAACTTTTCGATTATGTGTTGGTGTAGTTTAATAAAATTAATTCATTATTTCAAATTATATTTAGAATTTCGTTTCTATAAATCGCAATAAACCTTCTGTACATAGTCAATAGTAATTGCAATATATATTACATTAATGCACTTATTTAATTACACTACGTTCGTACGTTTTGATCATATTTAATTTAGTACACAATATCAACGAGAAAAGTGCCTATACGTTGATCTTGTAGACTCGTAATTTTCTTTATATAGAAAGGTATTTAAATTATACTTCATAATTTCAATTTTATTTTTATATCTATATCGTACATTCGACAGCTTGTGATTGAATAAGAAATATGACAGTATGAATATTTACCGTGTAAGTAATATTCTTTATTTACCTCGTTTTATTATTTGAATATTTTATGTTTGACTCTGCTAACATTGAATTATAACCTTAGCCTTTAAAGCGCCACCTTGTTAGCCTCTGTTCACGTATAGATGTATAATACATTATTTCTACAGCGTTTAAATCCAACATAAATTAAAAAACAGACCATATACTATAGTCTAAAATTGAATTAAATATAATATTCATTATAGACATTTATTAAAATATTGTGAATACTTTTACTAATATGTTACACATATGATAGAGGTTCTTCAGTATTATAAGTTTTCATGTCCTACCTGTAATAAGTCTCAAACCTCTATATACGAAGTAAGCTCGACCAATGAATTAACTGATTTTATAATTAAAAACATACTATTCATAATTGTTATTATAATATATTCTTGTATCCAATTAACTATCATAAAAAATATCATATTTCAAAAAGTTATACTTTTGCGTATAATTCGTAATAATAAAAATAGTAAAAAATATGACTAGCAATAAATAATATAAATAATCTTGTAAAGTACAATATTACATTACAGGATCTCATTGAATTGGTACTTCAACTTCAACTTGATGTGTCAGATCAGAAAAAACGACTGCACGATCTGGAAGATTACATTGATTCATTGCTCTTAAGGGTGATCGAATCCTCGCCGCGCCTCTTACAAAATCCTTATCAGCCAACGCGTCGACTTTCATCACCAGGACACCAGTGATAAACCTACTTAATAATCTTATTTGTCTTCCAAAAAAACTGCTGACATATCTGTACATAAATTAAAAAAAAAGATATACTAATAGTGACGTCCTTTTTTTGAGATTTGTATTTGCAAGTAAGACGAAAGCTCTTCAAAAAAAGAAAAGCAGGCTGAGGAATATCCGTCCGAAATTCTTTATATTCCTAATTTCCTATTTCCCTGTATTTGATTTTGTTCTTAAATAATATATTTTATTTTTAATATTAATATAAACAAAATATATGTATGCATGTTTGTGTTTGCGAGTGAGAGAAAGAGAAAGATGGAGTACGTATGTGTGCATCTGTGTTTGTGTGTATGTGTGTACAAACAAACTCATATTACAAATTAAAAATAATAAATGCATAATGTATATGCATAATATATTTTACTATTGATTATCAAGTTCTTCGTAATTTAATGCGTCTTGTAAATCTTGCAGAACTATATATTTACCACGTGGAGGACAAAATTTATAAATTTTGCTAGAAGGCCCAATCCATATAGATCATTTAGAATCACTGCTCACTAAATAATGTATTGATTTTAATCAACGATAAGTTTAAGCCTATATCATTACGTTGACTGATCTAATCATCCAAGCAAACTGACGAATATTACATTTATTTATATATCCAAATATATTTCTTATTTCATTAGTGTGTATTTTTTTTATATTTTCATATCGAAATATATAATATACAATCGAATTGAGTTTATTTTATTTTAGGTAGAAAATAAAGCAATAATTGTTGGAAATTAAATATATATTTTTATATACACATATATCATATTTTATTTATATGCATATCATTATATGAATTTTTATAAATAGAATCATACAACGATAAATAACAACGACGATGTATAATATTTTTTATAATATACATATACACACATACAAGTGTATAGAGTCGATATAGAGAAAACCGATATGATAAAGTGTAAAAGGCGATTAGTTTTGTTAATACTGTTTAAATAGAAAGTTTAGACAAAGGCTGAATCGCGCATCAATTTACGCGTCACAAATAGACTATATAACTAATTCTTATTCGGTTTCTTTTATTTTAATAAATTTATATATTTTTTTATAAAGTTTAATGATGTTCGAAATTTGCATTTTATATTTCTCTTATTCTACTAGGGATTCCATTGTAATTTTATTTTAACTATAAGTACAAAAAGAATCCAAACTGTTTTATTATTAAGAAAACAAATATTTAAATCTGTAAGGAATTCATTTTCAAACTTCATTTTCGCTTGAAGAATATTTTTTAGTACGAGTTTTAATGAAAGAGTGATAAAGCAAAAATCCGCCAACAATATTGTATACGTATGTGTGCGTACATCGTATTTGCTTTAGTTTAAATTTTACATACATGCATATATTGCATTGAGTATAATATGTACGCAAAAAGAGCACGGTATGAATATATTCTTATTTATGAAAAAACTTATACATTATATTATACAGATATTCGTTTTTATTTTAAGTATATGCAGCAGGATTCATACCATAATATACATAGAATGATGTGCTGTGCCCTTAGTATCACAGACAGGCATAACAAAAATATTCAATAATATTCAATTTCAGTTTTGGAGTTAGGTATAACCATATATAGTTATGAGTATGAATTCGTATTGTAATATTGAGAATTATCTTAAGAATGTTATCTATAACTGCGTTCATTAAAAATCAAATATTTAACGCAATTAAATATTAAAAATAAATAAATAGATAAATAGACAAATTGAATAAGTATTAGGAAGATTCAATTTCGCGACGTAAGCATTAAATGTAGTTGTTACGTATTTCTTCTTTATAATTAAATTGCTAATGGAATGATTATACATGTTATAGAAAAAAAAATAGACAACTGAAATACTCGGCACAATTATTGTCATATATCTTTTTTCTTTCTCTTATATAATTATAGCAATATGGAAATACATTTTATTAATTCGATATGCAATATATAATTCCTTTTACTTTTATTTCAATACATATTTTCATGCAATTTACAAAAATTAGTTTCAAGTCATTAATAAAAAAATATATATTTAATAGCTATCGATATTTTAATAATCTTAATAAAAATTTAATAAAAAAAATAATAAAATTATTTTAATAAACAATTTTACTAATTCTTTTTAATAAATTATTTTAATTAATAAGTAAAATAATGTTAGCCTACTGCAACGATTAAAATGTATATTTATTTAATATATTAAATACCGTGGAAAATAAACACAATGTATTATATAATTTTGAACAGTTACTTTTTGTAAAATAATTTAAAAAACAATATGGATCTAATATTATGCAGATGTAGGTTATTTGATAACAATTTAATTTAGGTATATAATATATTTACTCTGTCGTTTAATTTGAATAGAAGAAATTTTTGAAATCACTTAAGCCAGAAGATGTACTTACATTATAAACTTATTATTTATATTTTAAAAATCTCCCCTTATAATAACATCGTATAACAAATACTATATGTAATGATTCAAGGATTGTTGTTGTTTTAAAAATATCAAATTACCGAAACTATCATTTATATTAATTTCATATACATTATTTAAATTATTTTGGAAACTTGCTGTCTGTCTTTAAAATTATATTAATCAATATTGTATCTGTCTTACTTATAATTTTATTATTAAATATCTTATTCAAGATAAATTGAATTTCAATTCACTAATCAAAGCTATAATTAAAAAATATTTCCAATTTCCTTATTGTTCATCACTGAAAAGCTACTTAAGTACAATCACTTAAACTTTAGCTATGCAATCTCTTATATTTTAAATCTCCAAATATTTATTAATAAAATTATTGTACAAATTTTATAAAAAAAAATAGAAATATTTATATTTAACTTTAATATTGTTAAAACAATTACTTTTTATATTTAAAACGTTCAAAAAATAAAATAATAGTCTTTCACTTATATTACGTAACAAACTTATTCTACCAAGGAAATATTATTTATTTTTAGAATGATATTAAAATTCCGCAAAACAGATTTCTTCAATAATTTAATATTGTTAAAATAACAACAATTGACGATACAATGTATCATTTCATCCATTTAATAAATAGTTTATTGATGCGAATGAGTATTTAGTGTATTCATGCAATTAAATAAATTTTTTTTATAGTTTAGTGCGAAGGGTATAAAAGTTATACAGTAAATTTTTTATCAAGGCCGTACAAAGGGAACATGGATATGATTCATCCTAAGCAATTTAAAAGTAATTTTACAGAATTCAAGCCCAACAATTAAAATAAAATTTATAAATAAAGCTCGGTGCACATTAAAAAAATATTTTTAAAATTATAACAGGGCATTAATTTGTTATATAAAAAATAAATTTAATGTAATAATTTTTTATATGTTACTCAAATAACATCACAATATTTTAATAAATTGTATGTTAACAAATTTATCTTTGTAATTATTTTTAATTTTTAAATGGATTTAAAAAAATATTTGAACATTATTTAATATTTGTAAATGGTTTAATCATTGCAACAATCGTAAGTAATAAATTCATTTCCAAGCTCATATATCTTAGTATATAATACGTTATTTTAACAATGTTTAATTTATTACATTTCCAAAATTTAACAAAACTTATATCCTTATATTTTTTATTTAAATACGAATATAAAAAGAATGACTGTTATTTGTTTAAAAATTTGATATAATTTTCATTAAAATAAAATTTTGTTACAAAATAGATGATAATAATGCGTGAGGATTTTAATATAATTATTTTGTAAAATACTTATAAAAATATTCCAATAATTTAAATACCTTGATAATTTTTTCAAATTATAAAATAAAATTAAAATTTGTAGAAATATTTTATTGTAATGTAATAAAAATTCTAAATATTTGCTAAACTATTTACTTTAGCACTTGAGTATTATTTTAGTATTAAATAATTCACTGTTATGTAACAAGAAACTTTTCAATTTTAACACTGCATTGAAAATACAATCGAAAATATGAATCTGTTTGATAACAAATTTATGTGCCCTCAATAGAAAGCATGCTTTTATTATATTACATTAAGTTTAAAGGGCTTTCTGAACTTCCTTTTTAGGCAGATTGAACAACGTCGATGAATTCAATAGCAACGATGCATGAATGTATGATTAGATTATAAGCGTATGTGGGTATTTATACTTGTACGGTTATCTGGATGTTAACGTGTATGATTTATGTACATTGGTTGCAAAAACTTCATCTCCGCGATAAGAAAATATCATATATAAATTCCTGATCCGATATGAAGCTGAGCGAAAGTGCCGTAATTAAAGAAAATCCAGTAACACGAGTTAATTAATCGTCTGTGCGCGCATGATATTGTCATTCTTCCCAACGAAGTATAAAAATTGCGATTACTTCCATGTAGCTTCTTAGTATGAATGTGAAGAATTTATTTCGTAAATTTCTACAATTTAAATTAGTTTAGCATTATGTTGAAATATTGTAATTTTACCTACAAAATACTCATAGATTATTTATTGCATTTTCATATCAAGTGCTAAGGAAGCTAAAACTGTTTCAAACAGAGGCGCAAGAACATTGAGCTTAAATTCAAATTAAAATTTTCTCGTTTACACTCTTAGACGTTTGATTGAACAAATTGAAGGAAACGAGCTCTGGAACGCATTGCCATCACCTTTCCATTCTGCCGGAACTTTTGGGTCTTCGTACGAAACTCTAATCATATTAATCTACTCAAATCATATAAACAAATACGCTTTTGTGGACTATTTATGTATTTAATGTCGTGTAGTGCCTTACCTTAATAAAAGCTTCGGATGGACCGTGAGCAACAAGGGCAATAACAAGAAAAGACGTTTGCACAAAAAGCTAGTGTTTCCCGGACCTAAAAAGTGTCTACTTCCTGAGCGGATGCCACATAGCGATAGGTCGTCGCAGCGCCGTGAGCATCTGCCTCCAATGAGTAAGAGCGTGGCCCGTCGTCGTCGCTCCGACAATCACGTGTCCAAGCGAATAAGGCTTCGTTTCGGAGGTCAGGTCGCCATTCATTTCCGCTACTGTTAGCCTCAGCTGAGTGTTCTGAAGAGAAAAAACTCACAATTGCCATAAACCAGCTCGTTTTTTATAAGTATATTCTTTAAAGTATTGGATAAGTAATAATAAAAGAACCGTTTTTATTTATAAGGCAATAATACATTGTTTCTAAATCAATTCTATAACATTTATTATTACACTGTACGACAAATTAAATGTTTTTATTAATTACTGTTTTCGCGTTTAAGATTATTAATTATTAGGAATATTGAAATATCTGAACTCGCACAATAAAAAATACATTCGAATAAATATATTATGTATGTGCATCTATGTGAGAAGATATATCATCAAAATAATAATTACATGTAAAGTATGAGCTGGCACATTAAAGATGATCGCCTCATTGAAAATTGGGCTCTTGTCACCCTTTTTTATTGACGTACGCTTTTTATGCATTTTTTTGCCTTGCTGCAGCATGTACACCTTGAAAGAAAAATTAAAAAGAATTGCCAACAAAATTATATACATATGCATTCTCGCACTTTCTAAAGAGCGCTCTTATGTTTATTTACATACAAGTTTGCTAAAAGCCCATATTCATCCATTTATAAAGGTTTGACAATTATGAGCCATCTGAATTGTGAATTACTACATTAAGTAACAATATTTACTTTTAATAAAAAGCTTTAACTGTATGTTTTATTGAATGTATCAAATTTATATAAGCCCGAGCTTTAAGCTTGATCTTTATTTTTAAATAAATAATAATTATTCGGATCCCAAACCTATAACGTAAACGAGCTCGTCGTTTTTTGAAAAATCAATCTTTGTCGATTAATGCATCTTAATTAAACTCTAATTAAGATAAATCTTTGTTTATTGTTAGATAAATCTATATTTATAAAGACTGAGAAGAGTATCGATAGCAGATCGAGGTCGTACTCGTTTCATAAATATATAACATATATTAATACGAACCTTAACGAAAAAATCACCGGGTACCTCGGCGGTGCCGCGCAAGTTACGTGCCTTGACGAGGACTAGTGTCAACCGTTCAGCTGTTGGCAAGTAGCTAAGTGAGAACATAAGTTCCCCAAGACGAGGCATAGACAAAACTGAAGACAGAAGAGGCAACCATGTAGTGGCGGGAGGTCCTAGTGGTGGATCCAAACGTAAACTCGCCTCCCCCAAGAGACTTGAATCAATGTCCATTCGACCTTCCTCCGATATCTCATACGAAAAGACCTTTGTGCCAATATTCCATTAGCATTTTTTGTGATAACAATTTTATCTTTATACTCTCCATTTCTTTGGGCACTTTTTATAAAGGTATACATGAGATGTGCTGTATTGCAGAAGCTTTGTATTATGAATGTTCTTAATATTCGCCTTGAATTGGAGTTTTTACAGTTTAATTTTGATTAATTTTCAATTACACTCAAAACGATACCTAATACCATGCAGTATAAAGTTTGAATAATACTAAATATAAGTTTGAATATAAATTAAATAAAATATTTTTAATACCACGAATCGACTGAATGTTCAAAAAATATAGAAATTGAAAAATATTATCCAAACAACAAAATAATGCATATAGAGTTGTATTATAACTTAATTTTTTATATTGAATGATAAATAATGCATGTTAACTTAATTATTATATGAAAAACATAATTACCGATTTATAACGCTTAGCAAAAAAAAACTGAAGCATGCCAGAAAAGCTAATTATATGCATAATATTAACTAGATGAAATATAATTTTTATAATTCATAGGAATACGAAGATGCATATACCTAAAAAAGAAATTAATTTTTTATCATTTTTAAACTAATAATAATTTATAATTTATTACACTTTTATAAAATATATTTTTATACAAAATATTTTATCATAGCCAATAAAAAAATATTTATAAATTTACTATTTCCGGTACAAAAATTTTAATCAATAACTCGATTTCAATATAATTCAAAATCAAATATATTTCTAATCTTTTATTTTAGTTCCAGCAGTAGCTTTATAAAAATGTATCAGAATTGATACTTTATTCAATATAAGACTATGAACTAAGAATTTTACTGTTTAATATATCGAAGAATAGACAATAGACAACAATACAACAGAACAACAAATAGCAAAATAACAGACAATATTCTTAATAACAATTTAAATAAAAAATTGTATAAATATTTCATAAATTTTTATAAATATTATATATCTATTGTATTTAGAAATATCTTTTGAACGCATTTCTATATAATTCCTTTCTCTTAATGTAGTATACATGATTTCTATGTAGTTGCAAAATTTTATTATTAAAACAGCTGAATCTTAATATAAATTTCTAATATCTTTTCTACCGATAAATATGCAATGAGAAATTGATTGTTTAAAAATCTCAGCTAATTTATAATCCAAAAAATGATTAAATTTTTTCTACTAAGCTATAATAAATTTATAGGAAAGTTTTACTATGAAAACTGTAGTTCCTTAAATTAACTATAGTGAACATTAACGGTAAGGAGAGTAAATTCTTACTGAATTTATTTCATATTAAGAGTACTACAACATGCAAAAGAGTATAAAAATTTACCTCAACGAGAATAGTCCTGCCGATAGGTCCACCATCAAGAGGAAAATAAAATTTCTCTTGATAGCTAGGTGAGTCTGTGTTTTTGTAAAGCCTTGTTTGGATGTAAGTTTGGCTATCTGGAAGCAAACAAACTCTCGCAAACGTGTGTTGAGCTGGTCTGCTATCTGGAGCTATCAAATCCCGTGCCTCCAAGACACTCACAATCAGTTTTGAGTCACCAATATGACTTGGCCAGCTACAATAGTGAAGCGTTACTCTTCACTCATTTTAAATGCATATAAAATATAATTGAAACATTAAAGGCTTTATATTTGGACAAGCGATATTATTTTGAATTTGAGAAATTTAAAAATTAGAATTCATGATTTACCTACTTTATTTTTGTTTTATTAACACGGTACATAAATTTTATATGTAAGTAACAACTAAAAGCCAAGATAAAAAAAAGTGAGACTATAAAATTACGTTAAAAGATAAAGGAATAAGATGATAAAAAAATGAGGTGAAAAGATAAATATAAAGACTGTGATTGTTGATGCTAATTTACCTGTCGTGTTCAAGGCCAATACAGATCATGCCGACGATAGAAGCATTGTCGGGGCTGGGTTCAAGGTCATTCAACACGACACTTGTATCGGAGCAGAGACTCTCACAGCTGATGGCGCGCTGAAGACAAGTGAGTTCCTCATAATTGTTATAGCAGCCATTGAACTGTGGTTCCGACTCCAGTCCCAAAGAGCTGCGTCGCGCAAGCTGCAGCCCCTCCTCTACCACTACACTCTGGCAGCCGTTCAAGATTTGCGAGAGCCGGCGCTTCATTTGCGCCTCCTTTGTAGCGCTCAACAGTCCCTGGTTACAATTCCTGCGCGCTGACTCACACACTTCGAGCTTAAGTAGATCCTGAATGCCGTTCAATCGCTCCTCCGAATCTCTTCGCCGGTGTTCTAAGCTGTTGAAGATATCCTGGAAGAAATATCAGGATTCAAATAAGTTATAGTTATAGCTAATATAAATAATAGTTCAAAGAATTAAATATATGTAATCAATATGTTCTCATTTATTAGACTCGTATTTCAAGCATGTCTTGAGTCATGTTCGTTCTACGTCATCTTAACAATTAATGAAATATTTTATCAATATTTAGTTTATGACTATTTGTTCACTGGTTGGTACTTAACGGTTTTTTGACAAAAGTATTGCTTTTAATTAAGCAAATTCTTTTCTAAGAAATGATAAATAGCAATTTATAAATTTGAGATAAATTTTAAAGCACAAGTATAAGTTTATAGGAAAAAGAACCACAATTAATGCAAATTTCATCTTTAAATGTGGCTACATTCTAATGCGACAATAGAATTTATTTAGATTAAGTTCCAATCATTTAAGCATAATAAAAGATGCTCATTGGATCGTTTCATTGTATGTTCCATTTAAGGTATTTTATTAAGACTTCCATAAATGAGTATTTTTATTAAAATGATATAACTTACCTCAGATGTTCTTGTAAAGCAGGGGTCCGATAGGTAGGAATAGGTTTGTTGATCAAGATTAGTGAATAACATTGGGGAGACTGGAGGATCTTGCAAACTATTAAAAACCTGTTATAATCAAATGAGTTAGAAACAAACAATGAGTGAATTCTTATATTTTTCTAAAAGAGAGAGAGCGGATACCTGTTGAGCTGTCCTATGCGCCTCTTGATTCAGCTCGAGACTATACAGATCAGTGGCTTGCCGAGATTGATCCGTCTGGACATGAGAAGAAAAGTTGGGGTGGTCTTGTTTATTGGAGTGTGAAGAGTTAATCTCGGAAGTCGAGCTACATGCAAGATTTTGTACGTGTTGCGCTGATGAGAGTATTGAGCTGTAATTTATAACATTTAACAATTTCCAGTTTTCAATAATCCATATTTTTTAAGTATTTATTTAATCTATACTATATCATTTTTATGAAGATCAATGAAAACCACTTATGAATGAGCTTATAGTATTTAGAGATCATGAAACGCGTACTTATAAAACTCGCTGGCATCGATGTAGCTGTGAGAGGTGACAGCTCTCAACGCCTTGAAGATCTTCTCGCCGGTAGTGGGTTCTGGACTGTCGCCTTTTTGTTGTTGCTGCTGTTGTTGTTGCTTAGGATCCGGTGGTGCAGGTGGAGGTGCCTCCTCCTCCTCCTCATCTGTTACACCGTAATAATGGACGTTCCCCGGAGAGTCCGGCAGGCTCTGGATATATCGAGTTATGCGCTCTAGGTCTTGAAGATTACACTTGCTCGAAACCCGATGTATATAGCTGTCCTGCGTTTTTGTCTTCTTTCAATTTAAGTATTGCGTTTGCATCAGATACTTTTTGCTTTCAAGCGCCCTTCACACCTTGCGTTAAACTTTTTTTAATATAATTTTCTATTGGAAACCATGCAAAAATCAACAATTTTGGTATTGAATATATTATTATCGATCATGTATTATTTCACGGTATCGGGTACTTTAAACATAGAAAATTGGTAATAATTGAAAGAATCTATTAACTTGTATACAATAACTTATTCTACAAATAACATTTACCTGTACACCATAAATGGAGGCATAGCTGTTATTTGTATCGCGAACAATGTTGTAACTGCCATATGGCTGACTCGTATCATTTGATAAGTGCACATCCTCAGAGTCGAACATTTGCTCACTTAAAGCAGCACCTTGTACACTGTATCTGATTTTTTTAGTTTCATCCAATGAATTTTCAGAATCCAACCTATTTAAAAGAGTTTATATTCGAAACCGCCTCAGCATTTACTATTCTACAGCTATATTTTTGAATAGTAATTATAAAAAAAGTTATTGCAGACTGCAAAATTTAATTTAACAAAATTGACTGTTATGGGTTGTAAAACTTCTAGGAAATGTGAAAAATAGATTATATTAAGAAATTGCTGTAATATAAAATAGATCATTGAGATATACTCTTTTATATACAAGTTATTTGGGCTACGTTAGGTGCTCTGATGAGAAAGCTTTCATACCTCATGGGTTGTCCATGGAACATCAGAGCCATGGCTAAAGTATTCGGTGCTGGCGGTAAGGGCGGAGGGGAGGGTGAATCCACCTGGAAGAACAGGGAACCCCGATGGAACCTACTGAAGGCCGGGAGTGGAGGCGGAGTCAGGGGCGCAGGTTCGCATTCGCGAAGGCGTAGGTAGTCGACGTTGGTAGCAGCTCGCAAAGGTGAGGGTCGTGGTCGAGATGCTGCACGGGGCTGAGGTGCCGGCCTCAACGGCTGTGGAGGTATTTGTCCGAATGATTGTTGATGCTGGTGTTGTTCAGTTGTTGACAAATGTAGATCCCGATCTACAGCCTCAAACCTATTGATTAACGATTCCTTTTTTAGCCTTCGTCGCGAAGCTCCCAAGTTCTAATCGTGTTTCATTGATTCTCCTCAACTAATTTCATTTCGCTTAACCGCTTAAAAGTAAGCAACACTATTAATAATAATTATGTAACTTCAGCATTCTGATAAGTTTTTTCTCTCTCCATAATTAAAAATCATTCCACTTCTGTTGACTGTATTAAAAGATTGGAGCTCCATTTTAAGTAATTACTTTCTATTATAATTTTGATAATATAATATATTCTGCGTTAAAAATATTTTTCTTATAATAAAACGAAAAGCTTTCTTATTAATTGATTTAAAATGAACAATGTTTATTATTATAGAAAATCATAAATTTATTTACATACTATTTTAATAAATATTTCATTGAATTATGTGTATTCCAGTTGACTTCTATTAATTCATTTATTAGTCATTGGGTAGAAGTAGTATTAATTATTACAAATATTGTTACACAATAATGTTATTAAGTTAAATTCAACATTTTGAGACTTGAAATTTATAGTAAAAACTTACTTTTCATTTATCAATGTATTTTATTTGAATTTTATTAAATTATACAACTTTTATCTATTTTATAAATTTTTTAAATTTCATGATAATTGTTAGCACATTTACTTGCAATAACATAATACTCTCTCAAAACTCCTTTAACTTGCTTAAAAAAATAATAAAAATGGAAATAATGATGATAATGTAACAAAATTTGATCTTTTGCGAAATATCAACTGAATAAAACAAACAAAAATCAGATACAGAAAGAGCAATGTAATACATTTAAAACTAAAGAACATTACAGGAGAGAAAAATATTTCTTCAATCTAAAAATATTATTTCAATATATTTTAAGAATACATAATACGAATTTGATTAAAACACTTATTTTTTGCGAAATTCATTAATAAATAATAGAAAATATTAAAGCATTCTGTAATTTAAATATAAAATAAAATTAATTGACAAAATCTGTTGTACATTTTATAGAATAATATGTTTAAAAGTATATATGTAAATACATTCAAAAGGATTTATAACAAATGTATTTATTTCGCACATCACATAGAATAATATAATAAATATAATATTATATTATATAAAAACAAATCACATATAATAAACGATAACAGATTAGATACATGTAAAGCATTCTACTGACCTCGTAAATGCTCCCTGAGCATCCAATCTAAGATCGCTGTCAGTATGAAGTATGTACTGGGAAGAATTTGTGCTGGATTGTCGATAAAGGCCCGGGAGTGCTTGGGCATTCGGATGCTGAGCTTTCACTAGACCAACCTTCAAAGAAACAATTACTTTCATAGAAATTATTATCTATTAATTAAAATTTTATATTTCGAGTTTATCGCTACTATTTCAATTGTTAATCGTTAATAATAATTTTTGTTAGCGCATGAATATTAATTTGTAATTTTTCTCATACACATTCTAATTAAATATTAATTATTTGAAAAAATTTTTTAAAGAACCAAAAATGATTAAATAGGCGGAGACGAATATTGTGTATATATTTTATTTCGATCATGTATGTAAGGAACCTTTGACAATTTATTTCATGGAGCTTTATGATATATATAATCTTAATAAGTACAATAAATACAAATTTTCAGCTTGTAAATATCGATGTTAATTTCATTAAGAAAGATTATAAGTGTCGATTATAGTTGTTGTATTTGAACTTGTACATATCTTATAAATAATAACAAAGAATAATAAAGTATAATATATAATAAAGAATAAAATTATATTATAATAATAATAAAGAATATGACGGACATCACTCGCTTACCTTTTCTTCTCTGGGAGCCCACAGCCATGCAAGTTTTCGCCGCCACTCCTCGCAGATAATCCATAGGTCGTGGAGTCCACACTGCCATCTCAAAGAATATCTGAACATTAGCGTTGACGCGTAAGTGGATGGGTGTGCATATGCACGCAAGCCTACCTTTTGCAGATAATGGCACTCGCTCCGGCCACGACGAGGAGCACGACGATAACACCGAGGCCCCCGAGTGCCCAGCTCATGTCCTCCACTTTGTTATTACTCTCCGCTAGACATCACTCGACTTGGCTCATAGTGTTTTACTGTCTATAGCAGTAACTCATCTTTTACATCGTCCGTTGCACACAATTAAATCATATATTGGTCCTGTTTGGAAAGACATCCGTACTTATAATTACACAAGTCTTTAATTCCTAACATTCCAATCCCACTCCATCCCCTTTTAGAATATCCTTTGAAAGACGGACAAGTAGCCGAAGTAGAAAGAAATTTGTCACAGAACTGACGTGTAGAAATGAGTGCTTAATAATTTAAAAATACTTGACGACTGTGGATTATCGAATCGAAAAGTATTAATCGAACATAAATAATATTATAGGTATGCAAACCAGTGGCTCTTATTGGAGAGTTTTGAAAACCTGTCAAGTGGCCGGAAATAGCCTCGACACGTTCAATTCATGGTTGTTTTTGTCTTAGGACTCTGTGAACTGCATGTAGTTGGTTGTGTCTATGACTGGGGAACAAAACAGAAATAGATAGTGAAAGGGCCTGAAGCTAAATGCGAAAGCTCACTTTACAAGGTGACAAAATAATACCATTATATCCCGTTTTTACATAGTTAAAGCTATTGAGTGATCGAAATGCTCACTTAAGGCAACACACACACTCTATTTACTATTGTACAGAAATGATTTATCAAATTATATTTCCATTAATATGCTTGCTTTCCATAAGAAACTAAGTACATGAAAAAGAGCATGCGTGAATGCGCGGTACATATACAGGACATCTCATCACTAATTGCAAGAAACTAGGGCAAATGAATTCAGCAAAAGAAAATAAATATTAAGTACAATGAAGAGATGGGGAACTAAAAGGAGAAGATGTGAAGAAATCAACAACTGAGCCCTTTATTTATACACGTCCGCACGCACACTCACTCACTCACAGAGAAGAGAGAGAGAGAGAGAGAGAGAGAGAGAGAGAGAGAGAGAGAGAGAGGGAGAAACAAGAAAAAGAGAGAGAAAAGAGAATGTGGACTCTGTGCCATGCCATCTGTTTGAGTCGTGGACTCGTAAATTTCAAAAGACCCGCGATAAACAAGAATAACAGATCTTAAGAAAGGATAAACGCCGATCAATAATGCAAGTGGCTTCGATGCTCTTTGAAGCTGGCATCCAAACGCAACGACTTACCTACTGGTGACAGCGACGGTGGCTCCTTAACATTTCCATCCTAGGGGAGGCTCAGAACACTTAACTTGAGTCCTAAGCCAAAGATCGAGAGAGATCGACGGCGACGGTGTCGACGACGGTGTTCGCGTCGGTGGCGGCGATACCAGCGTGTTTCAGCTGCCAATGTTCAGACGATAGCGTATTTGTGGTAGTTGGGATGCAAGCCCCCTCTAAAACTGATATCCTCGCCGCATGCGCAAAACTGAATTCCCTACTTCCACTCCTTATGCCTTCGATTTTCCCGAGGTTAAGCGATCGCCTGCGCCCTTCTTTCAAAATCCATGTTTTTATTTTCCAAAATTAAGAATCAACTCCAGAGGATACAATCAAACTAGCCTTGAGAACTTATCAGTTTGTCTTATTAACAGTTGGTAAAAATATTATACAATTACTTTTAAAATAAAATTTAATTTCATATAAAAATGTTTCTAAAACAATAAAGATAAAAATATTATATTCTAAACAAATGAAAATAATTTTATAATAAAACACAAGTAAATTTTTTAAAATAACTGAATTACCTTTAAAATATATTTACTCTTTATTAATAATAATTAAGAATAAGTTATATTAATAATATTAATCTTATGAAATTTATTATTTTATAAAATTCCTGTAAATACATAATTATATAATCTTTGCAATACAATACAATACTATGAAATAATAGTAGTACATAATTATTGTTTTATAACAACGGTACTTTTAAATTTTTTTAATGATGCTTAATTGAATATTTTATCAATATTCATTACGATAAAACTTTTAAATCAACTTTGTTTATAACTATATTATCTTTGTGAAATAAGTTTTTAAATTAATATCATGAAATTTTTTATTGTATAAAAGTAGATTTATTATATATAAATAGAAATTTGATTAACGAAGATAAACCGAGTATGTTTAAGTAGAATTTCTATATTAAGAATAGTTACTATGTTTGCCTTTTTTCATTATAACTATTACTTAAAATCATTATTACTAAAAATTACTATCATGTAAAATAAAATATTAATTAAATTGATATATGTATAAATAGGTTCGTTTTAAACATTAATATATCATATTAAATGTTCATAGAAGATAAATATGAATTATTATATTATTTATATTAATTAAACAAACCAATTATTGATATTCTATTATTTTTGGCATTCATAAATATTGTTTCTTACATTAACTACTTAAACAATTTATATTATTGACAATTATATTCATAATTTCAGAAAAGGTTTAGATTTATGTATGGGTGAAAATTCAAATATCTTTAATTCTATATTAATATTTAATTCTATTCTTAATACCATACATAATATATTTAATTACAAAATATATTATAATTTATTTATCTTTACAGAATTTATCTTACATGTTAATATTACGTACATTTTTAGCAACAAATAAGTCGAAAAATAATAAGCAAGAAAATTAGACTTATAAATCACAGAAATTGGAAAACTTGCAATTTTTTTTATGCATTTTTCATTCAGTTCTTCGGTGGAAGGAAATTAAAATTATATTGGTTAAAACATAACAAATTTAATAACAATATCTGATTGCACATAAGTTGGAATTAAGCGGGTATTGTAGAATTAAAATTACAAAATTATTAATCAAATATGGTTTGATAATGGTGATAGAACAAAACTATAGAATTATGAAATATCTAAAAAGGTTATTCTTTAATTAAAAGTATCTAAATAAAAATGTATAAAGAATACATGAAAGTAATACATAGTTGAAAAATATTAATAAAAAAATTGATACAATAATACAGATTGGAAATGCAATTTACAACTTATGAATAAATGGATAAATATTAAATAAATTTTGTTGTAATATTATTATGATTTTCTTGTCTATGTTTTGTTGTCATCTTATTTTCTGTTTATTATGACAATGCATGCACGTGAAAATATTTTTCCAGCATACTCTAGATAAAATATGTACTTTAAATTTTATTAAAAATAAAAAAGCAATTCACTTTATTGGTATTTGAAACTTCTATCTTATCTATCTTATCTTTGACTTAGTTTATGGTAATTAGAAATTTTAATAACTAATTTTTCTATGAATAATTTTCAATTTTTACGATTAATTTTAGATTAAAATATAAATGGTTTACAACCATTGTGAAATTGAAAACATAAATATGAATGCCGCTGTACTTTATGGAATAGAAAATAAAAAATTCAATAAAGAGGGGCCACCTTAGTAAAATATAGTCGTGATAAAGTATACGCGGAAATACTTGATGCATTCAATTTATTAGTAAAATACAGTAGTTTGTAATTACCTATTTTATTTTATTCAGTATCTCTAAGATCTGCAATAGCACGTTGAAAATACAGCATCATAAAGGGATAGCAGATTTGTAACACTACTAAAGCAATGCAAGAGGATATAAAATAGTAAGCAACATAAAGGATGTTACATTATTACATTTACAAAGATGATAAAAAATAAATCCCAATTTTATGTTCTCTTAAATTATTTTACGTGAATTTATTGTAAAAGGGAAAGTTTCACTTATAAATGTCGAAATACGAAACGTCGATTTATATCAAAAGTATAACAAAATTAATCAAAGTGTTTTAAAAAAAAGAAGTTATAAAAATAATATGTATAAAATTTAAAATCAACGTTTAGAAAAATTTATCGTAAAGTTCTGGCAATAAATTTCCATTATTTGAAATTTACCAATAAATTGATTTACGAAATCATATCTTTTAATTACTCTTTTAACGACACAGTGAGCAATTTTTTTTAATATTCTGTAATAATATTACATAATAATAATTACAGATTATATTTTACAATCCGTATTAGAAAAAAATACAAATAAATTTATTACAAGGGTAAAGGAAAAAATAAGTATGTTTAAAGAACTTTACTTATAAGGAATATTCATTCAAATTCTCAAATAGATAATAAATATGCATGTGTAGATATATCCACATAGAAAGAAAGTAAATAATTAGAGTTCATTGAATCAATAACCAGATCTGCCAATATGTTTGAATCAAATTAAAAAAAAAGGTTATCAGAGAACATTTGAGTTCTAATCAGACACATGAATAATTATTAGAATTTGGATGTTTGTCATGTCACTATATAAACAATGGTTAGTATGAAAAATGTGAAATCTAAATTTCCTCGGTGTTGAATACTTGCTATTTGCATATGACAATAAAAATGTGTATGATTTCATTAATGTGATGAGTGATTATTTCATAATAATTTTATTTATATTTAACACTAATATTTAAACATTTATATTAAATGTTTTTTTTAATAACTTTTTTCTTTTCAAACTATTCATTCAAACTATTTATTCAATTTATATTATCGATATAGATATAAGCGACGAAATAAAAAAACACGTTATTAGTTGACATTTGAACTACAATTGCTGCATTTTTTAATTTAATAATATTTTTAATAATGAGCATAATATAAATATAAAATCTTTTAATCATAGTAAAATTGAGAGGTATTAAAATCACGAATAACCATTCGTTTTTCCTTTGCCATTAGTCGATAATATATCTTATTAAATAATATACTCGACTATTCGTAAGCTAACTTAAAAATGACATTCATTGTTTATCGAAGTATTGAAATATTGTAAGTAGAGTATAGATCCAAGTTGAAAATAGCTATTTCGAAATATAAGCCAACGCGTGATATGATATTTACGATTCAACGTGAGTTTTTAGGATACCATAATATTAGTATAAATTGATCAAATATCAATATAAAAAAGCTTGCTATTAATGTTGGTGTTGACTATAAAATACTGGATATTACAAAATCTATTAGTTTTAACAACGCATTGGTGATATCTGTTTCATACTTTAATGTAGTATAAAGTATAAACTTATGAGATATGATATTTTTAAGAATGAACGCTGATTTTGTGACATTTCATCGAATTTTTTCGAAGATCGTATCTTATAATGGATTTGTTTAAGCCGTACTATTAACCCCTTATTCATAAAAATAAAAGCCACTAAAACATTAAAATTTAAAAGTTGGATGTTATGACAATGGACTCGGAAACTATGGTCCCTCTTAAACCAATGGCCGCAAAGATGATAAAGGTTAACGAGGAGCTTGATGAGAATTCTATACATGGTAGGGAACACTATTAGTACTTGTTGCCGTGGCTCTGCGATCGATAGAGCGCGCCTGCAATGATATACGCAGTGATAGATGCCCTATGGGCGTGGCGTCAACTCCAAGGGTGGGTGGGTTAACCTGTTGCCGTGCAAATTGTGCGCAGTTGGATGTCCGTTGTCGTAGCCGGCAGCAGTAGTTTCAGGAGCAACAGCAATTACAGTAAACAGCACCATCATTATTGACTGAGCTTTGCACTCGAGGTCGAGAATTCGAGAACGTTGACGAGTATCGTCGCTTTGGAGGTACTCAAGTGCGTTAAGGTGCCGGACAAACTATCCGAAGTATTCGAAAATGTATTGGAGTTAGCTAGCGGACCGCCAGCGCGAAGTCTCAAGACCCAGGGCAGCGCTGACACAACCACAAGTAAAATTGGCGCCATAACAGGAGTAGCTTTCATCCGGGGTAGGTGGACACAGCGCCATAAACAAGTTGCTTCCATGGCTCAGGACAGTGAGGAGCAACAAACTAACTCGGAGGTGGGCACCTGTCAAGATAGCGGTCTAGTGACAAATCCTGGAGTGATTCGAAATATCGAACGATCTCCCTGCCTGCGCACGCACACTCTATCTCCGAGTTTTCAGGCGCACCCCCAAACACGATTATCCTGGTGCACGCCTCACCTTTCCTATTTATCCCTTTCTTTTACAGAACATAATTACATCTATTTTGTATACATTCTGGCTTTCAACAATACGCATTGTTTATCACATATGTTCCTCCATTAACTTTATTAGATTTTATTAAAAGGTATCTCTTCTTGATTCAGGTCTGAGAAAATTTTATTTTTACTATATACTTAATTCACTTTAATAATTAAATGCTAAAGAATTTCCGTTCATCTATTTTGACTACATTGTTATCAACGCAATGTAAAGATCATAATTCAAATAATTTCTAACCTAATTGTATTAAAAATATTAATTTTAGCTCTTTTACTTAATCGAACAAAGCATTTACGTATTTTCTTATATGCTCGAAAAATTTAACGAACCCTATTATTTCTTGTAGAGCATTTATATGCAATAAAAAATCTATTCGAAAGTAAACATATGTTACAAATGTACTATCGTATTAAACAAAAAAAAGTTTCTTTTCAAGCACCGAATATTTAAAATATGTTTATTTATGTTATTACAATAATATTACAAATCTGAAAAACATAAAAATAGATGTAGTTTAAAGGTCATACATCATTTTTGTTGATAAACTATTTAAAATTACATTTTATTAAGTTTGAAATTATTTAGATTTAAATTTAAAAAAATCATAATTCAACTTTATATATTAACAGTAATATTGATGTAATCGATAATAAATTATATATATAAGATGCCAATCTTTTTTTTATTTAATTGTATGCGAAATAAAAAAGTCGAATCTTTTCATTAAAGTTTATTTAATGCAAGCTGCTACTATTAAATTATCGATAAATACCGATAAATATAAATAAAATACTGATCGAGAATATTGAGACTTTTAGTTATAATAAACGATTACAAGCTTGAATAAACTAATATCAGTAAAATATATCAACAAAATTATTAAAACAATAACATTTCTCTATTATTTCTCCAATTATAGTAAATTATTCTTGATATATGAATACCGACATTTAATGAAACTGACATTACAAAAATAATAGTATTTATTTTCTTGGTGTAGAGTGGCACAAGATCTTTAGAATAAATAATGCTACAAACTTGTTGAAATATATTTAATCTCATTATATCTTTACAATTAATAATGATAGGAGGAAAGTTTTATTTAAAATATTTTATTAATTTATATTAAAATGACACTATTAGTATGATTTCTGGAGATTTTACAACAAAAAATAAATAGATTTGCATCAATTAAAAAAATTTAATAATTTTTTACCATTAATTACAGTATTATGAATAATAATTGCTTTTTTCATTTAAATTAAATAATTCTCATATTTACGTATTTATATATTTAGTATTAATTGTTAGATCAGAATTAATAAATAAAACCTTTTTAACCTAAAATAAACCTAAAATATATTTTCAAATATGTAATAAGCGATGAGGGCAATTCTTGAACAATAATAAATTTACCGAATAAATAAAATACAGTAAACGTGCATAGATATTTAGAACAGCGCAATAATTTTGCAGGAGTTCAACGTGACCAAGGAACAACGTCATATTCAATCATCAACGACGAGTAATTCAGGCAAGAATAATTATAAACTAAATAAATGTCAGTGTAATTGAAAACGTTAACCCACAATTATTAAGGAGTATTTCAAATTCGACTGTTTTAATTTTAATTTTTCCTTTCAAAACCTTTAAAAATCATATTGAATATAGATTCGGATGAATGAAAATTGCCGAAGTAATTTTCAGGCTTATAAACAATAGCCATAAATAAAATGATTATCATTTTAACTTAAATATAAGCGTATGTTCCTTTAGTTGTTGCAAAAACTACAAGATTTTTGAAAATCTTTTTGTCTCTTCTTAAATTAAAAAATATTAGCTCGCTACTATTAAAAAATCGTAATAAGAAATAACATTATGATGATTACAAAAAATTGTTCCTTAAAAGACCAAAAGTTTTAAACAATGGACACACTAAAAAGGCTATTAACAACGCAAATAGTTATTGAAGTATTAGCTCATCAGCTATATATAGATAGCCTATATACATCATCTCTATAACGATATATAGAACCATCCAAACTTTATTAATCGTGTTATACTAATAAATGCGACATTGGCTCGCAGTAAATCTGCCCTTTAACTCGCTTCAGTAGTCCACTTCTCTATTATGATAAAAAGAGCCATTAGTTAAAGATGAAAATGGTTCCACAGGGCCCAAAACAGCACAACGGCGATCCACAAATCACGTGGCTCCCGTCATGAGCCGAGTACTTTCGAGCTTTTCGGGGCAACTTTCAATCGGCTCCCAGGAACAACTCTCAATAGTCGAACAATCCCAGATACGAACCTACGAGCCAAATGGCCGACAACAGCAACAACAGCAACAGCATCAACACAATAAAGTCCTCCACATTGCTCCCCCCTATCCATCGAGCAGTAATTCCAGGTTACCAGATATTTAGTCCTCTCAATTCAGGCTTGTACAATGCATTGCGATAATAACGTCGACTAGTCGCTTCTCGCATTCTATACTTCCTAATTATTACATTTTTATAATAAGCACTCGATTCTTTAGTTAATCACTTTATAATGACATGTAATAATAATTTTTAAGCTGCTGTTAATCATAAAGCGTAGTTTAACATATTTATTTTTCTCGTTTCATCGACTAAGATTATTCCTTATAACTACATGTTACTCTTTAATAAAATTCTTAAGTTTTATGCATTGAAACCACCTACGTAAAAATATTATCAAATATATTCAAATTATTTCATTATTATTTTCTTCTGAAATGCTTTTATATACATTAAACGAGGAACTTTATTGTTTACATCTCAAATCGTTACAATAACCAATGGTAAATTACTTTATTAACATATATTCGCAAAATCCTCCTATTTTTCATAGAATTTGATAATTAGTATAATTAATGATAATTCATTTTAAAGTACCATGCAATAACTGTACCTGCGATTATTTTTAGTACAAAATAAATTTCTTATCCTCTTATTATTGCTTAACACCTATTAAAAAATGTTTCAAAGTAAATGAAGTTCATCTTTTCAGTTTTTACATTCAACTGAATTAAAATGATTAAATAATATTTATTATCTTATTATCTTGTTAAATAAATTAATGTACTTTTCAAATATATAGTATCTACCATTAGTAATTATTAAACATTTTAAACAATAGAAAATATTTTTAACTCGTTACTTAGTAAAATGTCAACCCATTGCTCAAAAAATTTGAAATTGTAATAACTATAGAAATAAATGTTTGAAAAAATGAATTAATAATTTTCTAGTATATTATCGAAAATAAATATATGAAGGGTGAAACAAAGATAGTATCAGGAGATTGCATCTAGATTTTTCCAGTAGGTCACCGTCACCGATATGGGCAGCATCGTCAGATGGCCGAAACTCGAGTCCTCTGGACCTGGCCTCATCATCTCTGCTCTCTCTGGTCAACTCTCAAGCTGTAGCTAACTCTTCGTCCGGAAACTGTTCACGAAGATCGTCAATCGACTACGTCCGCTGTCTTTCACCCCTCCGTATACCCCCACCTCGTACCTATTTCACCTCTTACGGGTATGTATTCGGGAATTTTTTTATTCAACGCCTTCATTGTTTTTTTTTAATTATTAAGACTTATGTTCAAACAACTATTAAAATTCGAACTTCGTTAAGAAGATAAAAAATATAGTCAATTTAGAATTTTGGTTGGAAATCAAAATATAATAGAGATATGTTAATTATTGGGGCATATGTATTCGATTATTAAATTTTTATTAAAATTATACATAATATATTTAATGCGCGTAAATACTAATATTTCATATTAACGTAGAAAACCTTTTTTTTCAGAATGGAAAATATCATTTAACAATTAAATAAATATATGTCAAAAAAACAAATCCAGTGCCTCTATATTGATTTTAAAACGTAAAATACTATTATAGTATCCAAATATAATATTAAACACTTATACTAAACTTACTTATTAGTATATATTCGTGAAATTATTAAAAAATTTTTACGTATTATATTATGTATCTAAGAATCGGTATAAATGTCAAACTTATATATTCCTAATAAAAATAAAAAGTATACTATGTTAAATAGTAAAATAGATTTTATGACTACTATTTTTAATTGAATTAGGCATCATTTTTATACTGTTTACACTTTTGCATCTAGACTTTTTTGCATGTTATTAAAAAATAATATTTTAATATAAATTATACATGTGGAAATAATTTTATGCATTGACATTCATTATCATTTAAATAACCATGATATTATTATTATGGCCGTTTTGTTTTAAAATTTGTTGTAAAAATATATTTTAACTTTTAATCATTATGATCCACTTTTAAATTCACGTAAATTAAAATAGTTTAATATCTAAAGGTATATTTTTTGACGTTTCTGAGATATTCTTCATAATTGATTCCTAAACTCTTAATTGATTTAAAATAAAATAATGTTCACAGCGATGGAAACTCCGCACCTCCAGCATCTCCATTGGGTTCCCTACAGCCAAACTTATATCACCGTAATAGCGGTCCTTTATTTCTCAACAGTACACAACGGTAAGTACTTGTTATACACTCTTTTTATTTTACAAACAAAGGCCTCTTTTACATATTTTCCATTCAATATTTAAAAAGAAATAGTTTATATCAGAGAATTCATGCATCTTCACTTATTAAACTAATATATATGGAGTTTGAAATCACAATATTTCTTTTAATAAGCATAAATATGTCCAATCGACTTTAAATAGACAACTACTATATTATCACAGGGTATATATAAAATTATGATTTATGTTTTCTATATTAAAATTACTAAGTATTATAAATGAATTATAGTATTGTGGAGTAAACGCACTTATCCATAAGATTGTTAATATTTTTTGTTGCCACTTATATTAAAATAAAGAAATCATAAAGAGTAAAATGAAAAGTGTCGGAATTATATAAGTGACTATTTATTAGACATAAATGATAGAAATTCCGAACCCCTATATCTCTAATAATCAATGGAAAATTCGCTCAGATCGGGCAAAATTCTTGGTCAATTGCACCTGCGTCTGAGCTATGACTTCGATAAGTCCGATCTCAATATTCACCTGATCGAGGCACATGAACTCGCTAGAAGTGAACAAGGTGGCTTCAATTATCCATATGTCAAACTTACTCTTAGTCCAGAGGTAGATACACGAAAACGCCAGACGTCAATACACCATAATGATCCTAACCCATACTTCGATCAGCACTTCAAATTTCCCGTGAGCTATGAAGAACTACAGGACAAAACTCTACTTCTACAGGTATAAATCATGAAATTATATGCGTAGTAATTATTTACATAAAGTATTGTTTTTTCCACTGTATCAAGTGCGAATGTTAGGGTAAAGTTTATAATATTCCTAATTATTTATTACAATTCGAAGATGTCCGCGTCAATAGTAATGACAATGAAAAGCTAATATCTAATAAGCTTAGAGAGAGAAAAGTCAACTCTATTTAGCGATAGATTTTATAGATATTATGATGAAATAAATAGAGAACTATGGTTCTCATTATAGGTTTTAGACTATGATCGGTTTTCGCGCAATGACGTGGTGGGCTCAGTACGTGTAGCTATGGAGCAGCTCGAACTCTCATCATCGAGCTCGTCAATCGAAGTCTGGGGTGAGATAAACCGTGAACGAAAGCCACCCGAGGAAACCCAGGAAATTCTCATCTCTCTCTCGTATCTGCCTTCGGCTGAGCGGCTCACTCTTATCGTACTCAAAGCGCGAAATCTATTCCCAACTTCAGGCAAGGACAGTCTTGATCCCTTTGTCAAAGTCGGCCTGATGTCTGGCGAGAAGCGTGTAAAGAAAAAGAAAACTGCCGTGCGCAAGGCTACAAGGTGCCCTATTTGGAACGAGGCCATGTCCTTCAACGTACCGGCGGCTTCCCTTGCATCCTCTGCCATCGAAGTAAATCTGCTTCTCTTCTAATGCTTTATCTCGCAATGCCTTCGGCTTCGATGTACATATATAGCATGCACTTATTCTAATTATTCATGTATATCATCATTACATTCACGAGTATTCTCATTTTGCAAATCAATATTATATTACAATTATTCAAAATTCGGTTATTCACTCATTTTTTCCTTTAAATTTAGTTTACATATTTGAACATTAAAATTGAAAATTTTAACCTACTACTTTTAGCTTTAAAAAACTATCATTTGAATTTTAATTATTATGAATTGTTCCAAATAAACATTACTACGTTCAATCTTGATATTAATTAATTTAAATAACAAGCAAAAAGCATGTAGATCAAGTATTGTAAAATAATGATAAACAAAAAACTGTTAGCAATTCAGAGTTTGATAAAAATGGAACTAGGAAAGTAATTTGGCTAACATCCTGAAAAACTTTATCTATAGATTTGTGTTGCGGACTCGAGCAGTGAGCTGATAGGCAACAACGCAATCGTGGGATCGTGCATTGTAGGCCCGGGGATAGGCGTGACGTCATTCCCAGACTCGAGCGCAGCTAACCCAAGCAAGGAGCACTGGATACACATGACGCACTCTCCGAGGAAGGCCATCGCCATGTGGCACACGCTCCACTAAACGCTAGATCCTTCTCCCTCCCAGCTATTATGGTTATTCTTGTTCATCCCTTTCATTACACTCTCCCCAGACTCTTAGTACCCTCGCTCGCTTTATCTCTCTCTCCATTAGCACGCAATTTGTTGAAATTTCAAAATTGTCGATATCCTTTTTTCTCCTTCCAAAAGATTCTTCAATTTAACTCTCTCTCTCTCTCTCTCTCTCTCTCTCTCTCTCCAACTATCTTTATTTTAAACATTTTTATCTATCTATTAATTTGCTTACTGTTATCAACATAAATGAATCAGCTTGTTATCAGGGAGATGATCTCCACTTTGCAGTCGTCAATAAGACGTTACGATTGCGTGATCTCAAACGTGGATTTCTTCATTCTCTCTATATATGTAAGTAGGTGTAACTTTTTTTATTTGTCAAAAGCTAATAGTATCCTTTCTCTACGATCAATTAAATTATGTGAATGGACAATATTCACTTGTAATTATTCCAAGTTTATGTACCGAACATAAAATCAATATATTTAGGAGATAAACGCATAATATCACTTGCTACATCAAATATTATTTTGATAAAACTATTCGAACCCAAGAATTACGTATCCAAATTATCAAAATATCTTTGGATGGATATTAAATTTTATACTATAATGATATAACTTATGAAGATTAATTTACATACTCATCGTATTTCTAAAAGCCGCTAGTATTTCTATAATATAAATTCAAATAAAATAATAAAAATTTTTAGAAGTTTTATGACATTCAAATATGCTACAATTTAAATGAAAAGTAAACAAAAATATTTACTTGTATTCTAAATTAAGTTTTTGTTTTAGAATTACAACATTTCGCTTTTTAGTACAGAAATAACCTTCTAACTAACTCTAATTTAAAACTTAGTTTCGAAAAATAATGATAAAGAAAGATTTTCTCTTCCTCTCGGATATTATTAGATATTGTATTAATATATATCACTAGAACTTTTCCTAGAACATATTAATAACAATTCCTAGAATTTTAAGAAGGCCAGTTAAGGAACAATTATAAAAATTAATTTATTGAAATAAATTGACTAATTTCTTCTTTATAACATTTAACTAAGTCTGAAAGGTAAACGAGTTAATTCTACAACTAATCGTTGTAGAATATACACAAGCTAATAGAGAGGAAATACCTTATTTGATGGTGCACAAATCAAAGTGCATATTTTAATTACAGCCGCTTATTGATGTGCCGTTGATGAGTTGGAGTCACACGGCGAAGGTCCATGTTATTCAACTCTCTATAAAACAATCCGTCAAATAGGAACAAATCATATGTGTTTTACTTTCTGCCAATGCTCATTCACAGCCGCACTTGCAACTTTGCAAGTTTTTATAGTCTGCGAGATTTACATAGAATACTCATCCAGGAATTCAGTACACGAACGCATATAAAAATTCTGTTGCCCTCCTATTGTACTTCATATTTCTAAGAGCTGTCTCCCTGAATACTTGAACCTTACTTACATTTATGTACCTTCAATGTTATTACCCCTACACATTAGAATAATTAAATAAATAAAAAAAAGTATCAAACTTTACAAATTTTTGTTAAAGTGATCTTCATATTAATATGGATTCAGTAAGTATCATGATCATTAAACATTAGAAAAGAATATATACTTTTTAACTCAGGAATATTAATAATAAAGAATACCAAAAATATAATAAAAAATATCATAAAAAAGACGTTATAGTATGTATAAGAAACGTTCTGTAATCGTGAACGTCAGAACATCGTCCGAATTGTACGCTTACTAAAATATATATTATTTATATACAAACCTTTTATAACCAGACTCAAAGTTTTTATCAATTGTTCCCTATTTTAAATAAATTATTTATTCCCAGTGATTATATATAATACATTATAGAAGGAAAGATATTTATCTAAATTTTAACATAAAAAATAGATGTATATATAATTTATTAAAAACCTATATACATTGTATAATCTAGATTGTCAAAACTTTATTCAATAAAAATAAAAATTGGAAGAGGTCCAGGAAATGAGAGGCTTTTTATAGTTAAATTTATTGCCTTTCTTTAGACAATGTTACAAATGTAATTTTCAGAATTATTCATAACTTACAATTCACTTATTATAAATTTTGATTAAAAAATACACAATATAAAATCAAATACTATTATGATGTTATGATATATCTATATCTAATTTTTAAATATAATGCTGGCTATTACTTTAATTTCTTGAAATATATCAGGCAAATCTCTTTATGTACGTATATATATATATATATATATATATATATATATATATTAAAATATGCATTCAATATCACACATAAACATATATACATTGCATATATTGTACCGCAATATTTGACCTAATTTCTTCAAAATACAAATTACAAAAGTATAAAACACAATATCGTAGTACAAATGTAAAACATTAGAAAAAAAAAAATATATATATATATATAAGTATAATCGGATGAAAATAAATTATAAGAAATTAGACATGGAAAGAAAATAAAATATACGTGACACGTGATTAAAATAAAAAACTTTCCAGACATGTAATTATTAATAATAAAATAAATAAAAATTAACGTGATTTTCATGTTTATGGTGTGAATTGAATCTTTGTATTGTTGTGATATTATATTATTTGTAATTAATCCAATAAAATCATTAATATAATTTATATTAAATGTTTAAATTTCCATATAAGCCATTTTTATTTATCCTACATAATTCGTTCCGTTCGATATTATGGAAATATCTATAAAATTAATTTTATTCTTAATTTTATAAATATTGTTTCTCTATCTTTAGTTTCTCTTAACATATCAACTTTTAAAATATATTTAAATAAAATACCATTTGTTACAACTAGTTACTAATTAATCTTTGTGTGTTTAATATAAAATACAATTTTAAAATTGTATTAATTGTATTTTTTTATTTTTAAATCTTCAAGAGTATCTTTCAAGGAATCAATATCTAATTGAATTTCATTTTTGTATACTAATTAAAATATAATAATATTTAAATCTAATAATATAATAAATCTTTTTGAATAAGCTCAGCATAAACCGTTTTAATAATTACATATAAAAAGTTGAAAAAATCTGATATTTTGAAATTTTAATCATAAATAAAAAGTATTTAAAAACAATTTTTACAAAATTAAATATTTTTTATGATAACTACAAAAATTGAATATGTTCATTATTTATAATTATAACATTTATTTTTAATTTATTTAAATGAAATATCATTGAAATTGTATGATAATTGGATATTTTCATATACATGCATCTACTCAAAAAGTATATATACGTTGGCATGCTAGAAACAATCTATATTATACTTTACCACCATTATGTTTAATCGTAAATTATGGAACATGCATAAATTACTTTGCTTTTTAAAAAATTTAACAAAATATTTATTATTTATATTTAAATAATATTTACAATTATACATTTAAATCTATATTAATGATAGTACTCTTGCAAACGGTATTCTTACAAATGTTTAATTTTTTAATAATATTACGGATTAATTTTTAATATGATAGAATATTTTATTCCCTTACACAGCATAATAGGTGTAATTTAATCTTTCACTTTTTTATTGTTTAATTCGGTATAATGTAGTTTTTTCGATAGTAAAAGAAATATTTAATGAATTATTTGAATAAAAATTTTAGTTATATATATCTACCTAGCTCCATTAAAAAATATTAATAATAATATTGTTTGTATTATTCTATTCTACTACAAAATTTTGTATATAAATATGTTATACATCATAAAGTAATTGTATCGACCGAGTAAATTATATAAAACATGATTATTGAATAATTAATATAATCTAATATTCATATTTATAGCTTAGATTAAAAAGAAACTATACACCTGAAAGAATGAAATATTGTTATAAGAGTATATTATTTATTTCAATGAGATTTGTTTTCAAAAATTTACCTTAATATAGTCTAATGGATGTTTGATATGTAGTTGACTTACGTATATACAGTATATTCTCAAAAGTAATTTAGGGTTAGAATCAATAATAAAAAAAATTTTATTATTATAAATACTTTAAAATAAATGAATTGAGATTAAAATTATTGCAATATTATAAAAATAAAAATAATTTTTTAAAATATTTTAAATATGTTTGTGTTCGAAATTCTTAACAACTACACTATTTATATTTTTAATTACGTAGCTTCAAACAAACAAAAATCATGAAATATACTTAATTTGTGTGAATACATCGGTATTTTTATGTGTATCAAACTTGCATTTTTAGTGATAGGTCTAGACAGTGTATATATTGTGTAAAAAATACATTTCATTATTAATGTTGAAATGCATTTATAATAAAGAAAATGGCTGAAAAAAAAGAACAAAATTTTAATCATAATGGATTAACAATTTCTTGTAACCGGGTATAGTTTTTGCAACTTTTAAAAACTACTTTCTTAACATTTAAGTCTGATAACTGTTTTCTCAAACAATCATTTGTATTTTTTTTTTAAAATGTTGAACAGACAGATGATCTTATTAAAAATTTAAACAATTCTTCAGTAATCATAATTACATATTTTTTTATAATGCACACATATCAGATATATGTATTACCTACATTTTTACGCAATTTATTTTATTTAATTTTTTTATTATTTACATAAATATAAGCAAATTAATTACTTTTAAAATATATTATTAAACTAATTGTTATGAATTCATTAACTTACTACCTTGATAATGTGAAAGCTTTCATAATAAAATTAAAATAAAGATATTAAATTATATATATTTATTATTATTTATTTATAGGCATGGTATACAGGTCAACATATTCATAAAATTCCAAATGGTTTAATAGGAGTAGTTGGTATTCAATGTATAGCTCTTGATCTTTCATATAATAAGCTAAAAACAATTTCAGCTATTAAAGATTTTATATACTTGGAAGAACTAATCCTTGACAATAATGATTTACAAGATTTACAAACACTTCCTGTAATACCTACTCTTACTACTCTTAGTTTAAATAATAATAAAGTAAGTTATAAGTATATATATATATATATATTTCTTATATTATAACTAAAATTTAATCATAAAAAATATTATAATATGAAATGTAATAAAGAATAAACAATTGTCTTTAAATACCAATTTATTTGGTAGTATTATATCAGTATGTTAAAAATTAGACAATCATTTTCATAAAAAATAAATCTTTTTTCATACTCTAATTTTTAAAAATATATTTAAAAGAGATTTGTTATGTTTTGCAAAATGTAGATAACAGATATTGATTCTGCTTTGGAAATTATTCAACAGTGTTGCCCACGAGTAGGTTATGTTAGTTTGCTTGGAAATCCAGGATGTCCAGATCAATTAACAAATCCTTATGAAAACGATGAAGATGACTATGAACGTTATAGACTGTATGCTATTCATGTTCTGCCTCACACTCTACGATTTCTAGACTCTCGGCCTGTCACACACAATGAGCAAATTCAAGCCAAAAGCAGAGGCAAACTTTTAAAAACAGTTAGACTTGATGCTAAGACTGCTTTAAACATTTTTACATTAAAATCAAGTAAACAATTTAATGAGGCAGATTTTCATGTAAATTACACACCATTGCCAACTAATATAAGAAATCCTCAAGACCACAAAGGTACAAATTACTATAATTTATATATACAATTCATTAAATAAAATAAATAATATTCATATCTATTTTGTTGCAAGTTTATTAATAAATAATATTTTTATTAATACTGCAGTAATCTTTAGTACTTTTTATTTTTTACTTACTATTAAACTGCTTTGTGAATAGGTGCCTTTGGAAAATGTAAATATCATTACTCTGGTAAAAATTCTGAAGGAAATCGTTTTATATCAAATAATGATTTGTAAATATAAGAAACAGATGAATAAATATTGGTTTATCTTTTATCAAAAATTAAAAAAGATCAATAGTATATCAAGGTAGAAAAAGAATATATTTTCATTTGCATCACTAATATTCAAATATAAATAGATCTTTTTAATTTCATTCATATCATTTCTTTCCAGAAATGGAGTAATTATTAAATTACAGATTGAGGAAATTGCATTTGGTCCTTAATTCTTCTTGCAAACTACGAGCTCGCAATACAACGAATTAATCATGTATTTATAGTACATATATATTGCACATACACGCATGATTGGCGTACGAATTGACGTGCACACATTCATCATTATTACTTACATATTTGAAATCATTTTCAAAATATTAGTCAAACAGTTTTCATTAGCCCAATCGCATCACGCTTTTTAGTGTAATTAATTTACTATGTCAATGTAAATCAATAAGCCTTATAAGCTAAATAAAATTATTCCTAAATTAATTTTAGTATTTGATGAGTTTCGTTGATATAAAAGCACGAAATCAGCAAAAGTACTATTCACGTGTAAGTACATTAATGTTTTGTTTCTTCGATTATCGTTGAAAGAAACAATGTTATACAGTTTGTTACAAATAAATACCTGATAAAATGTTTTTGCAATAAGCCTTCACTTCTCGTATATTTTTTTATAACATACATTTGTTTATTCATAAATAATCTAAATTTCGTCTGTTTGTGTTTATGTGTGTGTGTGTGTGTGTAAGCGTATTTGTATGTTTATCAAATAAGAATCGATCATATTTAAGAACTCAAATACATCGATCTCGCTATTGTTGGCTGATGTAAAGTCGCTCCATAAAATTATAAATAAATTAATGGTACTTTACATCGGTTTTACAAGTTGGAAGCATGTTATTCTCGCCGTGAGAGAAAACTGTTCACAAATTACGGCTTAACAGAGATCGTCTATGATAAAGTATTTTTGGCCACGAAGAATAAATATTTGATACAAATGATTTTGTCCGTATGTAGAAAATACAAATTGTTCTGTTTGGCGCATAATTTTTTTATCAGACTAAACTTCATAACATGCATACATAAATTATATGTAGACACATTGAAAGCTAATTAATTTAATTATAGAATGCAAACTTTTACATAAGTAAGGAAAATAGAACTTTTTTAATAAATAATGACATGAAATTGGTTTAAATTTTTTAAAGTTACCTTCTTACACAAGCAACTTTCGTTAGATAACTTGTAAAACCAAATAGAAACATTTATGTAAGATGTTGCATCTATAAAATTTAACAGATTTACGAAATAATTTTTCTTAAGAACAATGACAGAGAGAGATAAGAGAGACAGAGAGAGATAAGAGAGACAGAGAGAGAGAGAGAGAACTTAAATAATCAAACATCACATTTTTAAAAATCAATCTCTTGTACATTGTCGTTGAATGATATAAATATCGATGTTTTGAAATAAAAAATTAAAATATTACTTCGTATTACAACAATACGTCTTCAAGGCACTTTTTACTTGTTTAGGTACAGTTTGTTTTTAAGACACAATGTTTAAAATGTTCTATGAAGTACCAGTTTTGCCGTGATTATGTAAATTGGGTCTCAATGTTACAGCTCCTTCCACCCAAAAATTTGGACGCTCTAACATATTCTGCCATAATGACATTTCTCGACCAGTTGCATCCATCCAATCTACTGCTTTGCCATAATATTTACCTATAATTAGTAACGCTTATCATTATCACCATATTATAATATTTTACCATAGAAATTATTCAACTTAGATGGGTAAAAAGATTAATGAAAATATTACATATATTTCATTAAACGAGAGCTAGACTAACCAGAGCCGAGATTAAATCGAACACCTCCAAGAAACTCATTACTTGCTATCCGATCGTGATCCCAAACTGTGAGCTCAAGACCACGATCTGCAAGTTCTTGAAGACTAACATCTTTATATATGAAAGTGTGATTCCAAACAGGTGATCCAACTGATCGACGAACTACACCTGTTTTTTGTTTGCCAGAGCGACCCTTATCTGGCAAAAGATAGCTGTAATTTAAATACATAAGAAAATAATATTAAACTTCAAATTACTCTTCGTTTAGCTTTCAAATAAATCAATTTCTTTATGCAATTGCTGATAAGTGAATTTATTACTGAATAATTAGAAAAAGTTTATCGATTATAATTTTCAGTTGTCATTTTAAGTACAATATGTTACATTAAATTGATTTACCCAAATTCTTAAAAACTATATTTGGTCATTTCTATGAATTATTTTCAGAAATTAATAAATCACTGATTAAAATACAGACAAAATATAATAAATAAATTACGTTTTTATATTGTTTCAATAAAGTACACCCTAACGTTGCTTTACTTTATAGAAAGATATAATAATTTATTGTGTAAATAGATTTTTATGGTATAAAATAAAAAATAAATGAAGTGTGAAAATAAATAAATGAAAAATGAAATTTTTTCTTTTAAAATGAATGTCTATAACAACCTTTTGCAGAATGGATCACAAGTACCAGAGTTCTTGGCTCGGGTTTGAAGGTTCCTTGCCTCTTTAACAAGGACATGAAGAGATCCCTTGCTCCAACTCTTTTTAAGTTTATTGGAACGCTGTTCACTCACATCACGCTCTCGATCCTGTCGCGTTGGATCGGGTGGTACGAACTTAAGGCCGACAATGACTTCCCCCTTATAAGCAACTGGGTCATCAAAGGGCTCAGTCTAAAAAGGCAATGATAAAATTAAATTTGTCTTTCTCTATGACACGTAAACGAACTTACTCTCTCTTGAAGTGAATACCACTGCGGTCGTGGATCATCGAATATCTTATTTTCTAAGGGCATTCGGACTTCGCCGAGAAAATCGTTACGACCAAACATATCCGAATGCCATACCGTTAACCACAATGTTCGCGACTCAAGACTATTTATGCTCGTGTGAAACTGTAAATAAATATTTGCAGGTAATGAAATTTAAATTTCAACTTTTCATAAACGTGTCATTTATGTGAATTTAATGTCAATAACATACCTTGAGAGTTTCATCAAAGATGGGATTCAAAGTATGTTTCTTGACTTTCGTTTTTCGTTTTCCACTCTTAGATTTATCAGGAAGCAGATAAACCTTCACATAGCTAAATAACAAAAATAATTTTTAAAATAAATCCAGCAAAAGTATTTGAAGATAGCGATAGCGTAAGTATGACGTACGGATCAGATCTATTGCGTTTAACGTCAACAGGCGCCAAGTCCTTACATTGTGTGACATGCACCTCGAATGTCAGTTGCTTGTAATCATATTGAAGCGAAAATTCAACCTCTCCTTTGACGGCAACGGAGCCACACCACCGACCCTCGCCAGCCCCGCTATACACGGACGCCATGGAGTCCGAGCGAGCCTGCATTACACAAATTGTGTTTTATATCCGAACATTGATTATGCATTATAAAAATGACGTTTTCTTTTTTCTGAAGTGCGAAACAAAGAAATTTAAATTAATAATTTCTTCTAACTACAGTCCTTGAACTTCGTATCTACTGTAAGTGTTCTTGGTTTATTTTTTCGGTCTTTTTCCCACTTACATTTATCAATATTGAAAAGTGAAATTAATTTTTAAAATTCCCATAAAATTGTGAAAGTAGTTCGGTGCATTCTAGAAAATACAGCCATTATCGCAAACATGATTCTGAAATAACTGCGAAATTTAAGTCATTCGTACAGCTACGCTGCCCAGAAAAGATCAATACTATTACATATGTGTGTGAAAGATACGCGATGGATAAAAGATCATGACACTGATGCAATAATAATGATAAAAGTGACTGACCCCGAGACTGGAAAGAGAAGATCTGGTCACAAGATGAGTCGTATGAAGACTGCGCTCAATGTCTTCCATATCGATATTCGTATGACTCGATCCTATCCGAGAGCTCGCTCCAATGATGGGAGTACTGCATGCCTCTGATAAGCTGCTCACTTCATCTATTTCCATTAGAAAAGCCAAAAATTATGATACTCCTTATATCTTATCTATGTAATTATGTATTAAATAGTAAAATTTATTTATGTTATTTTTGTTTAAATTTTGCCTTTGGTTATCTTTTTGTACAGCATAATATAATGTAGAATCTTACGATTACCAGGAGAAAATGTGATAAATAACAAAAGTATGAAATTAATGAGTCGGATGAATATAACATACCTATCGCTGAGAGGTTCGCAAAAGTTTAAAAATACATCTAGAAAAAGGTTAGTCTTTGGGAAAGCAGCAAGTGTTTACTGATGCGTGGGAAAAATGGAAAAGCCGTATTCTCTAATTTACTCATTTTTGTTGCTATACTATATATCCGGCAGCGTAAAATACCGTCACCGACAAGTCGATTGAATATCAGATTATGAACTAGATATCCCCATCAACTTATTCTTAAACTAAATTATGTTTGGCTATTTACATTATTAATAAAAGTTTTTAATTTGCTCATCAAATGAATACAGTCGATAATATGCAATGAATTAACCAGTATCTTAGTGAGCTTCGTTTCGTTTTATTCGGCGAGCTATTAACATTTTAAATACAATTAAATATCGAGAGTCGAAAAAAAGAATAATGCTCCGACTGAAAGTTTTACAACTTACAATTAGCCATTATTATACCATTTTCGTGGCCTCTGAGAAAAATAATGTATTGATATTTATATCAGCAGATGTAGGATATAAAATGTAGGAGAGTAAAGCAAGTTTTTCTCCGGAAAGCCGAATGGAAACCATTTGTTTTGCCGCTCTACTTGTCAGACAAGTTAATAAGAGCGCGAAGAGTACGTCGTTTTCAAGCCATAACAAGAGCTCGACTTCATTTATTCGGAACCGCGACTTAGAACGACAATGACGACAATACATTTCTTCCTTTTAATGCTCTCACTTTTCAAATTTTTCGGACACATAATTAAGCATCAACGAATAGTGATTGTCGTGAATAATGGTTATCATTAATAGATCTGTTTAGTAATATCGGCCGACCACTTAGTCGCTCAATTACATCTATCGATCGTAGAGTACCTTCAGTATAGTCACCAAATATGTAAGCAAAAGGAAAGTAGGCGCTAGTTCCATTTTCAATGAATGTTGTCGCTTGCACAATGTCACATAGCTGACCAGCGGAAAAGTGGAAAAAACACAAGCAAAGCGTAAGTAACTGATAAAAGGGACGTACTATGGCGGTAGTGACGGTATCAAGTAGTAAACCGTACTCAGGTGAGCTCAACAGCGTACTAGGCTACGCCGAAAGCCGTGCAAATGTGTGTCAAGGTGAGAGTCGTCAGTACATAGCGACACACGAGATTTTGCCGAGAGCGGACCCGTATTCTCATTCTATCTGATTTTTCCTGCTACTACCGAAATACTACCTTCTTTAGTATATCAAGAGATCTTTTTTTGGGTCCCAACTTAATAACCCTAACATGCGTAACGTACAGTTACCTAAACTCTATTCTTTTAATTTTAAATAGTGCCAATCTATACTTTTTCGGTCACAATTTTCGAAATTTTTTGTGTAAAAGAAAGAGTTCGCCTTCATTGTATGCGCATAAAATATGGAGCAAATAAGGCTAAATAAGATATTTAATTATAACGTGAAATTATTTATTCTAAAACATAAAAATAATAGGCAAATTTATAAACAATTGCTTAAATAGAATTAAATTCCAATTTTCATTGCGATTTACTTATAGATTATGAAATTACAATAGTCGTGCTTTGTCATTAAAAAATAACTTTTAGGTCAAACTATAGAAGCAGCAGGCAACTATGGAAAAAAGCTTGAAAGAGAAGAGGATGGAATATAAAATACAAGAGGGAGGGTCGGTCGAAGAACGAGAGGTGGGGACTAAGTTGAGAGTGAAATTCTAATAAGGAATTCACGGGTGCTCGAGAAAGTCGAATGAACAAGTCTTCCTCCTTTCTAGGTTTATTATGAGAAAATTTCTCGCACAATTATTCACGTGTCTAGCCCTTAATTATATCGATTTACGCTCGTAAGTAAACCTTCAACAATAATAAATATCATTAATGAAGATAAAGTATACAAAATTTTCGAATGCCACAAACAAACCTCGAGAGATTCCAAATGAGCGAAAACTGATATTTTTTTTAATTGATGTTTTTTTTACTCTCGTTCTTATAAAACGAATATTTAAATATACAATTTAATATTCAAACACGATTTTTCTTTTAATCTGTTCGTTTTCTAAAAACTTCCGCCAAATCTTTTTATACAATTTGAAATTTAATTGCTATAACTTTATGTGAAAGTTACAAATTTCACGATTTATTCGTAAAATATGTATAAATATTTAATAAACAATTTTTAAAGAAAAACATTAATTAAAAAATCGAATTCAGCTTGAAATCATTGTTGTTAAAATAGCTATTTATAAATATTTAAACACCAATAATAATAACAATATTTATTTGTGTCATTAAAAATCTTCAAGTTATATATGTTAACGATATTTCACTCACTTAACAACTGTGATATTTTATTTTTAATAGTTTTTAATTCTAATCTAGTATACCATATAAGTATGAATCAATTAATATAATTTCTTTTAATTGTAATGTATAAATATTGCACATAAATATATAAAGGTACACAAATATTACAATGTACTAATTAATTGGCACAGTATATGAAAAAATTGAACATTAATATGTCTAAAAAGTAAATATGTGTTGAGAAGAATTTGTATAACTATAATTATAACTTTATTAATACCGATAACTTGTATTTCTAAGTAATCACACTTAATTTTTTGAATACACATTTAAACAATTGGTTTGATTCTTTTTATTTTATGATAATTTATTAAAATAATATCTTTATAATAAAGTTCGTATAAAAATTATATACTTTTTCACGATAAAGTTACAGATTCTTTGAATTTGCAACAATTACTTTATAAATTTATTATAAATTTTTACCGAATGTATTAATGTTAACATTTCATTGGTTTTATATTCAATTGACTATAAAGATCGCAATATCACTTTTGTGTAAGAAAAATAAAGATTTAAGACCCTTTGAGAAAGGAGTAAGAGCCAATAGCGACGTTAATATTACAATATAGTCGTAGTTATAAAACGAGCAAAAGATTGGATGACGCAATTCTGAAGTCTTGTGCGGTTGTGTGCGACATTACGTATCACGTCAAGAAAGAAATCATGAAACTGTGCGCGGGAGTATCTTGCAAAATCCGCACTATAGAACCGAGCGAAAACATCAGGACAATTGTCTTCAGTTACACTTATTTGCTCTTTTACTTACTGTCTCTCCGTCTCTCCCTTTCTGTTCGCCTGCTTGTCTGCCCCTCTCTCAATACACAACGTACACGCGCACACACGACACACATATTCACTTTAATTTTCTTGCTACTCAATACTATTATCCTCATCTCGACTGGCGCGCTATATATCAACAGCTTTAATTGAAACTTTCAGTGGAAGCTACATATCGAGAGAAAGAAGATTCTTAAAAATAAAGAATTCGTCAATTGTGTGGCAAAAACCATAGACGGGGTCGTGTTTCAAGGTAATGTGAAAAGGAAGAGAAAGAGAATAATCATTAGATGTGTCCTAAAAGCGCGATTCAATATATCTTAATTATCGTAGTCGATTAATCCTATAAACATATTAAAAAATGAAGTACCAGAAAGAGAAATACACACACATATAGTGATGTAAAGGAAACAGGTGTGCGAATGTCAAACTAATAATATTTGAATTTGCTCAATTTCCACTTTCAACGGCTCGGTTAGTGTGAGCATCAGTATTATTAATATATGGGTATACCTAAAAAGATATACGAATACGAAAACATATGTGTATTCATAATAGTATTCCTCGATATATATATGATTCTTATATTAGGAGTACTTTTATAAAAACTGATCACACTTATAGCATTAAGTTGTTTGTATTAACATATGGTACATACGTAAAAAAGAATAAAAATAAAATTATCTGATTGGTTAGCAGCAAATTTTGGGTCTCTCAACTATTGATTTTTTATGCAATTCTTTGACGATAGTTCAACACTAAAAATATCAAGAGGCAAGAGATAAAAGTAAGTAATTCTCTTATTCTTCAATAAATGAATTCGATAAAAACATTAGAAATTAAATACTCAGTACACTTCAAATCAGTCATATTTCAAAATCAATCGAATTAATATTCTCATAGAGATATTATTATTAATAATTACACTTCAAATCAATCATATTTCAAAATCAATCAAATTAATATTCTCATAGCGATATTATATCCACAATAATGGTAATAATATGAAAAATTTAGTTGATAAAGTACGAATCGATAATATCAGGTAGTCAATTACTAACCGGCAGAAGTAGGGACGCTGCAAGAAATGTTGGTAGTGCCCGATGCATGGGCAATACTCTGCTGGCGTCTAGACCTCGCTTGAAGCTGGAGTCCTGGAGCACTCAAGGCCCGTTTGGGGCCACCGAGGGCAGCCGAGCTATTTCTAGTAAAACCGGGTGGTCGGTAGCGTGCAGATTTGACCACATTGTGCTGTGGTAGAAAGTGGTAGACGCTGTGGGCCTTGTGCATACTCACAGAGGAGCCGCTCTGTCTTGGTAGAGAGTTGGTAGCACTCGCAGCCGCTACTCCACCCGCCATCTGCATACCTCGGGGAAGGGTCGTAGCGCGCGAATCACCCTGAATACCATATTCTAGCCCTTCATCGTTCTCATCATCCTCGGTATCCTCATCTCCAGCCGACGCACCTAAAACAAAAACTCGAATGCTTAGTTTTAATTCGCTGTGTTTCTTAATAATTCAAAACCTCGTTAAACAAAGATAAAATTTAATCAATACTACGTTTTGAACGAACACGCTTTTATTATCGTTTCTACTATTAAAACTAGACTATAATCACTATTTTAAATAAATTTGCATAATTATATCTTAAGATGTATCGATTAACAAGTAAGAAAGTAATCGCTCACCAGACTCGCCCCTGGTATTGGCGTCTGGTACGGAGGACCTCCTGCGGTTACTCCAGATCTTCTCTTCAATGGAACCGCCACAGATAACACCAGTACCTGTGCTCACATTGCCCCCAATAGAACCACAGCTCCTAACTCTATCAAGCTGTTCTCTGGAAAAGCTCTTAGGGTTGAAGAGTAGGTCGCCGGCACTGCGTCTCTTAGCCGCCATTGTACTAGTTCCAACATCTCCTGAGCAGGCAAGAAGGCTAAGCTTCGTACGCGAATCAGCGGCCATAAGAGCGGACTCGAAGCTGCCACGCCAGGAAAATCGCTCGTAATCGCTGGCTTCACGCTCCTCAGACTCCGGGGGCATACTCGTCGCACCCGCATGACCATTTATTAACAGCAGAGGATCGTGTGATTTTGACCGCGGCAAGTACTACAAACACACGTACGTTCATTAAAATAATTTTATTTTATAGCTTAAAACTCATGACATGTATACTTTTTAAAAATTACCAACATCATTGATAATAAATAAATATCGAGAATATATCAAATTTGCAAAAATACTATAGAATAAAAATACCTCTACAAGTATAAATTTCAAGCATACAAATTTCCAAGTACCTCGAGAAATTTATATTATCAATTTATAATTTGTGAATCTTCATAGAAAGTTTGTTGACAAAATAATTAATCAGACATCATTTAGACAGACAATTATATATTTATACAAATAAATGATCGAACTATTACATTAAGATTTTATTATAAATATGTGACTTTTATTAAACTGTAAAATATCGTGCGAGTCTTTAAAATTTATAATTATATTAATTATAATTATAATTTTTGTGAATAGAAATTTATAGAAATTTATAAGTTACCTTCTTTAATAGTGTATAAATTATATTTTTGCTTCATTGTTTAACATATTCAAATTTTTATTGAATAATATTAATATCAACAAATAAAGAATTTTAATGATATTGATGAAAATGAGATAGCCCAGTATAAATATTGTATTAATATTGAATCACAAAGCAAATGATAGTAATATATGTTCAAACAGCCTGAAATAGATTTTATTCGAAAGTACGCATAAGAATAAATTGATTTACGTAATAATCTACAATTTATAACGTAAATTGAACATAGACGACAATCCAATTGGCATTTAAACTTAAAATTTACTCTTTCATATAAAATTAATATAATGTGCAAGTTCCAGTTTTATTATTTTCCCTTATGAAATAGCATGGTCTGAATTACATTATTACGACATTGTTTTATTATATTCTACACAATTTAATAATTATTATATTATTGCGACTGCTAATTTATTTAAGAATAACATGTGCATTAATTATGTTAGACAGATAATGCTTTCAATTCATATAAACATTTCGTAGCACTATTATTGAAATGCTTGAATTGAATTGAAAGTACCTTATTAAACTACAATTTTGACGTCGGTCGATGAAAGATTATGGTATACTTTTTTAAAAATTTATGGATTAAACAATGTGGTTGAAAAAAACATGATCACTAGCTAAGAAGTAATTGCTACCATAAAAAACAATTATTCTCTTCGACAAAAAGTGCTTACCGTGGGTGCGCTAGCAGAATCTGAAGTCGAATCGTCGTCCTCGGTTGTAGAAGCAGACGATGGCGTTCGATTATGGGGGTATCGTCTCCAACTGCAATTGCTGTGCGAATATTGTCCAGCCGTAGAGTTACTCTCAGATACTTCGTGCATCAAGGCAACCAGACGACTCCCGATATGGTGCATTACTTTGGCGATAAGAGGTGGACTGCTGTGAGGTGTAGAGCTGGTATCACTGGCTACATTGTCCCCGGCCATTTTCGTAAAGCTTTGAACAAGCTTCTGGTAAACGAAAGCAGTATCTCGACCTAGGCAACTCTGCTGAGATACAGACCTAGCCGGAGTCTCTCTACACTCTCCAGATCCACGACTTTCATTTCGGCCAACCGTTCCGTTCGTGTCAAACTTATTTATTATCTGCTGGCAGCTTTGGGAGATTTGTTCTTGAATAGCGGATCGCTTACCACCGGCAGTTGCACCCTCGAGATCCGAGCTTGTATAATCCGAACTGTCATACGAATCTGACCAAGTATCTTCGGAACTCAAGTATTCCACGATCTCACGTACTTGTTCATCCCGGATACCTGGCACTGTCTTCATTAGGCGCGTCAGCTCGTTTTCAAAATACACCAATTGCGGTGGCTTGGTCCGATTCTGGGCTTGCATATAGCCACGCATCTTTGAGTACCCGGAAAGCCGCGGACTAGGAGTGGGCGCAGCCGAAGCCGTACTGGATGTAGTGCCACACGTCTGACTAGACCCGTTCGAATTAGCTACCATCGTTTTAAAGAATTGACGCATTTTTGACATCATCAAATTCGTTTCCTCGTCACTTGACCAGTTGTTAAAACTGTCCTTGCGCGAAAGAGAAGCGTTCGGGGCCGCAGGCTCTAGCTGTACATCCATTTTGCTTAACCTGTCGCGTAATCGCTGGCTATCGAAAATCCGACCTTGCACGTTTGATTCTTTTTGACGATTCTGATGATCTTGACCAGAAGGCTGATCGCCAACAGTTGTTAATCCATTTATGACAGTTTGGACATCATTAGCACTATGCCGTGGCGGTTGTAGTAAGAGATCATCGCAGCTTCCAACGAATCCCGAATCTCTGGACTGTTGTTTAGATTTAGTGGCACTCACATCATCCTGCAAACCCTGGTTACTTTCGATCTCTGGCTGAGGTGTTTTTGTACCCTCCTCTTCCGAGTTGGCATTCGCATCGGGATCTTCATCCAGTGCATCCCTAGGCTCCGGAGTTTTATTTCGATCTTCGCTAACGCGTGGACTCTGCGCACCGGGATTTCTGGGCTTCTTTTTCTTACGTTTAACGGTATCGAACTGACCATCTGTTCCGAAAGCCGGGGTAGGATTGTCCTCGATACCATCCGTCTCTGTTGAGGAGCCCTCTGATTGGGATTCTTGACCTTCTACGGTTGGACTAGCATCCTGTAGAGTATTTTGTGAGTTATGCGCGAGCGCAAGAAGATTGTCCAGAGAAGAACTGTGCGATCTGCCGGTACCACGAGCACGTACTAATCGCTTTCTACGTTGGGCCTCGGGGCTTGGTCGTCCTTCAGAATCGCTACCGACAGACCCATCTGAGTCTCTCCTATCTTGTTCAAGGCCGAGAAACTCACCAAGGAAATATTTTTCGAGTCTCAAAGAACCAGGGGGGAAATCGGCGTTACATTTTTCATGACTCACAATCTGAGTAGGGTCTTCCCGTGTCAATGAATCTAAACCTTCGGAGAAGATGGACGAACTTTCGGACAAACTGTCGACTTCACGGAGGCTGTTAGCCGTAGCGTCGACCCCGATTCCAAAGAACAAATATTTATCGAGTTCAGATGCTGAGGCGGAGGCCAGCCTTCGCCTCCAGCTAGCATTTGTATGTTCGCCTTCGCTCTCTTCGCATGATTCCTCAACAATCGTATGTAAAGTAAAATCGATCGCTTGACGATGATAACCGCGAAGTTCTTCTTCACGATCACCAAGATTGTTCGCAGCTTCATCTTCAGAGCTTTCTTCGGTAGCGGTCGTTGCGCTTTGTTCATCCTCATCATGAGAAATCTCCTCTACCCACGAGTCGTCATCAGCCAAGCCTTCCTCGAGAATGAGAGGCCCGGCGCGTTTAGGTATTTCATAAAGCCCACAGTCATGAGATATTGACGAAGAAAGCGACGATATCGTCAATTCCTCATCTCGAGTAGGTAAGTGTCCAGAATTTTTCATTGTATGCTTGCAAGTATTTTTAACGGACTGCACATCGTCACTCTCACTTGCACTTCCTACGCTTAATCCACTATCCACTTCAGTCTCAGGATTCGAAAACAAACGCTTACATGGTAGTGGTTTTTTAATAAACCCGAGACTGACATTCCTCCTAAAAGAAATACGTAAATTACTTCGTGGGAGTACATTAATTTTTTTATAAATCTACAAAAGGTGTTCTTTGAAAACAAATTTTATAAATAAATAGATATTAAAGTTTTTCATACTGTATTATTAAAGAATATTTAAAGAACTTTGAAGTACAATACAAAATATAATTAATATAAATATCTTAGAAAGTCATTATTACGTAAATAATGATGTAAACACTAGTTTTAATAAATTATAAAAAGTAAGGATTGAATATTATTGTTAAATATGAAATTGTTCTTTTTAAAAATTATAAATTGTAGTTTATTGAAAAAATAAGGACTAGGATTTATTGCACAAGGCAGTCAGAACGTATTTTTAAGAATTTTTTTTATGTAACTATATGAATATATAAAGGCTTACATAACACCGTGGCAAATAGATAACAATTGTTTTAGCAGAATAAATATTCTAATGAGTTTAAAATTTCAAGATAACTGTTAGTAGTAGAGCACCACGATGCCGCACTCATAACTTTCACTAGGCTGTAGCTAAGGATTGCGTTATTACCGAATCACTTCCTGGCCGGACTCAAGTGCCATCTGAAAGTATCCAGTTTGCTCGAATTGGGGCTGAAGAAGGGTCGTTGTGTCGGAGGTTATAACATTTACTGGCTGATAGGCACCTTGAGTTATCATAACGAGACTCTTGTACTTGTTAACTTGATTAATGGCGTTACTATTGATGCCACTACTGCTGCTGTCATTATCGTCTTTCTCTACCTCTACCTCTTCCTCTTCCTCTTCCCCCTCTTCCCTCTCCTCCTCGACAACTTCCTCTTTCTCTTCGTTATTGTTATTGTTCTTATTATAGCTCTTATTATTATGGTTGCTGTTGACATTACTGTTATTATTTTCGTAATTGAAGTGTTCTAATCCAAAATTAATATTAGAGGCAATCCAATCGCGGCGGCACACGGGCGCGGGGGGCATTAAAGTGTCATCTTTGTCGGAGCTCTCTTCCCTTGGAGTGGGCGTGCGCCATTCGACTACGCGATATCGCGGATCCTCGGTACCTCCTCCCACCTGTTTAAGTAGCCTACGCTCACCTCTCACCGAGTGGTTGCCGCCGCCACCGTCGCTGCTTTCGTCATGCGCAGCGACGTTTTTCGTCATGCATTCAGCGAAACACTCATCCTTTTGATCGCACAAACGCCCTAGGCCCAGCTCATTTGCGTTCTCCTCATCCTCTGGTTGCAACTCATCAGAATCCGTTGTCGCGCTCAATAGCGGATTCAATGAGGAATGTGATGAGTTTTTACGACGCTCCGGAGGCATAAAATGAGCGCAGGGCATACCTTTGATATCGAAACTCGCAGGGATCTGCCATTTTTTTCGCGATTTCGCCATCAAGGCCACACTATCCGAAAGGTTGACTTCTTCGTATTTCTGTTGAGACCGCGTAACCACTACGTACTCGTGCAGCTTACAGCTGCTATTGATAACACAACCGGCAGCGCTCACGCTACTCTCGCTACTGCCGCCACTCTCGCTTAAACTGGGACTCGCACTGCTTGGATTGCAGTTCTCCTGCCCCTTCTCTTGCAGCACCGCCTTTTCTGCCGTCGCTTTGTCCCCCTTCCCTGGTGACCCCTTCTCGTCAAGTGGACTTGAAGCAGCGAGCAACGCTCGGCCGATATCGTAGGTAAAAGAGCCGGCAATTTCAATGCTATCCTCGAGCTCCTGTATGCTTACCTCTAAAGAGTCAGGCATTACCGCCGAGTCATTTGATAAATTTTCCAAGCTCAATTCATCTTCATTTTCGTTTTCATCTTCATCAGCAATCTCCTCCTCCTTCTCTTCCCTTTCCTCATTATCCTCGGGTTCCTGTTGCAAATCTATCGACTTTTCACGACTGAGAAAGGGCTTCAGATCACCTTTTAGATTACTATCCGGATCAATAGATTTTACAGACTTGAGAAGTACATGATTATCTGAATGTTCTTGGATGCCGGCTAAGTAGATCTCGTTATATCCGGCAATCTCACGCTCATGATCTTGTCCGTTGATCCAGTAGCAATTTTTTGTCTTATTGCACTCGTCATCGTCATTGTCTTCTTCGAGTTGGCAAGACTTGTCCGATTTGTTGGAATCAAGGTCTATGTCCTCGTCAAGAAGACGAATGTGTCTTAACACAACGGGCTCTTGATCCACCCCTTTATACACAATTTTATTGCAATCGTCACGAGTTGAGTCCGAGTCTTCGTTGTCTTCAATGTCATTATCACTGGTAAGAGAGTCATCATTGACTATGAGAACGCGAGTAAAACGATGAGAAGCCGAGTCTTCCAGATCACTACTATCGGCTGAAGAACGTCCAGATGAACTTCGAGAATTTTGTTCCTGAGAATGTCGAAACATCCTCGATTGCTGTTGTACTGACTGCTGCTGATGTTGTTCTTTTTCTTGTTCTTGTTCCTTTTCCCGCTTCTGGTCCTGCTCTTGTTTCTCCTGCTGTTCCTCCTCCTTTTTCTTGCTGTCGTTCTCAATCGCAGAAATATTTGTTTGCTTCGTTCTTTCTTTCTCAACTTCTTGATTACATTCAACGTTCTCTTGCTTTTCAAATTCGATATCGATATCCTCCTCTTGCTTTTCCTATTGACAAAAATAGCATTTCGATTATAACAATAATAATTTAAGTGAAATTTTTATTTAAAAATTTTATTTAAAATAATAATTTTAATAAAAATTTAATTAAAAATACTATTTTTCTAAATAATCTAATGTGAGTGATTGTTTTGTAAATGTTTCGTGAATGCTCTTCAGTAAAATATATAAAATACAAAAACTTCTAGACATAATTAAATCTTCATTAATCTAATTTTATATTAAAATAGTTAAATTAATAATATAATTTTATTGTTAAAATAGTCATTTTATGACTTTAGTAAGCTTATTTATTTGAACTTATTTACTTATTTATTAAAAACTCGAAGAAATAAAGAATAAAAATAACTGGTCACTTTAAAATTTATATACTCGCTTTAACCTTTACAATCTATGTTTTTAATGTTTCGTATCTAAGATCTATTAAATTATGTATAATTGTATTAAGATTTATGAAAATAAAGCATATGCAGTCTTTTAAAGATGAAATTATAAATGCTGACTCACTTGGTGAAGAATTGTCTCTGTTAAAGGCGAAAGCTCTTTGGAGAAGATATTATCTTGAGTACAAAGAAGACTTGAAGGGTCGAAACTCGGGTTCCAGGAAAACCAAGCGGTGTCAGAGGGCTCACAACCTCGAAGGCTAAGCGGTAGCAATGGCTCAAGTCTCGTTTCTTGACTTATCATAGAGCTGGTAGCCGCAGCTCTAGCCCGCTCCAACCCAGCGAAATCGGTCGCCCAGAGAGAAGCTGGTATTGGTACTGGATAAGGTACTGGTACCGGGATTGGTACTGGAACTGGTAGTACTTTTGCGTTCTTCGAGCTACCGCAAGTCTGTGAATTGATAGTTCGGTTTATTTATAACCGATCCTATATAGTTTTCACCCTGATCTATTCCTTTTTTTTTATTACCGATAGTCTATTTTAAATTAAAGATATGATATAAATTAAAGAAAATTATCTTCATATTATTCTATAAAGAATGAAAATTGATGAATATTGTTGATAAAATAGTTTTCGAAGACTGTATAATAAAATATACATGCAAAAAGTTAAATTTTATTATTCAATATTCAGTAATTCAATATTTAATTTAAAAATCTATATAATAGAAACAAAGACTGGTATAGAATTATAATTTTAATAATTAAATTATTGCAATTTCAACATGATGAATTTTGTTCGAGCAATATAGTTAGCTACACAGAATTTAGTACTAAAGTACTTAAAGTACAATAAGTTACACTGTAGTTATAATTATACTTTGAATACATGGATAAATAATTTAAAACCATAATATAATAAAATAATTTTTTCACTTTAATGAATTTTATATTTGTGTAATAATTTTGTTTACGATATTTTTCATAAACGATAAAAATACACAATTAAGGAATGCATTCCGTATACATTGAATATGACCATTGAAAAAATAGTTTTTTTGGCGACGCTATAACAAATTTTATGAATTCTCGCATGCGGTGAATGACTTTTTGACGAACCTGACAGCAGGTGAAGGAGGAGGCCCTCGCAGACACAGGTCTAGCCAAGCAGCAACTCCAATCCAAGGAAGCGAGCTGTGCTTGAGCGTAATGGGCCGAAAAACTCGGCAACTGGGAAGGCAACTTCAAGGAATTACTCTCAAAGTAATCCCAGTCACAATCCTCAAGGCCGCCGGGCTGCTGATTTGCTAGAGGTTGACCATTCAAATAAGAGGAGCCTGAACAGCTGCTGTCAGCATCGTCTTCCTCACGACCCGAGGAAGAATCCGAACTGATAAAGACGAGACGTCGATAGTCAAAAAGTCCCGAGCCTCCGGGATCCTCTTCGCCACGGCCCACACCCGGAGGCCCGAGTTTACTGCATCCAACCACTTGCAATGCTTGAAGATTCTCCGGACCGCAGCAGCTACGTACATGAGACTTGCCTCGGCGCCGTTGTCCTGAAACAACTATCGATATCTAATCCCATTTTTATATTTCTTTTTCTTCTAGTTTATAACATGGACAAATCCTTTTCCTACATCCACCACCGTTGCTCTACCTTTCGCAAAAATTTTCAACCATTATAGGTTTGTCGTTTCAATAATACAATTAAAAACTAGAATACAGTTATGCACATTTTGATATATACAATAAAAGTATATATTCAGGTTTAAAATCAAAACAGGCTACGGTATGTACATATATGTATACATGAGTTTTCCTCCTTCCCTAACTCTCTCTCTCTCTCTCTCTCTCTCTCTCTCTCTCTCTTTCTCTCCTCCTCTCTCATTCTCCCTCTATTTCCTTTATTTTATATTATAGCATTAACTCGAGAACTTTATTCTTTACGATATAATCAAACGAATCAGTGTTCAGTAGCAGAAGTACAATATTTATTCGTACTCTTATTCATTCAAAACTAATCAACATTGATCTCTGTCATATATTTACATGAGTAAGACAAAAAATCTACTGTTAAAATATAATTTTACATTTACTAAAATTAATAAAATCTATACATTTTTACCAAACATTATATTGTACGGAAAACATCGAAGCAATCACGTAGCAGTTGGTGTAGCGGGCTTCTGAGCTACTTCAAATTACAATTGACAAAACAATCGATATTCAACGGCGACCAATAATCGGCATTTATAGCTTGTTGAACGTAACTTAATCAGCATTCAACAGCATTTAAAGGCTTATTGCCGTACCGATCACAGCATATGATTGTGACAGTGGTCGTACCAACGCTAATAAAAAAACTTGGATAACAGGATCCTAGATGTAAGTATCTCAAACTAACTTTGAATTAATAACTGTTTGTTAATAATAAACTAACCTGTTCAATGACACACGTGCCGATGACCACGTATATTGTGAGCTTCACTACGTGTCAAACTCAACGACTTGGATACGATTAGCAAGAAAATGTATCAGTTTCATGAATATCTCACAAAGCTAATCAGAATTACGACTGACCGCGAAAAACGCGGCAGAAAACCACTTGGCATCTACGATGTCCACCGACAGGGCGACTAATCGCGACTGCGCAGCTTGTGAATGCCTCTGCGCCGCTCTGCTAGCCAAGCTTTTATGTTACACGAGTATACAAGGGGTCTCTGCAGGAAACGAACCGTGAAACCCTTGAACGAGCTAACCGCGAGCTCGCACGAACACATAAAACGCATATACTTACACGCGCACCCAGTCACGAAACTGCTCATAGCTCTTTCATGTCTTTTTTCTATCTCGAGTACGCTACGGTTTTTATCGTTTTTTCTTTTCTTCTTTGCATTTAAAACTAGGAACCCTCGATACCCAACATCGGATCCTCAACCTAAGTCATCGATTGTACTTTCATTCACAATTTTTTCCCTCTATGTACTTCTCTTATTTCATCGACAACAGGAAACGAAAATAAGTAACATTATTCAATAAATATCGAATTTTTTTATTTACTTTTTGCACATTCCATTTATTTCTACAATAATGCTTAGCTTTTAGTTGATCTAATTACTAAAAATATTTTTGAATTTACCAAAAAAATTATCAAGATCGTAACCTTATTTTAATACCTAACTATACATAGGTTAAAGATTAGCTATATGTTTTCCACGATAGTTTCATTACACCTTATAGGTTATTATTTAGTTACTATAAATGAACATTTTAATGGTATAGAAATCTACTTGGGCCTTAACGCACATCTACATTAAAGTAGCTTAGAGAGATATATCACGTTACAGAATTCGATGTAGTTAATTTTTACAATATACATTCGCAATAGCTTTGATAATAAAAAAAAATTGAATACAAATGATAAAGTATAATTTAATCGATAAACATAAACAAGCTTCGGTTTTCACTTTTCTGTGTTTAGTCAACTTTACTAATTAATTTTAATAACATAACATACATACGTAAGACTAAAACTAGTACGCTGATACAGTTTAATATTTATTCATGTAAAAGCATTTTCAACAAATAATATTATTATATAAATGAATTAAAAAATCTTTTTATAATATGCGTCCTATGAATTAAAAACAAAAAAACATAATTAACTAATTATTTACGGCTCTAAAGAAAATAAAACAAAATATATCGTAATAAAACTATAAGGTGTATTATTTTAATACTACAAATTGTATGGTACAGAATAATTTAGAAAATAATAGTTAAATTAACGAATATAGTGAAATAAAAAATTGTAATGGAAAAGACCCATGAATAAATGATTATTACAAATAAAATGAAATAGCGAGATCTTTGTGAACACCCGGTATATAGACAGGTGAGCAGTGGACTGTACAGTAAAACAGAAAACGTATATGTACATATGCACTATTATTCTTATATCACGTGTATTCCGCTGGCCCTTTTGATATTTCTCCTGACTTCTTTCATTCTTTAGTTATTTGTCAAAGGTTCTTCCCCACACTGTCACACCCTCTCTCTCTCTCTGTTTCTTTTCCTCTCATTATTATCTTTTATTTTTGAAATTTAAATTAATCTTTTCAAATCACTCCTTTTTGGTAATATTTTTCATTATTAATTTACGTAATGAATTGAAAATTATATAGATATAAAGTACCATTAACTCGAACTTTTTTATAGAATAATAAATATATCACCACTCGTATTAACAAAAACAATTTTAATGCATACCAACTAAGAACGATGTTTAAGCATTTGATAATATTAGCTATTTCATGTATTAACAAATAACTGTCAGTATCCATATTTACCTCTTCTTTTAAAAAGAAAATAAAACTCCTTAATCGTGCGAGAACAAGTAGATAATTTTATAAATTGCTTTCACGTACAAATTATCTTTATTAATAATATACTTCCATTACTGTTAATATGTTTAAGACATAAAGTTAGAAATAGACTTACCCATTCATCCATACCTTTCGTGTTAAAATTGATTAGATGCGTAGACAACTTTTTAATAATTATGTAGCAAAAATAAATTCGCTAATATACGTGTAGTAACAAAAAATATCTGTATATTTATAAATTATATTATCACATAATAACCAAATATTTTAAGTAATTGACAAATTGAATATACGATAATTATAATTATAATATGCATATTTAAAAACCAATTTCGTTTTACCTACTTTGAAAAATGTTTAATAACTTCGGATCCACAAGAAAAATAAAAAAATACATGCTCCCACATAAACAAGTAGAAAATATATGGCGATGACTCCGGTCAAAAAGAGTTGCAAAATTCTTCTACATTCGACTCCTAAAATCGTAAACTCCTCCGATTCCATATTCCTTGCTATAGTATTTATTTTTTTTGTCAAGATCGCGGAGACAGTATGGGCACACACTGATTGCAACTCAACCACGATTTGCAATGAACTAAATAACGGGCTTCGAAAATCGATAAGGTAATAGTATACTATCGTTTCTCGATACCATACTCATGTCAACGGTGATTAATTCTTGGATAAAATTAATTAATTACTTCATAAACATTATTACATACACTTCTATATATTTATCATTCATTTAATTGGAGCTAATAATCGTTAAATATTATCGACTTACTCTGCAAAAAATATTATCTCTTCATTGTTAAGATAAATAAATATCTAATTTTCATCATTATCATAAAAATGGTATTTTTCATAATTTTTCATAATCACATTTCATAATAATACTACGCATTTAATTATACATTTGACAGAACAAGGGGGAGGATTCTCATGAATCCATTCAAGAGCAAGCTAAATACTTTTAGAAATTTTAATTACCTTGAGTATCGAACTGTCTCCGCCGCCGTAATATGACCCTATTTTGGGAGACTGGGCCAATTCGAGTGGGATCATGCGAATGCTCATCATGGTCATCTTCTCCTGCGCTCGTAGCACTGTCACGCTGGAATACCTCGTCGCAACTGCTGGTCGAGGGCACAATGCCACCTCTTCCAAACAATTTCACGCGCCTGGCAATATCCACATAGTTTGATAATCCAGGTTCGCTTAATCTGCTGGATAAACATTTTACATTCAAAAATAAAACTCTAGTTACTTATATAACACAGTGTATATTCGATATTAAAATTTAACGAAACAAATATAATATTTCGTGATTTCATAAGCCTGACGGGTCAATAGTTCATCAAGAAAGGTTGATTCAATAGAACATTAGAAATTTGAATTAAGTTAAACATGGATTGAGCTAATATTATAAATTCGACAATTTAATTATAAATATGAATATCAATATAAATCAATTATTTAAAAATAAAAAAATCATCTTAAGTGACACCATATAGATTGCTTTTCAATAAATTTACTATAGTTATATGATAAATTTAAAAACAAAGTTAGTATATTTGTAACTACCTTAAAATATTTATTTATTCTCACATAAATTACATAATCTAATAAAACAATTAATATGAAATTTTCCTATTAATTATATATAAAAAATTTTCAGCATTGTACAATAATCAATATGCTTAAATGTGCAAACTTACAAATGTGCAACATTATAGTAAAATTATAGATATTTGCACAAAAAATCACTAGTAATATCACACAGTCATATTTATAACAAAATAATTAAATAATTTAAAAGGTAATTAAATAAAAAGAATTAAAATAGTGTAATAAAGAGTAGTAATAATAAATAACTTATTAATAATGATTATTATTAAGTTTATTGTATTGTTGTCTAAAAAAACAATGAAGATATTTGGGCTTAAGATATTTTTAAATGTAGATAGTATTTAATGTTTTAAAACAATACATTTCTTTTATAAAAAATTTCAATATTTTACAATTATAAATGTTGAATTAAATAAATATTAAAAAAAAAAAAATAATTCAGCATTAAATTTGTTAACGTATATTTAAAAAATAATTGCAATTTAATAAAATTAGTCATATAATAATGCCAATAAATATTTACAAATTGAGATGAGTTAAAATCATAATAATAATAAAGTTGAAGATATATAAGTCTAATTATATGACTGATTTTTATCTTTAAGAATTAACGAATTATTTAACTTAAATCTACTTTTAAATATATCAATTTATAAATATACATATTTCAAAATTAACCATATAATAAATTTATATAATTTGTTTACATAGATTAAATGTACATTTGAATATTCAGATATATATACATATATATATATATATATATATATATATATATACATATAAAGATTTCAAAATAACTCAAATACTATTTATAATAATAATAGTATTTTGTAGTAAGTTAGATTAAAATAAAAGGCGAAAACTCATGTATTAAATACAACTAAATAAAGCATTAAGAAGCGTAATCTAAAAATAAATGAATTTGGACACTATAATAGTTATGCTTTTAAAAGTTTCAAAATTTACCTGACACCTTCACTACCGCTACTTTCATATTTGGCACTACTGTTTGATTCTCTACGAGTTCGAGTTATAGCATCGCGGATTCTCTGAGATGCCAAACTTGATTCTCCTTTTTCACTGGCAGTCTTACGAGGCAAAGCTGGCGTTGGTTCACTCTCGCTTTCTCGGGGGCTATACTTTGACGATCTGGTACTCAATGGACTTGCTTCAGGAGAAAGGTACTACAATAATATAAATTTTTTTTATAAATTACAGCATAGGTTTAAAATAAATTTCTATATTTAAACTTTGTATTTACGATTGAATATCGTCGATTTTGTGTATCATCTATGTCTTCATTGGAAAATTCTTCTTTGGAAAATTTATTCTTTATCTTTAAATGCAATGATAATTAAGATTAAGTACAAATTATAATAAGATATAGATATAATGAATACAAATATATTAACTAATTTTATTAAATTCTAGTCCATTTTTTTTTTAATTATAAGATTATTAATAAATAAGAAAAATTCTAAAATATTAAACTTAATTTTATTCCAAGCAATTGTAATAGTTAAAACGAATAATAGCAATAATATTAATTAAAAGTATTTAAGGTTCTCGCGAAAATAAAAAATCACTCGGTTTGTTGTTAGAGATCAGAGGTATGTATTAACTTACAACAGGTTCGTCGATTTTTTTGCCAACGGCCGAGTCCGATAATCTTTGTTTATCCGCCTCTTTGATACAATAATTAATATCCTGAACGATCTCTTTAGTGGAACCTAGACTCTTATTGTCCACATTAGTTTCACTTGGCTCAGAAAAATCATCAACGATAGAAGCCTGCGGTGCTTCATCAGTTACATCCCGAGCATTGGCACTCTCCAAATCTGCATTTTGATAGTTTTCTCCATTCACCCGAAAACTCGACTCATTCGCCATCTTAAGGGACTTTATTTCGTTCTCATACATGTTTACCTGTCCTGCCTGTGAACATTCCCGTAGTGGAGCTTTATCACTACACGACTGCCTACTTAGTCTGAAAAAACGGGTATACATTAAATACAGGCAGCGTTTTAAATTAAAAGAAATTATAGGAAACTTCTGCTGCAAAGAATAAGCATCTTTGAAATAAGCAAGAACTCAAATTAATCTTACGGTGCAATGACACTGCCAAGATTCAAATTACTTTCATCGAGACACGCCGTCTCTGCTCGGTTATTGCGACGAAAAAATTTAAAAACTGGCATGAGTTTAGCTTCTTGCATATTTTGCTGTTGCTGCTGAGGTTGCAATTTAGATGCTACAGCCAAAAGTTGAATATCGTCTTTGCTATCCTGACGCTTCAGCTTGTCCTCTTTATTTCGCGATGATAGCAATTTTGGTATGAAACTCGGAATATTAATATCTTCCCGACTGCGACGCAGATCGTCTGTACTATTACGATACCTATGAACAAAAACAATGAATATTGATTTAATTCTGGGCTTTTTACATATGTACCCTCATTTTTCGATCCTCTCATATTACGAATAAAGAATATAATATTATAAATATTTAACTTATTCTTAACTCAAACATTCATTTTCCTGTCTATTTCTATTATCTTTTTAAGTATTTAACTAGATCATGACAAATGAATGGGCATTGAATCCAATAAACTATCAAAACTGTATTTAAGTTATCAGCATGCTACGGGATATATTATTATTTAGGCTTAAATATTACATAGAGAAGTAATTTTATTAGTTAAACAAATACATAATATACGAATAAATTTAATGAAAATCTAATAAATACTCTTTCGATAGATTATAAAGAGACACATAAATTTATGTATAACCATTTATATAATAATATAATATAAGCCTTAGCGTTTGTTGTTACTTACATGTTTGAAATGCCTTGGTTTGAAAAACCATATCTACAATTTAAAATAAAAAATAAATAAAAAATTTTAAGCCTGTACAATTTTACCTCTGAGGTATTAATGATCGTTTAGGCGATTCGTGAGAATTACGTATATCCTCGAATTCCTTCGAGCTTTTGCTACGGAAGATGGGTATACTTGACTTTTTCGTATCGATCTGCTTAGATAATTTGATGGTAGACCTTGGATGCTTGTAAAAAGTCTCCGCAGGAGACTTCTTGATTTTCTTTCGATTTTCCTCATCGAGATAATGGCGACGCCTATTAGGTAGACTACGGTATAGTCGGAACTCGGCCGATTTGCGATCCGTTGGCCAACGCGCCGGTGGACCTGTTATTATTGCATCGTAAATTATCATTTTGTAAACATAACTTGGAAGATACAATGTTTCCACGCTTTTAGTAAGTTCGTAATTTTGTTCGAGTAGCTACAACGATTACATCAGCAACTTTTTTGTTACGAGCTCAATTATCAATGATAGAGATAATAATAAATGATCATATATATATATATATAAGAATAATATCAAGTATTATTACCATTTATTGTCCATGCACGACGTATGCTGTATTTTAAAATGTCAAAGGCCGATAAATAATTGTCCCTTCCGGTTGTGCTTCTCCACTCAGCCGACACGTAACGAAAATCCCTGCATAACGAAAAAACTTATTATAATTTTTTAAATTTCAACCTATTAGAAATTTAAATATTCATTCTTTCATGATTGCTTCACTTCAAAAACAAACAACAATATGTATACATTTTTACTAATAAAAGCAAAAAACATTTAATTGTTATAAATTACATTTATGATGAAATATACTTTTTTCATTTAATATTTTCATTTTTTTTTTAAATAATAATAATAATATTAAAATATACGCACGAAATCTTGTGGCAATAGGAACAGAGCCAGTCGGGGCTCGCGGAGTTGCGGAGTTCGCGACACTGTCGACAGACTCGATGCTTGCACCGTGGACAGGAGGCGCCGGTGTTGTACAACCTACCAAAGGCGGCGCCGCACCTTGCACACCTACGGCCCTGTTGCTGTTGTTGTTGTTGTTGCTGCTGATAGTGTTGAAGATGGGAAACGGCATACCCTCGCCATTTGGTTGCCTTCCTGCAACGCGAACCGCGATTAGCGAGTGCACGAACTCGAGAAGGTGACCGATATCGACCTTTTGTTGAAATCTGGCGATGGTCGTTGCTGACTCATACTTGAAACGGAGATGTGACATCGCGACTCATTTGTTACGTGTGCAAAAACATTTCGCATTGTATAATAACCGAGTGAACAAACAAACGAGAGAAAGAAAAACGCAGGGGAAGTAAAGGGAGAAAATGTTTTACTTTCGTTGTTATACCGTCGTTTCGTACTAATGATAATTATTAAGACGTGTTTACGAGAGCATAGCGAAAGCCAAGGAATAAACCAAGAGACCGACTCCCGAGGACCAGCGTCGACACAGAATACCGATCTCTTCGTCTCTCCTCTCCGCAACACCCATTCCTCCTTGTCCACCAGCGGGGGCGTTCCTCTCTCCCTTTCTCTCTATCTCAGCCTCCCTCCTTCTTTCGCATCCGACCCCCAACTTTCTTATAGCATTACTATTTATATTATTGTTATTATGAGCATGAAACACCTACATACGTGCCCTTAAAGAAAAGTGATTGTATAATTTCTATTTGCAGATGTCATACGGAAAGAGGATGTGGGATGGTGCATACGTCGTTTATCGTCTTGATCGTATCAATGTGCTCACGAAGAATCGTTAGTGAGACACTTTCTTTAAACGTTAAGCGACCGATCAAACATAAAAGTGGAGACTAGGCATAACATTTCATCTCAATAATCCTCTTCGTAAGTAATGAAGTTAAATTTTTAAGAGAAGTGCACGCAGGATGTACAAGGGACGATAACTCACTTCTTGAAATTCTCGTCACAACGGAACGTTATCTGTTGTTCAATTATAAATTAAAATTATTCGAATGTATGTGAACACGTTAGAACTTGATACCTATACCTAGTTACGCTTCTTGAAAAAGCACGGGGATGAGACGATAAACATTGGCAATCTTCGAATGGTATATTACGAGAATCCTTGATGTAACAAATACATTTTCTTGTTTAGTTTAATTAAACAATTGTAAATAAAATTGAATCATAAATTTAAAAAGTATAGGTCAAGAAAAATTAATTCATACAAATGATACTTTAGGTATACATCATTACCAAATTATCTTTAATATTATGTAGTCTTACCTACATTTTGAAAATTGCCATAGAACTCAAAATACCGTTTTAAAGCCAGGATATTCGACTGATATTTGCAATAGTAATTGAATTTATTAAGCATTTGATACGTTTAAAAGCGGATAATCGGGACAATGTTCTTTTCATTTTTTAGCGTTGATCGGTTTCGCAAAAAATACTAAAGTTTCTCGGAATTAGATGTTCTGTATCCGAGCTGAATTTTTCTGAAACTGTTATAAAAACCGAACGTGCAAGCACACGTGAGACACAAAACGTACATGTTATTTGTTACTTCCACGTGATCCAACTCTGTTTTCACAAGTTTTTATTTCTTCTGTTGATTTTTATCGTTAATTATAGATCTTACTATAAGGGACAGTAGGAAATTCATTTATTTACAGTGCATGTAATATTTACGTGCACGACATATTGTAGCGGAAAGGAAAGCACAAAGGTTTACTAGATACAGCTTTGATATGCTAACCATCAGGTCAATATTTATATTTGAATTGTTTTAATAATTTTATTTAATTGAATTACAATTGATAGATCAAAATTAATAATGTTGAAATATAAATATCTTTAACATAAAGCAAACATAATTGAAAACAATAAGATTTTCAACGGTCGATTGAAAACAAAAACCTGTAATATTTTCATATGCTTATGTATAATTAATTATACAAACATTATTAAGAATGTTTTTAAATTATCGTTCTGATATCTTCATTCCGCATTCAGCGTGATAATTAATGTTCTAACTAACAGTGCTAAGCATTATTAATAAAGTAAACAACATAAACAAAATTTATTTATTATTTATGTATACAAATATGTGTATATATATATATATATATATATATATATATAACTATTTATGTATGCATTCAGACGTAAAGGCGCAAAATGAATGCATACTTTTCATTGTTTCATATAATCACAATATTGTGAGGAAAAACAAATAGACAATATTGAGCCCATCATCATGAATATAAAAAAATATAAAATAAAAATAAAAAACAGCATTGGATTGAATGCTGACGAATTAACAAATTCAGGATAGGAACATCAATATAGTTTGCATTCATTGAACAGGAGGCCGGTTACCCTAGCTTCTTTAGGGATATTTCGAGGATCGACCGCGTGGACTCAAGCGCAAATAAGGAAGTTATGCGTGCACTTCGCTCGTGTCAACGAAAGGTATCACATTCGACATTCGTGCGTATCAAACTTATAGTTAATTCGGAGGCAAAAGTACACGAAAGTCAGTGACGAGCCACTGAGAAACGAATAAAGAAAAAATAAATCGGCATGTCACCAAAGGAAGGGCTTTCCGTCTGCAGGCTCTTAGCCGTTGCAGAGCACGAAGTCAACAACAGGGCAACTTAATAAGCACGCAAATAGCACCGATATGAGAGCCAACTATAGGGAGCGAGCAGCCGACTTTCACTCAGCAAACTCCAAAGACGACTGACAGGCGCCGAGTACGCGACTACAGGCCAAATAAGAAGTCTAATAAATAAAACGGTTGGATCGACTACAAGAGGTCGCCAAGCCCCCGTTTGTTTTCTGCCCTCGCACATTCGCCGAGGATGAACCGGGTCGGCAGGTAAATTTGACAGAAATAGACGAGGCGGAGCGCGTCGGTAACAGTGCGAACAAACCATACCCCAAGTCGAGGGTCTCTCGTATCGTCTGCTGCTGCAAGGCCATGGTCCTCGGATTCTCATTGTTCGACGACATGCCGAAGCCGCCGCCGCCACAACTTCAATGGATCACTGCACGCGTCGTTACTCGTATCCGAGCACCGATTGGAAAATTTTGATGCTGTAAGAGCAGCGCATCTTCGAGGTAGCACTGATATCCTGGAACGGATTGCGGCCTCAAGGCCGTTCACATCGGTGGCCCGCGAACGGCATCGAGCGTTCGTTAGCCAACGAAGGGTATACACACTTGGGGCTATAATACGACCCCATGCATACCGCGCGATTTCTCACCGATATAATTCTTGTGAAACTCCGCACTCGACCACTAGCTCGCTTTTACAGCTGGCCACTTGTTGCTGCAAGTACACGCTGTGAGACCCCAGTACCACCAAGACGCTGCCTATCGCTTCACTTGCTGCTCTCCCACGTCTCATTCCCCGTTCCCGTACTCCTTCACTTCGGACCTTCTTGCTTGTCTTACACACCTGCTACGGCGCATGCGCTCACAGTTTGATGTCGCCAACAATTTACTTCGAAGTCCATTATCCCCTCGTTAACTTGAAATTAAATCACTCAGCAGTTGAACATAATGTGACGATTTAATTCTTTCAACTATTCTAATGAACCCATTTTCTTCTTATAAACAAAAATAGATTATTTCTTTTATTCACTTTTTTTTATTTTAACGATGGCCAATGAAATTCAATGATATATTAGACCGAACCTTATGAAAGAAATTATACTTTCGCCGTCACGTAATAACTTTTTAAATCCATTTTATAATTAACAAGTATTTTTAATTTTTAATTGTGCAATTTTACTCTAGCCATTCATTCCATTATCTAACAGAGGATTCCATTATTGAACACAACTTTTACATAAATGTAATTAAGTGACAATACTTAGTATTAAATATATAATATTCTAAGTAAAAATCAATTATTGACAAATATATTAAAATCACAATATATATTATTTAAGGACAAATTTTGTAACACGACTCACTAAATTTTAATGTTATAATACATGGTTTATATGAGGTCAACACTAAATTAAGAGAAACTTTAATTTGCAAAATTTTTTAATAAACATTTTCAAGTCAATTAACGTAATTCGATTTGTTAAAGATGCTTTTATTAATTTCTATTGTTTTTAATTTTAATAGAGTTATAAGCTTAACAAATTACATCAAAAACACTATTAAATAATAAATGACACTCTCCACATTTTATATAAAACATTTAGACAAAAGTCTTAAGAGTTAATTTTTAGCATAACACTAAAGATTTAATAACTCATTAAAATTACTTGATACAACAGTAATATCTGTGTAATTAATTGTTATTCACAAATGCTCACAAACACTTACAATTATCTTCTTTTTTCACACTTTCACTTTCTAGTTCATAAAGTTTATAAAGGTGACGAATATCATTATTGTATTATTTATCAATTTTAATATTGATAACTCCATTTTTTATAATTCCGATACAATTTCATTAATTTATAATAGGTATCACCATTTCAAATAAATCATGTAAAAATATAAAAAAAAAGTAACCATCTACATTGGTTATATTTCTTCAATTATAAAAGTATCAAAAGGAAAATGATACTTAAATTTTCATTATGTTCAATAGACTTAACTTTAACACGCCTGAAAACTACATTCACTTTGCTTTTGGATACATAATTTACATTTGAAATTTCTCGGGAGTGACTAATAGTAAATGCAGTTTTAAAATCAACTATTTACTTTAAGCCAACAAATATACTGAAAAAATCATTGCTCCAAAAATTTCAAAATATAATATATTCAACAATTTATATTTTGTACATTACAAGAGTAGTTAAAAGAATAAGTATTCTTGTTTGATAGTTTGAGCAAATTCTTTTTCAGGCGTGATATAAATCAATGCTAAATTAACTGGAGCTTTTATTTATCGAGATTCTGCCTTTGTCTTTGGTGGCCTAAATGATTTAAATTTTTTTTCTTTTTTCTTTTTTGTTGGTCCTCCAGAACCAGATTGGAAAGCTTTCCAACTATCAACTCTGGATTGTCGGGATTCTTCAAAATTCTTTTGCCACTCACGTTCAAGAGCAGCTTGTGCTTCAGCTGATAATTCTTCTTCCATCTTTCTTTTTCGTTGTTCAGCATCTCGCATAGCCAACTCTCGCCTAGAAATTAAAAAATTTTTTATAATAATTATACAGCTTATTGATATAATGACATTCATTTTTTTTATATTTAAAACAAGTTTACCTTCTTCGTTCCATGTCTGCAAATAATTTCATTGTCATTACCCATACTGCATGTCGATATCCATCTTTTGTTTCCTCTTCTAAAATTGTTGCTTCATTTCCAGCTTTTCCATCTTTTCTGATTTTTTTTTTCTTTTCTGCAATCTATAAGATATCATTTTATAAATTACCAATAAGCTTCATTACATCAAATATTCATTTATTTTACTTGCCATATGATCCGTTCTTGCTTTTGCTTCTTCAATAACATCCATACATTTTGCTCTAGTTTCCTCACATTCCAAAGTCTTCCATGCCTTATTTACAACTTTACAAGTAAATATAAATTTTAATACTTAATTATTTTTTAACTATAATGAAAATAATACTTTGCTAACTTACTTTCAAAAGCCTGTTGAGCTCTTTCAGAATCATCTTGATTTTTGTCTGGATGTACCAATATTGACATCTAAAGAATAAATAACATTTGTTGAATTAAAAATTCACTAGTAATTTAAAAATTGTATAAAATATATATTAAATGCAGCTAAGTGTTACTTACACGTCTATATTTCTTTTTTATTTCATCTATCTCTGTTGTTGGATCAATGTGTAAAACTTCAAAAGGATTTAAATTAAAGTATGATGAGCCTGGTCTTAGCAACCTATCTATTTGTTGCTTGGGCGTTAAAACTGAATCTCTCTTCTCGATTTCTTTTACCTTTGTTGGTCAACAAATATTAAATTGGAATGCCAAAAATAGTAAGAATATATAGGTTAGCTTAATAGTAAGCTTAAATTAATTAAATTTGACTTTAATTAAAAAATCGTGTTGTCTCAAAATAATGAATGAATAAAAAAAGACTAATATCGTTTGACAAACAAAAACTATTTAATGTTATAATAATTATTTGTATGTGATGTTAAATGTAAATTAGAATTGAACTTTGCAAAAAAGATTTATTAAAATAGAGTAGTTTATCATTTTATGATGAAAAAAGTTTACATTGCACACCAATTTAAATCCAAAATTATCTGTATGAAAGAAATATAAAAGTTAACTTACCTCTGAATAAAACTCATTAAATTCATCCTCTTTCTTTTCTGCTCGTTCGACGGGTAAGCTCGAATTAGATGCTGCCATCTTGTCTTTGGCAATTCACAACTTAACAAACACCTGACTATCCGAATTTAACTGAAATCCACGAAAGTGCTACTAAAGTTTATAGTTAATATGGAATCATGGTGAAAAAAACATAGGAAGATTCTACAACTGCATGAAGGCATCGAAAACGTAAAATCCTTCATTGTGATTGGCTGCTAGAGTATTATTCCACTGTATCTCAAATTCCATCGTTTTTCAACTTAGAATTGTAGCTTTTGATGGTACCTTTTTCTTATGTATTTGAACTACTATTGGTAAATGACGAAAATAGAATACCAAAGGCACACATTGCGTTTCTTGTTTATTTAATTTGTAAAACGTACACGATGGCTTAACACATATTATAAACTTTTATAATTATTTTTTTTAAAAATAATTTTAGTGTGAAGATTTAAAAAAATACTTTCAAATAGGTTTTCAAGGTATGTACTGCATAACCAAAAACAATATTATTTAATAAATATAAAAATTTTATACTTTGTAGGTTAAGATAGTTTGAGATTCTTACCTTTTGTTTGCGTGATTTAAAAAAACTGTCGTTTTTGACGCTTTAATTTTATTTTATCAATTAATAAATATCAAGTATATGTCTAATTTTAATATGGATGAAAATAGTAAGATAATGGACACTCAAAAAAAAATTGTAGAACCATTGATAATAGTACCAAAACCCAGATCTCAAATACACCATCAACAGCAGAAAAATTCCAACTGTTCAACTTTTAAATTAGTGCCTGGAACATCAAAATACGCTGAACTTCTGCACGTTATAGAAGAACTAGGACAACATATTCGTCCCAGTTATGCAGGCCATCGTGGTTCAGCTGAAAAAATTAGACAAGGGATTATAAAGGCTCGTGTTCTAGTCAGAGAGTGCTTAGTAGAGACTGAAAAAAGTGCTCGTCAATAAAAGCAGCATTACCTCAAAGTACCTTATATTAAAAGTCAACCTTATTAATAAATACACATAAAGTATTTAATAATGCGCAATTCCATATATATATACTATTACAAAAAGAGATATAAAATTAATATTTTAAATCTATATACAGTAGCTAGCCTATAACTACCTCATTGAATGCAATATTAAATGCAGAAAATTTATAACTGCAGTTACATTACACTTGTTAAATGAACTTTTAAATATGAATAAATTTTAGCATATTTAAAAAGCACTTTTATATTATTGCAAGAATGATACATTTGACTACTAATCAAGGGACATGTATATTTAAAAATTTTATAATATAAAATATTTTTGATGCAATGAATGTTTAAAATATAAATGGACCTGATTAATTTTAAGATTATTAAGCAGTTAGATCTTATTGCCGATGAGTATTTAATAAGTATATTTAAAAAATATATAATATTGTAATAAATTCAATAAATAGAGAGTAGTTGCAGAATAATTGAATAGGAAAAAAGAAACAAAGCAAAGAAAATGCATTTCAATTCCTAAGTATTAAAAATAAATGCAGAGATACATTACAAAAATTAGTTGAAATAATTATTATTCAGTTATAAATAACAAATGTGTCTATTCCTTGTCTGTAGCATTAATTAAATTGTTTTAATTTATTATATAAATGCCATCTGTATAAATTTGTTAAACCTACAAATATAACAATCTTAATTTACAATCAATTGCTAAGTCTCTAGTTGTTTCTAAGTAAAATAAAATATAAACATCAATCGAATGCTAAATTAAGAGCATTTAAAATGTGATAAAAATATTATTTCATTAAAAGAATTAAACACAAAGATTAATTATATTAATACCAAATGCGCTTGCCATTAGTATGTATCTTAAATATGTACTGCAAAATAAAAAAAAATTGTACAATTATATGTTAATTTTAATAAATTTGATCTCAACCATGTAATAAAAGACTTTTTTTATTTTATTTTTAATATATTTTATTCAAAGACGACAGTTTTCTAATAATTAATTTGACAAATAAAAATATAGTTGATAAATATTTATTTTTTCAGATATAGTATCTGTTACAATATTCTAAATGTTTCAAACCTTAGATACATTTGATACAACATTTTCTGCTGACTCTGTAGAATGGTGTACAGCAGAAGGTTTTGAAGATATTTTTGTATGTGGAACATATCAACTATTACCTAAAGCAAATGAAAATCTTATTGCTTGTAACAATCTTGAAAGAAACAAACGCTTAGGAAGAATTTATTTGTTTCGAGTAATTTCAGATAAAAATTTATTATTAAAACTTCTTCAACAACTAGATACAGTAGCTATTCTAGATATGAAATGGGCTCACATCAAATGCTTTGATAATAAAATTTTACTTGCTGTTGTAAATGCTAATGGATTCTTACAAATTTACGAATTAATGAATAAAGAAGAAAATTTATATTTAAGAAATATATATTTAAAGCTTATTTCAGAAATTTTAGTTAATGAAAGAAAAGATTTTGCACTTGCATTATCATTAGATTGGTCAACAGGAAAAAGAAATGATAATAATAATAGTGAAGTAAAAATTACAGTTAGTGATTCCCAAGGTTTTGTTTCATTATTTAGATTAATTGAAAATGGTATTGAAAAAATAACTCTATGGCCTGCACATGAATATGAAGCTTGGATTACAGCTTTTGATTATTGGAATACTAATATCATTTATACAGGTAATTCAATTCAAATAACAATTAACAATGAAATATTCTTGTCATAAATAGTTTTCGTTTTTTAAATGATAATTAAAAATATTTATTTGACAGGTGGAGATGATTCCAAGTTTTTATGTTTCGATACAAGAATTGGTACTACTTCACCTACAAATATAAATTTATCTCATAATGCTGGAGTTACTAGTCTCCATTGTAATGGGAAAAAAGAGTTTTGTTTAGTTTCTGGAAGGTAATTTTTTTTTAATTCTGTAAAAATTACTCTACTGATTACTAAACGAATAAAATCAAATTTATATTAAATGATTTAATATAAGAATATTAACACATTTAATTTCAAATAAAATTTTGTGACATAAAATTGAAAAAGACAGCTCAATCAATCATATTATAAAAAATATGCATATAAAATTCATATACCTACAGGCATATATAAATTATCGTTCATAAATAGACATCCATTATTGCAATGAATTTATTTCCAAATTTTTCAAGTAATTAAAATTATATTTCATTTTTAATTTTACTTCATTGTCATATTAGATATCATTATATGTTAGAATATATTTTATAAATTTATAATTATAAGCAATTTTAATGTTAAATAATTTTTAAAACCTATTTGTATAATAAATTGAATTAAAAATAGAACAAAAAAATTTTTTCTAAATTATAAAGTGTAAATAAAGAATATTAATTCAATGCGTCAATATAATATAATATCAAAAATAACAATTATTTAAATTATTACAGTTATGATGAATTACTAAGAATTTGGGACTTGAGAAACCTACGAAAACCAGTTACAGCTATAAATTTACATGGTGGTATTTGGAGGTTGAAATGGGATCCATATGAATCTAAACATTTGTTGGCTGCTTGTATGTACAATGGGTTTTTCATTGTCAATTGTAATGATTTGAAAATTCCTAAAATCATTGCAGAGTACAAAGAACACAAGAGCATAGCATATGGTTGTGACTGGTCATACTTAAAAAAACATTGTGATCCGAAAAAAAAATCATTAATTAACGAAAATGTTATGTTAGTAGGAACTTGTTCATTTTATGATCATGTTTTGAAACTTTCTTCGGTGACATTTAAAAATTAAAAATTACGTAGATATCTCAAGTAATTGTTAAATAAATATTAGTTTCATAGTAAAATAGAAAAAAATTATCTTTTATTTTAATAAATTAATATCCCCATTTTGGTAAGACATATTATCAATTATAATACTAATTCGAATTTTTATATGAAATAATATCTTTTAAGGTACATATTTTTAATTATAATTTTTATTATAAAAATGCATCACCCATAAAAAAAAAATTAAGAAAATAAGAATATATTGTGCAAGAATATAATGTTTTTTACATTATCTCCAATTTATCTCCAATTTATCTCCTATTTATATACTAGCATACAAAATATGATACAATTTGAAATATTGTAGTAAGACTCGATTGAAAAAAGTATTCATATATTTTTACACACGATACGCTCATGCATATGCATATGCAAACTTACCAACATACATATATCTAATACAAAGTGCGGAGTTAATATATAAAACTTGACTGACAAAATCATTTATACGAGAACGAAATAAAAATTTTCGAAATTTAATAAAAATACATTTGTATTTAATTCGTCGTAAATCGCAATTACAATGTATATTTTAAACGTTTTAGTATCGCAACTTTACTATTAGTAATGAATGTAGCCATTACATTTTTCACTCACCACCTTTAAAGAAATTTCTTATTTGATCGAAAAACATTTTTCTCTTTTTTCTTTTATAGTGAAATATGTATGCATTTGTTCAAAGTCAATTACATATTCATGTAAATTATACTTATATTTCATTATAATATTCATAACTGCCCTTTCAATTATTTTCACTCCAAAGTTTAGCAAAATGATTTTTTAGTTTCTTATTTTTTTTTTACTGTACATTTTATTTATTCATTTTAATAAAATATTCAAGGAAATACTCGATAATTATTATAATTTAACTTCTTTTTATTTATCATATCAGCACTTAAATATCATGCACCAAGGAAGAAACATTCTTCAATATCCATTATTTCATCTACAATTTTATAATTAAATATATAATATATAATGTATTGATGGAAACAAATTTCCAATTTTGGAGGAAATTAGAAAAATTGTTATGTCGATATTAACATGGAAAAATTAGCAATTATTTGGATTTAGTAATGCAACATTATTAAGAATGAAATTATACAAAATTATCTACCAGCCCTTCATTAATTACTAATCCATTGGTATAATTTTTATTTAAAAGATACCGAACTATTTAATTTACCCTTAGTACATATCTACAAATCGAAGGAGCTTTTATTAGCTATACCATGACAATTATTTAGGTTGGTTATTCTAGGTCCAATCCTTATTTTATATAATTATAGAGTTAATTATTTATATATCTATATTTTTTAAGTTACGTATGCTATATTTCACATATTAGTTTTTTCGATAACAAATTGAAGTAATTTTGTATTAAATTTTTTAATACATTAATTGCAGTCTCTTTAATGCAATTGAAAATTTTTATAGTACTTTATTTATATTTTACATCTGATTCCATCATGCGAATAATTTATAATAAATATAAAATATTTATTTTATTAATATTTTAAAATATAATTCAAGCATAAAATAGCGTTTTTCATGCTCATTACTTTTCACTTATTAACAAATTGTTTTGTAACAATGACGTGTATTATACATAAAATTAATTATTTTTTGCATTAGCTTATTTATATAAATCAAAAATCTGTTCAATAAATTTAATCTTCATAAACATCATGGTATAGTCTTAACTTATATTATTAAAAGCAAATAATGCGATGTATTAATAATATACTTAATTGACTATTTCGTTTTTTCATTTCTTAGTAAATGGAAACAGCATATATATCACTTAAAAATAAGCAGCAAATGTTAAACTGAAATGAAGATGCAAGAAAACGTTTTACGTCGAGGCAATTACATATTCTTAATTTTAACGAATTATAATATTGGAATATGTTTCAATACTTTTACATATAATGCTTAATATACATTTTTAAAAATAAAGCCAATGTCAAAATATTAAAATATTGCTTTCTCTCTCTCTCTCTCTCTCTCTCTATATATATATATATATATATATATATATATATATAGCTGGTTTATGGTAAAAATTGATATCGAACAATGATTTTGTCGTCCAATTATGATTTTGAAAGCTTATTTAATAGAACAATTTATAGGAATACGTAACTCTGTCTTAATAGAGTAATTTAAAACTAAAAAATTTTCGAAACGTGATTTTAAGTATCGAGTGGGCGTTTGTCTAGTATTGAGGGAATCGTCTAAGGACATGAGATGATTGGAATAAGATGTTGAGTCAACGGTGATGCGTAGGAATAGGAATGGGCTCGCTGATCATGGGCGACGAGGTAATCAGAGCGGAGGGGCTTCTCTACTCTATTAAGCCTCGAAATCGATCGCCGGTAAAATGCTCCCGGTTTGTGGCAAGGACGAGGGAGATGGCCGCGGGTGCGCATGTTTACATCTCAACATAGCACGTATGCATAGACACGGGCCAAAACACTGGTGACCTTGAACCGCGGCTACGCTCACGTGACGGCGCTGGGTGACGCGCCTGCGGCCCCCATTGGCCCGCTCGCCGTTATTGCGTCGCGCGCATAGAGGGAGCGGACATACGCTGACGCCGCCGCCGCCGCAACCAAAGCCGAGGCTTTGAGTCCTGATACTCACCATCCCGCAGTTCCGACTTTATCCAGATACGGCTTCTTTGGAACGTGCCTCTACAAACAAAGAAAAATCCCAAAAAAAGTTCGAGAGCAAAGAACGTCGCGCGCGTCCCTGAGCCTAAGCGGCAAGTAAACGAGTGATACGGGCGCGCGCGTCTTTTGAGGTTATAGTGCAACAAAGACTACGGTGACAACAACGACGACGACGACGACGACGACGACGACGACGACGACGACGACGACGACGACGACGACGACGACGACGACGACGACGACGACGACGACGACGACGACGACGACGACGACGACGACGACGACGACGACGACGACGACGACGACGACGACGACGACGACGACGACGACGACGACGACGACGACGACGACGACGACGACGACGACGACGACGACGACGACGACGACGACGACGACGACGACGACGACGACGACGACGACGACGACGACGACGACGACGACGACGACGACGACGACGACGACGACGACGACGACGACGACGACGACGACGACGACGACGACGACGACGACGACGACGACGACGACGACGACGACGACGACGACGACGACGACGACGACGACGACGACGACGACGACGACGACGACGACGACGACGACGACGACGACGACGACGACGACGACGACGACGACGACGACGACGACGACGACGACGACGACGACGACGACGACGACGACAACGACGACGACGACGACGACAACAACAACGACGACCACGACGACGAGGCCAGCGACGACGGCGGCGACGACGACGACAACGACGACGACGACGACGACGACGACGCCGACGACGGCGACAATAACGACGGGGTACGTGCGAAACGATGCGTGGGTGCTCGAGCTGATGCTGGAAGGCGCCGAGCAGGCCGTCGCCAAGCGAGAAAGAGAGAGAGGTAGGGAGAGCGCGCCAACAGAGGAGTGGCACGGTGAGGCGCGGAGAGAAGTGGATAAAAGTGGAGAGGAGCTTGGCCTTGAGCCGACTGAGCCCCGAGCAAGGGACACGCGATCGAAGGAGAGGGCGCCGTCGAACGGCACCCATGATAACCCATGAGAGAGCGCAGCAAGTCGACAAGCGGCGTAGTGATGTGCAACAACGTGGACTCGCACTCCAAATACCTGAAGGAGTTTCGCGTAGAGCAATGTCCGCTCTTCATCCAGCGCAAGTGTACCCACCACCGGCCTTTCACCTGCTTCAACTGGCACTTTATGAACCAGCGTAGGCGCCGACCAGCTAGAAAACGCGACCGCACCTTCAATTATAGCGCTGACAATTATTGCACCAAATATGACGAGACGACCGGCATCTGTCCAGATGGAGACGAGTAAGTATCACGGTGCCCACATCCATCGTCTCTCATCCTTATTAAGACTTTTACACCTTTGTTAAGTAAAGCATTGTGTCTTTGCCAAGATATTCATATTTTTGATTCACTAATGATTTCTAAATTCTATTTCCTTCCATCGTCCTTGTCGTTCACGACCTCCTTCTACTCCTTGTCATCCTCCTCATTCTCCTGATTTTCCTTATTGACATCCTTGTCATTGTTATTGTCTGCCTCGTCGTCGTCGCCATGGCCATCGTCATCGTCAACATCATCATCATCATCATCATCATCATCATCATCATCATCATCATCGGCTTGTTGTTGTTGTCGTTGTAGTTGCCATAATTATCCTCGTATCCCCTACCTTCTATAATATCTACGCTCCTTTTTCCCAATTAAAATTTCCTCCACTACACAATTTTCTTATACAATTGTAGCTCGTCATTTTCTCGCCTCAGAGGTCAATGCGACACTTAAATGACGATCGATTGTTTTACCGTGACGATGCCTGGTATACTTATTTACGCTCAACTTTTTTGGAACGCCTCGTAGATGGCTCGAATAAAAATATAGCAATCATAGCATTTCATGTTTTGAAAATATCAAATATCATTATAGCTTCAAGCATTTACCTGATGAATGCCAAAATTTCAATGGATCGCTGTATAAATAATATAATTAATCGGGCGGAGATTATCTGGGCCCCCTTTCTGCCTGCCCCGCCCGAATTCACTCATTTTTATTTATCTCACGCATGTGAAAGTCGGAACTTCGTTTAGACATCTCGGTATAAAAATAGAAATTCGAACTTATGAAACTTTATTCTGTTTATCCGCGCGTGCAAAAGTATGCACCCTATAATATATATCAAGTCTTTCGAAGTGCATATACTATTAGAGCATGAAAAAATATCCTTATCTAAGAATAGTAATTTTTAATTGCTCAAAGGATCTACATTTCTTATCTAAGGATTAGGATCATATCAAGTTTTTGAAAGATAATTTCCTAATTTTTATAAATAAAAAAAATTAACTTTATAATTTTGTAATAAGTTTTTTCATAAAACTTTTTTTTGAAAAATGCTATTTATAATTTGAAGTAAAAAATTCATTCAGTTTTAGTAAAAGATAAATCTTACGTGGACACCAAAATTATTTGTTAGTATTCCTTATACGATACTGCTACTCCATTATATGCGGGTGTGTTTGCAACACGGAAGTCACGCTATTTTTATATTCCCGTCGTATCCGTCATTTTTAAGATTCCATGATATCTTTTTCTGGCAAAAAAATATTCTTCATTGGTTGAGAATTTATTGGAATAAAAAATTCAAAACAATATAATGAAAGGCAATGATTTTTGTTTATTATAGATGAAAAATAATTAAATTAACGTATAGAATCGATTTTGCGTAATTTTAATAAAATTACAGCCTAACAATATTTTAATTAATAAAAATACAAATTAATTTTACATTTGTCTTATCAATAGCGTTTGAAACTAATGGAAATGTCAATCGCAAACGAAAGTTTGATATAAATTAACAAAAATGTTATAATACAGAACAATGAAATGTAATTTTTTAAGGTAAAATTAATTATTTTAGAAAAATTTGAAAAAAGAGAATTCTTACTAATTGATAAAACACGTGGGTAGTAATTTTTTTATTATTCTTATATCAACTGCTTAATCATTCTAGATTTAATGAAACAACGAAACAGATAAAACTTTCTCACATAAAAAACCTAAATGCATCGAAAATGAAGTTATGCTACAGTATGAATTGTAAAAAAAACATAAGAACGTGTATGATTTTTAAATGATTTTCAATTTATTAATCACATGTACCATCTGGACATTAATAAAATTAATTTGAGAAATAGTCGACTCCTAAGTAACACGCTACGTATGATGCGTACGAGAAAGGTGTGTGTATGTGTGCGCGTGCGCGCCTATGTCGTGAGAGAGAGAGAGAGAGAGAGAGAGAGGCTAAGATAAAAGACGAAGGAAAGGAAAAGAAAGGAAGTCATCGGTTGAGATGCAAAAATAAAAGTTAACCATTGTGCCATTGCCGTACACGGCTGGACGGTTTGTAGAGATATTCGATCATAGCAGTGAAGAGGAGAGGGAGCTTAGAGAGAAGGGACTCTTGTATTGCGTTGCGTCCCCGTGCATATGCATACGTATGTGTGTTCGCTCGTGCGTTACCCACGTGCGCGCCTAGCCGCGCGCGAACACATAACGCGTACAAAGGAAGCCCCATGAATCTTTGTTTGGCGACGCGCGTTAGCCCACGCCGAGAAAAAAAAATCAATATCAGTACACTGAGCATTCTATACCCTTGTAGCCAGCGATATGATTCCGCGAAAATGAAAAGCCTGCTACGATGTAAATAAAGTTTATTGTTGAGTCGATATCATACTTGTTCATGTCTTCCCAAGCCTCAGTCCTCATATACACACCTTCATAATTAAAATCATCTTTCAATATTTGCAACTCATTGTTGATTTACACACAGAGTGCGGTGTCAAAACAGAACGCACAAACACGAATTCAGCTTTCGTTAATTGTGAATTCTCCTGTTGAATTATCTACAAATGTTTCATTTACATGTGATTATCGTTTCTTTGTAGATGTCCGAATCTGCATCGCACGGCAGGCGACACCGAGAGGCGCTATCACCTGCGTTACTACAAAACATGTATGTGCGTTCACGATACAGACGCACGAGGCTTTTGCGTAAAAAATGGACCCCATTGCGCGTTTGCACATGGTAACCACGACCTCAGACCCCCGGTCTATGATATCAAAGAGATTCAGGCAATGGAAAATCCAGACCTTGACCCAAACTCTACTAGTAATGGGCCCAACATTCTCGATAAAGAGCGCAATCTCATGAACGAGGATCCCAAATGGCAAGATACCACTTATGTCCTTAGTAATTACAAGACCGAGCCCTGTAAGCGACCACCAAGGCTCTGCCGACAAGGATACGCCTGTCCGCAGTACCACAATAATAAGGACAAAAGAAGGAGTCCCAGAAAGTACAAGTATCGGTGAGCATCTAGCGATAAGCTAAATTTTCTTATTTATCGATTTACTTTGTTAACTCGTTATACAGTGCTATTTATTAGGTTTATATTATTTAATTATTTGCGGTATGTGATTGTACGACCTATGTGAACATACGATGTTTTCAAATTAAAAAATAATATTTTTTTATGTAAAATTAATTAACGAATTAAAATAGAATGTTATATTGAATATTTATTCACATTTTATTACAAAACATAATTTAAATATAAGTTATTATAAAAAAAATTGTTATTTACATTCTAAAAGTTCTACACCCTGCCCGAATGTCAAACACGGCGAGGAGTGGGGTGAACCAGGCAATTGCGATCAAGGCGATAACTGTGTTTATTGTCATACGCGTACTGAGCAGCAATTTCATCCAGAGATTTACAAGTCGACCAAATGCAATGATGTACAGCAAGCGGGATATTGTCCACGAGGAGTCTTCTGTGCATTCGCGCACGTTGATCGTGAGTGAACAGATTTTTTCTTTTCCTCGATTTATCAGACTAATTATTTTAATGAATTACTTAATGTATTGTCTGAATATCTTTCAAATTAATCATTTTATCAATTTTTTAGAACATTTTCAACTATTCAAAACATTAAAATTTATATTCAGTATTTGTGATGAATATGTGAATTTATTAAAAATACTATTAACTTCATACATAATACTTATTTAAAAATAATTAAAATTTAAAATTTTAATTTTTTTAAATTAACTAATACACATATTATATATAAATGAATTTATTTTACTTAACTTTATTATTGCGATGTATTCTAATTTATGTTGTAGTCTTACCAACAGAAGAAATGAATTTAGCACGAGATCTGGTCTCAGTGCCTTTGGATTGCACAAATTTGGTAGATTTACTTAGCAATGCTTTGCCGTCTGATAAACGATCACATGATAAAGATAAGACTCTTAGTGATAGCAATGTAAGTAAAATGTATACATTTGCGCTCTTATGAGTTATATTAACATTAAATTTTCATTTCTTTTACAATTCTTATTTGTTATATAATCTACGTATTCTTTCTCAATATTTCTTTATATAATATTTACAAAAACAATGACATTTAAAAAATCTAAATATTGTAATGACCCATGTCATTAGTTGACTATATTACAGAATGGTAGTGGAGAAATTTCCGAGTCTGCTAGTACAAGCAGCCTTGGTAGTAATGGTTCACATAGTAAAGCTCCAGGAGCTCAGCTTCATCACAATTCTACATTACAACAAAAACTTACAACCTTTTTTTGTAATCCTACTCTACTTCAAGCTGTAAGTTTTGTTAATATAAATAATTATCAATTATCTACATACATATTATAAATAATATTTTAACTTTATTTTTCAATTTCCAGAGTGAAGCACGTAAGCAAATAATAGCGATTGATGGTGACCCTTTACTAACTAAGACTGAAAAAACACAGAAGAAGAAGAATCTATATGTTGCATATAATTTAAATTCATTAGCACCGCGACCAACTATATCGTCGCCCCTTTCAGCATCTTTTTATCATAATGATACTGTTGAATCTGTCGTTGGTAAAATATTTTTTATAGGATGTCGTTTATATAGATATTTGTAAATATTCAAAATGATACTATGTATTTAATAATTAATTACATAAAGATAATATTTTATATTCAATAAATTGTACCATAATTAATCTAATACTATATTTAATTTAATTTTAGGAAGTGCTTTAGATGATTTACATCTTGATGATCCACTTGGTTTAGTTGATTCTATACATAGAGATACAAATTCTCCTATTAGTAATTCTATATCAGCTAGTTTAGCAAATTCTGGATTACTCTGTAGTTCAGCACCAGTGAATATTCCTGGAATGGCTGAGCGCTCGGTTCTTTCAAATTTTTCACCATCAACATCAAGTCCTCTTCAACCTCTACAAACAGCAAGTAATTTTCTTACTACAGGTTCTAGATTTTCCCATCAAGATTCAATTGAATCAGTAAGCAAACATTGTTTCTCCTTATATTTAATATAAAAGTATAATTGCTAATTTTATTTTATTTGATCATTAATCAATTTCTTTTTCAGTCGATGTCATCATTTATAAATCAAGTATCAGATCCATTTAGCAATCACATATCACAAAGTACTTCTGCGTCGAAACTTGGTGCATTTAACAATAGTCTATTTGACTTCTCCACTAATCAAGGAATGTCTCCATCATCGCGCGTTCAACCGCTTGCAGCATCACCATTAGTTAATGCTTTTTCAATTAGTCCGAGTAATAATACAACGGGGTCGTTGTCTGAAGTAAGTAAAAATTATTTATTAATTTTCGTATTTATAAAATAAATCTCTTTAAATTATTTTTCAAAATTATTAAGCTGCAGGTGCAAAGGTTGAGAGAAGAATTGACATCTAGTCGCGCACAATTGGCCACTTGGGATGAACGAATCAATCAAGCACGAGCTGCTTGTACTGCGTGGCAATTGGAGTGTGAAGAATCTAAAAGAAAAGCTGCCCTAGCGGAACAACAAAGAGACGAGGTAGAACAATTTGTAAGATTTATTCCATTACTAATAATTTATATTCAAACTTTTTTAAATAAGCTATAGTAATTCATAAATGTTTACTAGGCTCTATTACAATTAAAAGCTCTAAAGGTTGAAAATGACGCAACAAATGGCAGCGGTCCATTTCTTAGTACACTTGGAAGAGCTAGTGATCTCAAATCATTATCAATAACTGCTTTAAAGTCAATGCAATCACAACTTAGATCAGACCTTGAAGAAATAGAACAGGTAAAACAATGTTGTTAGTTAGATGTAAACACTTACATGCACAATGAACAATTATTTTAATGAAACAATTTCCAACTATTTCAACTTTGAGGTGTAAACTTATATTGATACCCTCAACACTGTTTTGAAACATGATGCAAATACGATATACAGATTGATATAATTATCAAATATTTTTTAACACTAATTAATAAAAAGTATTTATAATAAGTGTGATAACTTTTCACTTTCAAAAAATAGAGGAACAATAACTATGTATTTGATTGAATAAAATCATTACATTTAATTTAAATTTTATTCATTTCTCTAATTGAATGTTTGCTTGAAATGTAATATAAACTTTTATAACCTATATTTTTTTAATTAAAAAAACAAAGAAATATAATTTTTTTTATCACTTATTGACTTAATGGAATAGATACATGATAGATAAACTGTTGATGTTTTAGGTGCTATACAGGGAAACGGCAACAAAATGTATGGTTTGTGAAGAGCAAAATCGCACTGTCACTCTATCACCGTGCAATCATTATGTGGTTTGTTCAACTTGTGCACCCAATCAACATGAATGTCCGTACTGCCAGACTCCGGTCGTCTCCACAAGTTAGGTCTTAATACTTGGCAAACGGTTTATTTTATCATTACTATTATCATCATCATTATTATTATTATTAACTTCAAACAAATTCAAAGAGAAAAGATCGTCGTGTGCGTTATTATTATAGATTCTAAAAAGAGCTTTCAGAGCAAATAACATCATCATTTTATTAACAAAAAAATCAAAGTTGAAAAATGATATGGACATTGTTTTTATAGTCTTTAGTCATACATTTTTAATTTTTTTCATTCTATATTCTGTACAGCCGTGTTTCATTTGTTAGATAACATTTTTCATATTAGAAAAGAATTAATCTTCTATAATGTTGATCAAAATCAACTAACTAGAAAAGAAACAAAAATATTTGTACGCATTATTGTTATTTTAAAATATGAACAATAGTTTCATCAGTCATTTCATACTATTTTCATAAAACAATCTTGTTTTTATGCGAAACTGCAATTCGGTAAAAACATCAAGCCATAATAAAAGTAATGAAGACAAAAATATAGTACTATTGTATCTTGTAATATATAAAATATTCTTTATAAAATTACTTTTACAATTCTTGAAACGATTGTAAGTTTTAATTAATATTTAACAAAAATTGAATAACTTGAAAATAAAAAGTATCTAAAACTTTATCGAAACTGTAATATATTTAATTGTTATCTTCATTATTTTTTAAAAATATTGAAAAATAAAGAAATTTTTCTTTGAATCGATAAAGACTTAATTTATATACTTTATAGACAATGTTTTAGTTTTGAGCAATTTGGGTACATTTTAAAGAAAGTATATAGTATTATTTTTATAAATATCGCAGAGTATTTAATTTGCTTCAATACAATTTCTTTAACTACGTTTTGCATTTATAACTGTTTAAGATGTAATTTTAAAGATGAATTTAATACTTTAGTATATAATGATAAAATATTCATTTCACGATATTATTTCATACATAAAGGATGTGCATAATATTATGCATTTATCAATATTTAATAAATGTATAATAAAAAGATCTTTTAATTTCTAATTACATATGTTACATGTCTGTTAAATGACTTGATAAATTGTATTTTGAAAAATAACAATATACATAGAACTATTATACTAATAAATGTTACAAATAATATCACAGAATAATATTTAAATTTCATTGTACATAATAATATTATTTGATACAAGTTTGTTTTAATATTCCAGTTTTTCTAAGCTTTAATACTTGATACAGGGATTTAGACAAGATGGAGCATAAAGGATTTAATGTTAATTACTTTTTTAAAACATATATTACAATTGCATTGAAGTTTTCTTTTTACATATAACTAACTAAAAATTTAAAGGGTTACGCATCAAATAATTCATATATTAAATAATTTATCTTTCCATTAATTATCATGAATGGAATCGCGACTTTATTCGCCAAAAAATAACCTTTTAATATATAAAATGTATTTAATAGTAAATAACATTAGTATTAAAATATATAAATGTAAATAATTGCAGGTACTAATTATTAGCATAATACAATTTTTTTTATATTAAACTATAAGACTTATTTTATTTTATGTATATATTTTTTTTTATTATTGCTGTTCATATATAACTTATTTACATTTAATTTTGAACATTACAAATATGTACAATGTATTTTCAATTATTCAAAAAAACAATTCACTTAAACAATCTTACATAGATTATATAATATATTAGATTAAAATATTTATACATCATATAGCATTTTATTCAGATATTCAATTTTTCTCTTATTTTGCTATGAATAAATTTTACAATATTTTAATCATGATTTAAAAAAAAACAATTAAGATTAAACTTCTTAATCTCACATAGATTTCCAATAAGCATTTGTTTAAGCTTTAAAAAATGTTAATGAATCGCTAAAAATTAACAGTTCCAGTTTTGTAAAGATACTTTATAGTTTTAAGATTTTTAAAAAATGTCTTTCATTATTTAAATTAAAATTAAAATAACTGCCAACATGCAGTATAAATACAAAATGCAGTATAAGTACATAAATTTAATAATCCATCTTGTCTTTATATATAATTAAATAAATTTTTTATCACAGTAATTTTCTATTATCCATCAAGAGTATTCATAATATATATCATATATTAATAAACATCATTTAACATTGTTTAATATAAAATATAAGTAATTTCGTTCTTATGTTTTAATATTAATTATTCAAAAATTAATATTATTTATTAAATGTGAAATCAAGATTTTCAATTGAATTTAAAAAAATGTATGTTAGTATTATTTCTCAAGATTAAGTGGGGAATTTCTTTTTTTATGGCTTGATTTTGTTTTTCATGTATGATTATAAAAAACGCGCATTTAATTTTTAAATATAATTGATATATCATGGCTGAACAATCATACAGTTACGGAATAATATACCGGCAACTCGGGCTGCGCTTAAAAGTTGCCTTTTTAGAAAAGGCAGATTATTGATTTTAATAATCAACGGTCAATGAATTATACATTTTTATACGCGTGCACATCGATGTTATTAGAATCATTGTGATCTTACAAGACGAGAAGCCCTGCGATACAGTCGTTATTCAAGTTCTCCTTTTTTCTTTACCCGATGATTTTTGATAGTACGTCTTGTTGAGATTCATGCTGGAAAACTACACTTCATATTAATAATGCGTTTTAATCCGATATAACTTTTTGGTTATGTAAAACCAACCCAACTCTTCCTATTTTAGGCATTATTAGGGTTTGATTTGAGTTATTTAACGACGCCCACAATTCTAAATTTGCACCCATAATCCCAATCCATTTTTTTCTAGCCCAAAATTTATCATATTCTATTTTATGAGCGCATACGTTTGTGTCTGTTGCAAACCCGTTGCGGGTTAAATTTCCGCGAATATAAGCTTTCGTTGCAAACTAAAAAATTACCATAGAATGAAATGACTAAAACTTTAAAAATAAATTTGAATATTATAAATTATATTAAAACTATTATAATATAGTTTAGATAGGAAACACTATCAAATTTTTACTTTGTACCTATAGGAATTATAAAAATGTTACAATATTCAATTTTTTAAAGACAATTATTATTTAAATATTTACATTTATATTGGAAAGTTTGGAAATATTACATTATGCTTTAGTGAATATCTACTATGAATTTTAAGAAAAAATATATATACATATTTTTAATGTTAGGTAGGCTATTTTATTAATATTTTAATCAAATTAGTGAATACAAAGACAATTACTTAATTATTTCAATGTGTGTATATATATATATATATATATATATATATATATATATATATATATAAACACAAGAGTACTATACCATTTACATAAATTGTTGAATTTTCTTCCATGTGTAACAGAACGATTCTTCTGTGTAGATCACTATCCTATTTCTTGTATCGAATATGAGGCCAAAAAGAAAAAAGTTTTTATTATATCAATTTTTTAATACAGATTATTAAGAACAATATTATAAACGTTGAGGTAGAGTGAAGTAAAAAATTAATAGCTTTTATTACTCTATGATATGTAAGGTCAATATAAAGTTTAAAATTTGGTAAGATATTTAAATTAAAAGTGAAATTGTTCATATTTTTTTACTTTTACTGAAATAATGTACACAGTATCTTGTTGTGGACTAAAAATCAAAATTTAATTTTATATTTATGTAACCATAAGACCATATGTATCATAGAACAACATTTTTTAATTGTACTATATATTTAGGCTTTAACAAATTTAGCATTATATTATAATGTATTTTTTTAATACTTCGAAATTTTTAAAGAAGACATTTACAAAATTTAGACCAAAATAAATGATTTCAATTCTTTAAAGAATATTTCAAATACTTTTTACAGTTTGTTCTCAAGTTGATGATGGTTAAAAATTATATTGATACATCTGTGAACTGTACATTTTCCATTTCACTGATGTCAAATAACTTCAATGTATGTATTACATTTGTATAATTATAACAGTACAAATGAGAAAACTGTTTGGTTAAAAGAATAACCAAATAAACTTACAGCTGTAATATATTGAAATATCATTTAAAGAAAAGATAACGAGTGAATTTCAAATTATAATAATTGTACTATGTTTATTATTTAACCTACAAATGATATTGTATAACTTTCTATATTAATACGATTATAAAATTAAGTTATTGTGAAAAATGTTTAGATAACAAAAAAAGAATTAATAGGTTAATAGGAAAGTAACAAAATAAATTAGCCTTTATAATTATGTAATTTACCAATGACAAGCATGCAGTTGAATATTTATAGTAAAATTGTCCCAATTGTTACTTTTTCAACAATTTTCAACATTTATATGTCAACTTATATTACTCAAATTTATTGATTTACTGAATTTTTATTATTAAATCTACCGATATTAGTTATCATAGTAACATTTGTGAAAATTAATTATTTTATAATAATTAATACAAATGAAAGACAAACGATCTGGGACAATATAATTAAATAATTAAAAATATCTATATGCATATAAATTATATAAATGAAAAATATATATATATATATATATAAATATATTTATATTTTTGACAAGTCTTGCAACAATATAAATACAAATATTAAAAAAAAAATACATTTGTGAATAAAAAATAATAAAAACCTCATCTATATCATTTCGTTTGTGATTGCGCAGATTGTATTGTATTGAGAACATAGAGATAATTTGAATGATCAATATCTTAATTACCTTTAAAAACAATGATCAAAAATTTTTTGAAAAATAATATATTGTTATTGATTGAATAAAAATTTTTGAATATAAAATTAATAATATATTTTATTTCTTAATGTTTTCTTACTAATTTTATTGAAAGTAAAAACACCAATTTGACTAAAGTAATTGTGTGTATTTGATATAGAATTGATCCTTTTCATAGTAAACGACAATGAATACTATAAATTCAAATGATTTGAAACGAACTTTGATATTATAAGAATAAAACCAAAAAAGATTAAAGTTTTTATCGGGATAAGTTGTACATGTAGTGAATTCTAAGATATAACTATTAGACTTTCAATTATCTCAACATGCATGACATGCAATAATATTAACGTGTTACGACTGTATTATTTTTAAATGCACGAAGTGCTTAATGAACATCTTAAATGCGTTTATTGCACATAACTGAAATTAAAATATAATAAAAAT